GTATTCGAAAAGACGAATATCATATTATTATCATTTAACTATCCACCAGATCAGACTCAATAATACTATTCTTCCCTTTCCAATTGAAATGAAAGTCATAAAATCTTCTTTTTTAACTGCAGAGTAATTTGTACATTTCTAATTTGAAAAGTTTTGTCTAAATTTGAACTTTAAATGCTTAAAAAAAAAAATCTTGCCTATGAATTTTTAAACTATTGTATCAATGTATAAGGGCCCTAGAGCCTTGTATTAAATATTCAGTGAATATGAACATTGAACATGGTTATTTATTGTTTAGAGTTTTAAAATCGATTTTCTTGGAAATCTAATTTTGTTTAAAAATGCCAGTTTTTTCTTAATTTTTTTCCCTGCACTTCTGAAAACTACTTGGAATTATAAATTTTAACCTCCCGAATGCACCAACTAGACTCACGTCTTTCCCATCGGAAAAGATACTGAAGTTGAAAATCGAAGCGTTATTTCAACTACTGATGGTATATTATATAGACACAAAAAAAAAAAGTTTGAAAAAACACATCATTGTAAAATCAATACGCTCCGCTCAGAATCTAAAACCGGAATATTATGTGAAGATTACTTTCATTTTTCCAATATTCATGTTTGATGTATTGCCCTCTGTTCTTTATCTAATTACCTGACCAGCATTCAACTGGCTTTTACCCAAAATCCCAGATCCTTTTGGCATTAAACTAAAATTTTTAAGAAATGTGATATTATAGTCTACCGATTCGTATGTATCATAACGGCACTCGTACCAACCATCCATTATAGCTATTTCTAATTTCTTTTTACTAGCCATTTAGTTTCTTTTTAATAAACTTAAATACTACGAGTCACATTGTATATGAGCTCAGGTATTTAGAGCACATTGGCGATACGACGATCGTAAAAAATTTCAATCATAGCAAATAAAAATATGTCTAAATGTGTTAAGTTATAAAACTGAGTACTGACTAGGTAATTTGAACTACGTGGTATATTATATGTGACGATGTAAGATTGTATTATTCAAGGGCAGATCCAACCATGCAGATAAAAATAGAGGATGCTTTTCACTGCATTTCGTATAGTACACAAGAACATTTAAAACCTATTACCCACCTAGCTAACATTATTATATACTTAGTATATAAGTATTACTTACTGTTGTTTAATTTTAATTCTCATACTTCTGGAAACTTGAAATGTATTCTATATAATTTTAATAAAATAATAAAAATAAATAAATTCATTGTTTTTAATTATATGTTTTGTATTTCTGATTTGTTATTGTATTTGTTGGTGCTGTAGAAAAATATTCCTAAACCACTTGCCGGTACTAATTATTAAGTGCCTACGACTATATTCTAGAATAAATGATATTATATTATAACATATAACATACAATATAGAATTCGAAATAAATTAAAATATTATTAATGTAATATATTTAAATATATAATATCTAATAGTTGTAATATTATTATAACTATTATCTAACAACTGATGTAATCACGTGGCACATTAATACAATACCTAGTCAATAATACATATAATTATATTATAATATTATAATAAATTATTATATTACTGTTACCTGTGTAATATTTTATATAATATGTAAATTTAATTGTTGAGCTATAATGGTGAAAGCTAATAAAAAAAAAATTGTATCGTACATGATATGTGCTATAGGTAATGATAACTAATACAATTTTTATGATTTATTGATATATCGGATTTTTGTGTAACGCAAGCGCACAATATAATATTTAATTCAAATATTATAAACTATTATAACTTAGTGTTACCTAGTAAATGTATGATATCTTTATTTTGTGTTTTTGATGGATATATAAAGCCGTATTCAATGGTGTATACATATCGTAGTCTATTATCATCTATAATAGTCTAAACTCTAGTCTAATGTATTGATTACAATATAGTCAATAGCTATAGTTAAAATAGCCAATAGGTAACAATATAATAAATTAGATTGGTTAAAAAACGTCGTTCGGTACAAATGTACAAAAGTTGGAATTAAATTATAATATAGTATAGGTAATAGTTTATATGCATTGTGCAGTAGCTGGTAGGCACACGCCCCAAAAGTAAAACGGTATATATTATTATAGATTCCAAACTTAATTAATAGGTATATTCCGTATATTAGATATTTAGATTTAATAGATTTACTAGGTTTTTTTGTACTTCCCATAAATAATATTATATAAGTTTATTATAATATTTAATTTTGAAATATACTGAAACAATAACGATATATGAATGGTTTTTTTTAACATTAAGGTATTAATTACGTTTTTATGTTTATTTCCACAATTATCGAATTTCTCATTTGTACATTTGTCTCTAACACATTCATACAGATACACGAAAAAATTAACTAAAACCACTATAAATATTAATTTCAGTGTTTGACGTTTGTGTTTTAAATTCTGAGCGTGGCGATGAGTATAGCTTCGATTTTCGACTTGAGAATTTTTTCTGATAGGCAAGTGAATCTAGTTGGTAGTTTTAGTAGGTCTTATAGGAGGATTATAAATTCCAAGTATAGTTATCGTTGAGAGAAACAATTTTTGACAAAGTTGATTTTATCTCTAAGTCTAACTAAAAACTAATGACCGTGAATATTTTACATTTTCACCAAATTTAATATGATCATTTACCATAAATACATTTTCATAATATTTTGACACTTTTTGAGCTATTTATATTTTATAGCCATGAGACATTTTCAAATTTTCTAAATTTTTCTAACTATATGTATTGTTGATAAACATGTTTCACTAATTAAAAAAATCTTGAGAATGTAATGCCAGTCAATAAACTATTAATTAAAAATATTAAACATTTATAGGCACGATTATTATGGAACCTAAGCGTTTAAAGTTCAAACGTTGACAATATTTATAAAAATTCCGAAAATGTGAAAATTTTCTGTGGTTAATAATGTATTGAATGTTAAATTTTTATAGCAAAATATTTAAAATGTATAACGCGGTTTTTCATAAGTAGCTTATATTTCTACTGTAAGAAAAAATGTAAAAAATAAAAAAACCAAATTTTTTAAAATAATATTTTTAGTTCAAATTCGGACTGAAATAGATATTTAAACGAAGAATAACAATTTTAGTTATTTTGTTGTAACCTAAAATTAATATTATTTATTTATTTGTGACTTTGTGAGTACCTGATACGTTTTAAGTATATTATTATATTTTATACACCCAATGATATTTTCAAAAACTAATTCAACCTAATGTATTATTAATAGTAAAATAAATTTTAAGTACGTAATTGCAATAATATCATAAATTTTATGAGTATATGAATTTCAATTTATAAATGTATTGTTTATCTAATGATCTGTCATCTGTACAGTATACCTAAAGTTAAATCTACATAATCTGAAGCTCATAGGGAAGTATTACTCATTAATTAATAATTATACACAACATTATAAAAGTTATCTCATTTTATTGTTCTGAATTACTTAGATATGATGAATTCATTAAATTGAATGAATGAATACTTAATTATTATAATTAACAAAAATAATTTATTTTGTAAATTATCACATAAATAGGTACCTATAATACTATAGTTGCATTACGATGCAGGTACCTACTACCTTACTTTAACGACAATGGCGTGTTGAACAGTCTTCAGAGTTGAAGCAAACGATACACTTTTAACATGTTCTATGCTTTTAACATTCGCCCAATTTTTATGCCGCAGGGCATAACTGAACCGTGGTAGAAAATATAATTATAATTTACACTAGGTATCTAATTAACGTTACCAACCTACTCGCACACATAGCCACTCGCATTGTCCAGTGCTCCGAAGAGACTGCTGCACAACAAGTCTCTTCGGGATGCATTATTGAGTCTTTAACATTATAGACTATAGTATTTATAGTCTATAATTAACAGTAATATCGATTACTTTTCAACTGTTTGTCTGTTTCGGTTTGCATTGTTTTATATAACAATTAATGTCACATGTTGTCGATAATATTGTAACTTTCTATTTGGATACATTTCGAGATCAAGTGGTTTTATACTCTGGTGCGTAAGCGGAGCATAGTATATATTAGTATAGTTATTATACCTAACTTAAAATTATTAATATTATTTATTAGATTGTAGATTAAAAAGTGTATCAAATGAATGTATAAATTCGTTACATAATATTATTATGTTTATATTTTAGTATAATAATAATATTATGTTTATAGGTGCCAACTTATAATTATTATTTTGTACCTAGTTATTCATGTATTATATTATGTTAATATCACAATCTTAAAACAAACTACATTACCTATTTTTACTATTATTACTATTATTACTATTTTTACCTCAAAAAGTTAAATGAACAATAATAATGTAAATGTTAATTCGAATCAGCTTATATCGTAATAATTATTAACTAATAATTAGTTAACTAACTAGGTATTACATTTGTAATTAAATTACATTTTAATAAGATTACTAATAAAATTATGATTTAGTTTAAAATTATATTCCTTAATTAATATTAGTTAGGTATGTAACGATAATTTTTATAAGGCTTCATACTATTATGTTTATTGTGATTAATTATTTTCCTTTAAATAATTAATAAACAGATAAATTTATTAATTAGTTAAAAAATAGGCACAGAAATTTATTCTGAAATTTGAATTTTCTTAATTGAATATAATATTACCTATATTATATTAGTAATATGACATTTTCATAAATCAATAATAGCTACTTACACTCTATGGTAAAGAAACTCAACATGATACACGAGTACTTTAGGATTTTATGGCTTTCACCTGCAAGTACCCAATACCTGCTAGCATTTAATCCTACTCCAGAAAGGTATACAGCAGTGATGCGGCCAGCGTTATTAGAGTCGAGCGCCTAACAATATGCACCTTATGAAAAATAAAATGAAGAATAGGACAAAGAATAATATCTATTATTATATTAGTAAAAATGTTGAAACGGGTCGGTTTGGCCACCTCTGGTGTAGAGTCTAAACTTTAGACCATAGAAGTTTATGGCCAAGTCGTGGTGCGGTATATCGTCCAACCGCGGGTGAGCATGATGGCTGGCAGCACCTTGAACACGTCGATCTGCGTAGTGAGTACTGAAAATCCACATTCTGACAGCAGGGACATATATTTGCGATTAGACATGGCAGGCCTAATTGCCTCTAATATGGTCTTCCGTTATTAGAGGTCCTTGGAATTTATAATATTATACAAGTACCTACCTACAAAAATGTATTAGTTTTTAAAATGAGCAATGTAAAATAATTTGTTTGATTTGTTTTCAATATAAAATATAAATGTACATTATACATAACAAGTGTTATTGAATACAGTATATCTGTAGGAATTAAAAAATTATAGTATTGTAATTTTGTTTGTGAAAATATATAGAGTTGGGATGTATAAATATCAGGCGCGGATATCCATGATAATTTGTACCTATGCCCTATGGTGGGGGGTAAAAATTAGTATATTGTGTGGCAATGGCTGGAAGAGTGACTGGTGATGATTTTCACTTTACCTCCCTGCACTTCTTGGAATTTCCACTTTACCCCCCGGCACTATGGGGATTCCCACTTTACCGCCCGCTGGACGGAAAATGGTCGCTTTCCAACGCTTCAAACGTCATCGAAACCTAAGCTTCCGGCGCAGGAGTGACAAAAATGTAATTTGTTCACCCATCACAACAATTTACTGTTTAAAATTTCAAGCGTTTTGAATTATTTGTTATTGAATTCAAATATTGAAATGTATCAAATCCTGCAGTACTGGATAACCGTGGTTTTATATTATAATGTAGAATAACGGCTGCAGTATCGTTTGTATTATTAATTATTAAAATTATTCTGGCCCGATTTATAGGTAATTAAAAAAAATATATTTATTTATTTAGATATACATCTTATATTCCTTAACATTAAAATAACAGGGGGTAGGTACAATAATAATTATTATACAATTATTATATAGCTATAAGTCATAATAATAATAATTTATATCTTATTAATAACAATTTAAAGTATTATATTATCAGCTTGAATTAATTTATAAATAACAAGTTAAGTTACCACCATTTTTATTTATAAATTAAAACGAGTTAGATAATTAAGAACATGGATTTGGGAAAGGAAGGGGGGATTATTAAACTAAAATTAAAAAGAATTTTTTTTTATCACAATCATTTAAAAAAAAAAACAAAACAATAACATATAGAAATTAATGAAAACGTTTCGTCTTGACTCAGGGAACGCCAATACGAAACATTTCCACCTCTTTCTTATGTTGACGTTAGTTTGACAATAAAAATAGGTAATAATAAAGGGTAATAGGTAATAATAAAAATAGGTAATAACAATACCAATAATAATAAAATAATAATAATAATAATAATAAAAATAATAATGACGCTCGCCCATTATTTGAATAACGTTCTCGCGTAATACCAAATGCGGAAAAAGTATTCGCTCCTCTTCAATAACGCAGCGTTCGAATAAGACGATATGTCTGCGTCCATGTTGTTGTCTCTGAGCCATGACGTAGTGGTTTCTGATGTTTGCGTCAGAGACGGTTTGGACTCCATTACCGATTCTTCAACGTCCGACTCGTAATAATCTGAGAAAATAAGGTATCAAATATCATTCGGTGGAATGGAATAATATACCTTATACCTTATCCCACTTGTATTTAATGTTAAACCCCGAATTTCCTATTTTGAACGTTTATAGCGTAACAAAACATTTTCTTTGTTACACATATAAAAATTAATATTGTATGATTACTCGACAATCAGAAATGTTATCATCGCAGACACTCTTCACAAAAAGCTCTGAAATTTCGTAAAACTTCAGAAGAGACACGATAAAAGGACACCTTTCCATAGGTACCTATAGGTATATGTATAATACATAGTCCGTAACTCATATCATATTGTTCCAACTTTGAGCGAGAAGAGAAAATTAAAATGATGTAGTCCCTAAATAGTGATTTTATATTTTTGAGGCGTGTATACTCATAATCAATAAACACCAGTGAATATCACAGCATATACACAACCCACAGGCAATATAATATTCAACATCAATGACAGTAGCTCACCTGTCGGTTTTTGTACGGTGTACGGTTCTTCAGTTTCCAGTGGTTCGCTGACACCCACTTCGTTTTTGGCCAGTATCCTAATTTGATACCTATGGTTCTCCTGAAATTCAAAAAAAATAATGAGTGTATAGACACTTAAATAGACAATCTTGTATATAATAAAATATATATTGTGCATATTATAATAAAATATATATTATATTCATGATGTGAGTTACTTAAAAAAATTAACAAAGTCGTGATTATATTTTTATAATTTATAAACTGATAATAGGAAGTTTTCCGAAAAATAAATTTATACCTGTAAGTCTTTGATGTTGAACTTTTGCACGTCCGCTTCCACCCGGCCGACTTCCATCCACATAGTTTTCTTCTCATCCCGAATTGCTATGTTGTAACCCAACAGCGGAGCACCGCCGTCCGTTTCAGGTACACCCCATTCCACGATCACTGCGTTGGTACTCAGGTTCCGAACTTCCAGCGGAGCGGTTGGCGGCGAGGGTACGGCTATAAATCGAGAAATGGGAGATGATGACGAGAATGGTTAATATCGAATTTAACATCAACGATTATAACATATGGGCACAAAATGGCCCCTTATTAATACTGTTATGCCTCTCGTTGAAAGGATTTAAAATCCTGTTACATTTGATACTTGAATATATTTCTTATGAAAGCAAAAAAATACAAACCCCACGGCCCCACCGACCACCGTAGGTATACTTACTGGCATGGGTTAACAGACTGACTAATTTCGTTTCGACCGGTTGACTAAGGCCAATGCAATTTTCCGCATAGATCTTGAAGAAATATTCCGATTTTTCTTTCAAGTTTTCCACGCAATATTTCATTACAGTCGGTTCTAGCGTGGCTACTTTGAACCACTTGTTTGTCGTGTTCAGTTGCTTTTCAATCACATAACCTGCAGAGTACACATTTTTTTTGTCATCGTTTTCGAGAAATAGTTTAAAATTATCGTGCAGAAGATGGAGACAATAAACAGTAAAGGGTAAAGAACAATATAATGATGCGATCAATAATATTTTTGTTGTCGGTAAGACTATACGACACGGCGGCACGTTTATGATATCGTAAATATTATGAAAGTGATAAACAATGATTTAATATTGCATAATATGTAAGTGCATTATTAGTTATTACACTGCACAGTGCACAGCGTACCAAAGATAATAAGGCGTCTACCTACTGTCTTAATTTATATGTTATCCTTTGAAACATTTTTGTAATCCGTACCTGTGATCTCAGATCCACCGTTACTTTCTGGCGGGCCCCAATGCAAGGTAACGCTTTTGCTGGTAATGTCACTCACAGTGAATTCAGTGGGCGGCGACGGTGAAGCTGAAAATCATTATACAATTCAAAATTAATTTTCTGATACGTAAAGGTATTTTTATCACTCAAAGATTGAAAAGTCAGGTAACGTCATGTAGGTACCTATTGAATTTATGTATAAAATATAAAGTTTATAAAATAGATCGTATGTAACCACATGGACATGAGCAGTACATATTAAACATCAAATTTATTATGTGCATAATATTATGTTATGTGAAAGTACACCATATACTCATACAGGGTGTCTAAAATGTGTTTTGAAATGTATTATATTTGTTTAATTTTCAAAATCCTTTTGAACTTTGTGGACACTTCGTACAACGGAACATTGAGAGGTTTCTTTAGCCGATGTTGTTAATAAACCTCACAATTGCAAATAATATATATAATTATTTGAATAAAATACAATTTATATGGTTTCATATCGGTTTAGCAATATGGTTTTCACTTCCAACTATCAAACGAATCAAGTAGAAATATTCAAACAAGCTTAAATTTAGCAGATTAGTACTTTCATTACAGTCTACAGTCGTTGATATACGGATCAACATTGATAAATTTAAGATTACTCATCTAAGATAACACACTTATTAAAAAAAACAAACAATTATTTTTTAAGGTCTAAATACTTTAAATGGGTAATCCATACTTATTTATGCAACTAAATAAAATAAAAGATTATTTGCCAAATTATTATATATGATTTCATTATTTACATTCGTATGATTTATGTTCGATGTAATAAAATTATAAATAATTAACTAGATACCTAAATCGATACCCATACTAACATGTTCAGTGGGGCCCATTGTCCCATTATCTTCTTAGAGAATAAATAAAAAAAAAAAAAATAAAAACAATAAATATTGTAAGATTAAATAATTACATTTTTAAACAATAATGCAATCATCGAGTAAATAATATGCGATTTGTTAGAAAATATATAACTTTTGGTGACAGTGATTCCTTATATCTCAACATAAATTAAAGCAAAATATTAAATATTAACTAGAATATTACAATTTAAATTGATTAAATTATTAAAACGAAAAATAAAAATAAAAAATGTAATTGTATGTGCAAGATTCTATGAAATATTTGTCGAAGTTAAAATAAACTAGAAAATAATCATTAAAATAATAACATTCCATTATAAGAATAGAATATAGATGTTGGGAATGAAGAGATATGATACCTATTGATAAGCATACTTTAATATTTATATTTACTATTCATATTCCATATAATCATATAGGACATAGCTGATAGTCATTACAATATTGTAATGAGTTGAGTCAAAACGGTTTCTATTATGGACATTACCGCGAAATAATACGTTAAGCTTTGGTTGACAGGACTTAAAAATAGCGGCCAAAGTGGAGGAATAATTACTTACCGGAAACTTTTGGTCTGGTCGGGAATATTCCCATAAGTACGTATAGTGTTTCATCGGATATTCCATTTCTAAAGTCTATATAAGCAGATTAATAAAAGCAAAAAAGCATTAGCATGTCTACACCAGCTGTAAAGCGGTACCTACTAATACAGACAGCAAGTATTTTACGAAATTAATTTTTTTCTTACTTATGCGTTTGCCCGCCACAATCGGTTCATCTGGTTGATATGGTTTTCCGTAGCCCACATGATTCCTAGCCGTAATCCTGATATCGTAGGACGACCCCTTCTTCAAATCTAACACCTTTATGTGTAAGTCTTTCGTAGAACCAATCTGAATATCGGAAAGCCATGGTCGATTACACATATTTTACGTTACACCTTGTTCATAATTTATTTAACATACCTTTCTCCAAGCTTTTTTGTCTACCTCCTTGATTTCGACACAATAATCTTCGATCGCTATTCCACCATTATCCAAAGGTGGTAACCAAGCGATTGTTGACGACGTATCCGTCACACCCGTGATCTGCAAAGGACCCTGTGGCGCTGAGGGTTTATCTGCGGCGTTTATATAAAAATATTCAATAGTTTTTATGTATTATTATCACACCGTTTTTGAGCATAATTGTTTTTAAGGGTTAAAAAAAGTTTATATTTTTATTGCTTTCCCTTGTAATATATACATGCATGTCTCTTTTCATAATATTATCTATCATTTGCATTTTATGTTTTTGGGTTGATTTAAAATGTAAATATGAACTGACTAGATATCACAGTTATGTTCACTGCCGTGTAATGAATGAAATTACTTATTCATTTCGAGTCTATGTACTTACGGTATCGGCATTTGACGGTGACAGGTTCGCTGTCCAAAAAGTCTGATGCGCCAACTGCGTTTTGAGCGCAAACCCTAAACATGTACTCGGCGTCTTCGTGTAACTTTTGCACGCTGTAAGCTGACACGTCGTGGTCTACGTCAGCCACCTTGGACCAGATCATCTTGCCCACGTTGCACCTTTCAACCTGATATGCTGATATGTCCAACCCACCATCATCGGATGGCTTGTTCCACTCGATCGTCACAGAGTCCGAGTTGATTTCTTTGATGCGCATCGGGCCTTGCGGCGCGCTTGGTTTATCTGTATACGAAATTAAATCAGTGTTTCAGAATAACCACTAGATAAATTGAAATTAAGTATTCATTATTTGAATTGGGTGAGAATGTTAAGGCACATATAAGTGGATTTTTCACGATTGCATTCCCTGGGAGAAAGGGGTAGAAAATAACGACAAAATAACGGGATTGACAAGGGGCGAGAACAAAACATTACCAACCAGACAGAATTTCGTTTATCCCTTACCGTCCTTAGCCGGCTCTAAACACAATACTTCAAGTAAATATAATATTTTATCGATGATCGCTAAATGCCCGAAAAATCGGAGTACTCACCAATAACTTTGAGGTTCAGATTGCACGTGGCCGTGCCGGCTGCATTTGATGCGGTTATCGTGTAGATGCCGGTGTCAGGTCTTTCCGCCGAGTAAATAGCTATTGTTGATGACCATTCGTCGTTGTCGTCATATACGCTTATGTGTTTATCAGCCACCGGTAACGGTTGGCTGTTCTTCTGCCACGAAATGGTTGGCTTTGGATAACCCTTGTATGTAGCTTTGACCTTCCACTGATTACGCACCCTAATCATTTGCGAAGTCTCCGATTCATGGACTTCAATTTTAGGTACGTCTTGTACGCTGAGTTTGCACGATGTTTGGGCAGTACCGGCTCCGTTGGTTGCTTGGCAGGTGTAAGTACCTGTTGTAGATTCGTTGCACTCGGCGATCGTCAACTTAGCCACATGGTTTTCAAAGGTCGTTGTCTTTGTTTTATATAATGTTTTGTTCTTAAGCCTTAAAATATAAGATATAATATCAGATTGAAAACCATTATAAATTAGTATTTAATTAATTAAACTATGAGTACTATAAATAAAATAAATGGTAGGTTTTTAAAATTTATGACGCAATTAGGTAGTATACACAGTTACCATTTAATATCCGGCGTGGGTTTCCCAGTAATTACACATTGGAGCACTGCCGATTTACCCATTCCAATTGATAAATCAGATAAAGGTTCCTGAATAACAGGTGGAGTAAATGATCCTGGACTTGCCATCTTGATATATTTTGTATTGTGTGATGAAGGACCTATTCCAGCACAATTTATCGCTGCCACTTTGAACATTATTTCATGTCCAGTTACTAAACTTGTGACTTCGTGTGTGGTATCTGTCACTTGTACTTTATGCCACCTGATAAATAATTTTATTAAAAATGCATGTACAACTGAAGATATTTAAATATATAGGTAATAATATTACTATTTACTTACACCATAAATTCATCTTTGTCGTGGTATTCAACAACGTAACCTTCAATAGGTGAATTTCCATCAAATTGTGGTGGTTTCCAGTGAAGTGTAACTGAAGTGTCAGTGACTTCAATAACATCTGGAACACCTGGTTCTCCAGGTACCTCTGTAATATGCATAATAAATCATTATTGGTCAAGTTTGTTAGGAAAAAAATGTAATACTAACTAATAACAATAATGTTCATATCCGCAGTAGTTTCACCATAAATATTTTTTAATTTTAATGTTAGGACACCCGTGTCTACTTCTTCTATCTTCGAGATTGTCAAACTCGCCGATGATTCACTAATAGAATAGGACACCTAAACCAAAAATGTAATTTATGATTTTTGTTTTAAATAAATACAAAATTACTCATACTCTATTTGTTTTTATTAGTACACTTCCGTTGATAAACCATTCCATTGTCGGCAACGGTGTTGATGTAAATGTTACATCCACGTTTAGATCTTCCCCATTTTTCAAACGATATTCTTTTGGAAGGTTATTTATTTTGGGTGGCTCTTCTTTAACTAAAAATTATAGATCATATTAAAATAAATAAAATTGATATTCTAATAGATTTCAACAATGTAAGTAGTTTACCTTCAACTTTTAATTTCGTTGATGTTTTTACGTTAACAGCAGTACATATATATTCTGCTTCGTCATCAGTAGTAGGTTTTTTAATAATTAAGGTATGGACGGCTCCTTCAGAAATTATTTCGTATTTATCAGATTCTTTTATTACTTTACCTGATCTAAAACGTAAGGGTTTCAACGTTAAATAAAATATGAATTAAATAACAATTTTACACTCATAAGTACCTTAGCCATTTCACTGGTACATCCTGCTTGGAAAGCTCAATTGTAAGTTTAATATCACTACCTTGAACGGCGAGTGTGATATCGGGTAATTTTTTCACAAAACTGGCTCTTGGTTCTAGAAAACAGGAATTATTGGGTTTTCAAGAAAATGTTTGTAACATATTATTTTATAATGTAATAGTTCTGGTGTACCGCGTTTAGTGATCAGTCGTTCGGATATAAACACTACACTGATTAATAAGTGGGAAAAGTACAATCTAACACCAGAAAATTGAATACAGGTATCTACGTGTAGAATCTGGTTATTTTTGTGTTCCTATAAGTGTCTAATGCTAATGTTCAAAATTCAAAATCAAATTTTGTGAATGTAATCAAAAAAAAATCGTATTCGTTCACTGAGTACCTACGATTTAGTCGATTGTCAGGAGTATACGCTTTTGTTGTTTAAAATATCTGTTTAAACTATAAAAATACAATAAAAATATTATCACCTTCAACCGTTAATTTAGCTGTACAAGTTTGTTCATGAACTTGACATCCATAAACCCCAGTATCAGTTCTTGTAGCTTTGACTATCTCTAATTTTTGTCGTTTGCCATCAATGGTTAATCTCACATTGTTATTTAACTGTAATTCCTTGCCATCTTTGGTCCATTTAACTAATGCATCACCTTTAGTTAATTCTATTTCAAATAACACTTGTTCACCGGTAGCAACTTTTTGATCTTTTAGTTTCTTTATTATTTGTGGTGCAAGCTCTGAAAATTCACAAATTTAATTTAAATTCAGTATATTATTAAAGTATAAACATAAAATAATATTAGTATTATATTAAAACATTTGAAACTATACTCATATTTTTGAATAAACTAACTGTTAAAGCATACTGTTTTTTCTATTTAAGTAGCTACCTACATTAATTTTCACTCAGGGAATAATTTTTATTTTAAGAAAATCATAGATATCATGTAATTTTAAGCTTTTATAACGCACTAAATTCTTACAAAAAGATCTAATTTTTTGAGGGCATATTTTATAAATGTAAATTCTAAATTTTACAATTATTTTTAATGGCCTTCCTTTAAATGTAATCGAATGTACAAATAATGAATATATTTTTATTAATATGAAAGATTTGTTTATAAAATCTAGTGCAATAAATAATTCAAACTATAAATAATAATAATAAATAATTACATTTTTTTCAAAATTCTAAAAAGTATTAATACTGTGTAACCACTATAACCAGTCAAATGGATAACCTAGTGTATTTAAATTAAATTCACTAATATATTACAAACTATAAGTTTCAAGACTTATGAAATAAATATTATTATGACGTTAAATATATAATTTAAAACAAAATCAGAGAAATTCAAACATACTGTTAACTGATGTGCAAAAAAGAGAATTAAGTATGAACCCTTCGTTAGTCATTTGCGTTATATATGTATCCCAAATCTCAGGGTTCTATAAACCAAACAAATATTCACTAATGTAGTACAACTTCCATGTACTTTCAATATACAGGTACCTATTTATATTTAGTTTTGGGTTAGGTCTATTTATATTCAAGTATATTTGAGCCTAAGTTGACTGGGATACAAATGTACACCGTGGAACCAAGTACCAACCGTCTAACTTATTATGTGGATGTAATAAACATAATGTTTATGGAAATATTAAAAAAGTAATATGTATATATCTTATAATCTATCTTAATATTCAGATGTTATACATGATACAACATTATAAATCGTTAATGTCATGTTCATGTTCATGTCATGTTCATTTATTTTAGTATGATGTTTCAAATATATACATAAATAATAATAAAATACAAATTAAGGATAATTTGAATGATTTAGAAAATAAATATAATTGGGATGACTGGAAATACAAAATATCGATTGACTAACGAAGGGTTGATTATATTTTCAGACTTGGGTATGTATGTTTACCTGGCTGCATTAATATTACATTGATTACTACACTATACTTAAATACAAAATAATATTATAATACATACCTATAACATTTATTTCTGCTGTACATTCTTGTTCACCCAATGAACACGTATATTCACCGTCATCGTGAACAGATATGCTTCGAATAATTAGCTTACGTGTTTGACCTTCCTTTTCGAAGAATACTTTATTGTTCATACCGTCCGTAAGCATTTCACCGTTCTGCTCATGTAAATAACATAAAAATGAATATTACTTATACTAGATATAGGTATTTTGAGTTTACTTACCTTGTGCCAAGTAACATTTACTGTTTCTGAAGAAACTTCAACCTCCAAAATAGCACAATCGTTCTCTTTTACTTCAACATCTTCAAGTTTCTTAACAAACTCTGCTTTTACATCGTGAACTACTACTGTGCTGGAAGTAATCTGGTCTTTAACCAGACAAGTGTATTTTCCAGAATCGAGAATGCTTGATTTTTTGATAATTAAACGATGGAATCGTCCTTCTTGGTGCAATTCTCTATGGTCCATACCAGTGAGGTCTTTGCCATTCAATTGCCATTTTGTGGAAACTGTGTGTGATGTTTCACATTCTAAATAAATTGATTGTTTTTCATCGACTTCCACGTCTATCAATGGTCGGGTGAATTTCCTATAATGTTATTAATACAATAATTAATGTACATATTATATAATAACAAAAATAAATCATACATTTGTATTATTTATATACTTACACTTGTGGTACATCAACCGAAACCCTAGCACCATGTGTGGCAGTACCAAATGTGTTTGATGCTACACATTTGTAATCACCGGCGTCTTCTTCACTGTCAGCATTTACGATTTCCAAAACTATATTTTCACCATCAAATACTTCTTTTTTCTTTGATGAAGCAAGTAATGGTTTATTATTTCTGAACCAAGAAACAATTGGAACTGGATTTCCGGTTACCTTAGCAATTAATGTAATAGTTCCCTTTTCTTTGACTGTTTGTTCTTGGAAACGTTCAATAAACAGTGGCGCTTGCGGACCAGGGAGTTCTGTGAATTTAATTTAAATAGTTATTTACTTAAATATCATTATATTCCGGGAAAATATGATGTAACTTTTATGATTTCACTTGTTATTAATTTGAACTTAATTGCTTATATTATTATTTAACGTAGAAATAATAATGATAGCATAAAGTAAATCATTTTTTAATTCAAATCATAAATGTTTTTCTTTGACTTAGTTTGATTATGTAATTAAGTTTATACAAACATATAGCACGTACCTTCAACTGCCAGGAAACACGTGGTTTGTGCGTTACCAAGCTTGTTTGAAGCGATAACAGTGTATTTTGCGGAATCGCGTGGAGTTGGGTTATCGATGGTTAATGAATGGACACCATCTTTGGTCACAACAGTTTTGATATCTGTTATTTTCTTACTGTTTTTTAGCCATTCGACCATAGGCTGGGGCTCTCCACTAATTTGAGTACTCAAAACGGCAGTCTCTCCCTCGTTTATAGTTATGTCGTATAAAGGTTCAAGTATTTGTGGTTTCTCTGGTAATCCAGTTTTAACTTTGAGAACCAAATCCATTTTAGCCTCACCCTCTCTATTTCTTGCTATTACAGAGTAGACACCTTCTTGAGTCTTTAGGACGTCATTAATTTTAATGCAGCTCACATAGAAGTGCATATCTGAGTAGGTATTCACTTTTATGGAATCTGTGATCGAAATTTCTTTACCATTGTAATGCCAGAATATATCTGGTTCTGGCACAGCTACAAGACGACATTCAATTGTAACATCTGAGTGTTCTGATGCACACGTAGCTTTTGGTTTACGTGAAAACGTTGGTGGTATACCTTCTAGTATATCAGCTAATGACGATTCTCTGAAAATATCATACACGCTCTTAATAAACAGCCGTTATGCAAACCATGTTTTTATAATACGTAGTAGCTCGATAAAAATGTTTAATGGCTTAAGTTTTATATTTAGATATACATAATAAAGGGTTGAGTTACAGGTTTAAATTTAAAAAAAATAAATACCTAGACATGCTCTTTCTAGAGAGACCTGTTACATCAGAACCATGGTCTGACAATGGAGCTTCAACGGTTAACTCTGTAGTACTAGATGCAAATCCAGCTACGTTTTTTGCAACACACGTAAATGTGCCAGCATCTTCAGGAAAAACTTCTCTAATTATTAACGTTGCTACATTGTCTTCATCATAGAATATCTGAAATTGATTAATTTTGATAAGATAGAAAACTATATATTAATTTAAAAATAAGTTAGTATCAAATGCAAAACTTAAATTTTTACTAACTTGGAAATCTTGAGAGGGTTTAATTATTGCTGTTTGCCTAAACCATGTGATTTGAGGCCTAGGATTTCCTTCCACATGACATTCAAACTGAACAGTGCCACCATCTGGCACATGTTTAGGTTGGAGTTTTTGAACAAAACGTGGAGCTGAAGGTTTTTCTGTTGAAGCATGCCCTTGGAAAATTTATTTTATGGTTAATCAAACGTTCAAACTTAATGCGAGCCTATAATACCGGTATTTTATCTGTGACTTACAACTACACAGTATATTGAATAATCAATAAATTTATTTTAAAGTGCCAATAGGTACTGAATTGGCTTAGTTATACATTTATAATTAACTATAATGATAAGAAAATATTATCCAAGTTCTTTCGATATCTTCTTATTTTATACACATATTAATTTCTAACTTAATTTACAATTATGTAGAGCATATATGTCAGATACAATAAATACGGATATCATATGATTTAATAAAAATACTAAACATTTATTTTACATTTCTATATATTTTAATTCTTACTTTGGAAAATTGGTAGTTTATCAATCTTTTCATGTAATTTCTTTTGAACGTACCGCATGTAGCTGGTTTCATCTCTCAAATAAATAGAAGGAACCCATCCTTTTTCTTCCGTTAAATGTTTTTTAACAAACCACCATTCTTGGTTATTGCTTTCTAAAATAAAAAAAAAATTAAAAAAATTGTTGGTAAATTTGTAAATAAGAATTTTAACTTACCTATAACATAAACTTTTTCACCTTCAACTAAGTCTAAAGCATCTTCATTTTCAGCAATGTATGAGCGGATTGCAAACATTATCTCACCATCATGACTATCTTCTTGTAAAGTGGAATTATCTGAAAAAAGACCATTCATATTTATAACTAAAAAGAAATAATAATTTAATGAATAATATGAAGCGTGTAAAGCAGATGCGACGACTAAAAACAATAGCAAAAGCTATAAAAATTGAGCAGAGATCGTCGTACCCTTCACAAAAATATCTTTTTCTTGAATTATTTTCAATTCGGCTCCATCTGCATCAAATATGAATAACATTTATAGTAAAAAAAATGGTAAAAATTCATGAAGAAAATGACGTAATACTAAAAGATTCCTTATAATATAGGTATAAAATATTTAAACAACATGCATACCTTGACTAAAAGATTGTAATGAAGGCTTTCGTTTAACTTTAAAATCTAACGACTCTTCTTCGTAAATTATTATATCCTGCAATTCCTTTTTGGGTTTTAAATCTATTTGAAATAATTCCTCAGTTCCTTCATCTATATTATAAACCGACGAATTACGTTTTGGTTTCATTTTAAACTCTACAGTTTCAGAGAATTCTTCGTCCAATAACATTGATTGTTCGGGTGTTTTTTTAATTGTGAAAACTTCTTCGTGTTGACCTATTTCATTTGGTTTTTCTACTTTTTTCACAGGACGTTTAACAATTACAGAAGATTGTTCTGGAGATTTTTCTTTTGTTTCCTTTTTGAGGGAAGTCTTTCGTTTTTGTCTTAACTCAACTGTGGGCTGTTCTTCTTCTTTTACAATAGTTTCCATTTGTTCAATTGTTATCTCGTCTGCTGCTTCTTCTTTCTTTTTTGATGGTTTTCTTCTCGGTTCAATTTTTACATCAACCGTTTCAGTTACCTCTTGAAGTTCTTCTGGCTTTTCAATTGTTTTCTTAAACGTGAACACTTCTTCTTGTTCTTCTAGAGGCTGAGATATTTCCTCTTTCTTCTTTGGTCGTTTAAGAAGTACAGAAGATTGTTCTGGAGACTTTTCTTTCGTTTCCTTTTTGATAGAAGTCTTTCGTTTTGGTTTTAACTCAACTTCGACTTCTTCTGTAGGCTGTTCTTCTTCTTTTACAATAGTTTCAATTTGTTCAATTGTTATCTCGTCTGCTGCTTCTTCTTTCTTTATTGATGGTTTTCTTCTCGGTTCAATTTTTACATCAACCGTTTCAGTTACCGCTTGAAGTTCTTCTGGCTTTTCAATTGTTTTCTTAAACGTGAACACTTCTTCTTGTTCTTCTAGAGGCTGAGATATTTCCTCTTTCTTCTTTGGTCGTTTAAGAAGTACAGAAGATTGTTCTGGAGACTTTTCTTTCGTTTCCTTTTTGATAGAAGTCTTTCGTTTTGGTTTTAACTCAACTTCGACTTCTTCTGTAGGCTGTTCTTCTTCTTTTACAATAGTTTCAATTTGTTCAATTGTTATCTCGTCTGCTGCTTCTTCTTTCTTTATTGATGGTTTTCTTCTCGGTTCAATTTTTACATCAACCGTTTCAGTTACCTCTTGAAGTTCTTCTGGCTTCTCAATTGTTTTTGTAATTGTAAAAACATCTTCGATAGGTTCTTGTTCTTGTGGAATTTCGTCTTTCTTTTTTGGTCGTTTTAGAACTACAGAAGATTCTTCTGGAGATTTTTCTTTTGATTCCTTTTTGAGAGAAGTCTTTCGTTTTGGTTTTAATTGGACATCGATTTCTTCTGTAGGATGTTCTTCTTCTTTTACAATAGTTTCAATTTGTTCAATTGTTATCTCGTCTGCTGCTTCTTCTTTCTTTATTGATGGTTTTCTTCTAGGTTCAATTTTTACATCAACCGTTTCTGTTACTTCTTGAAGTTGTTCTGGCTTTTCAATTGTTTTTGTAATTGTAAACACATCTTCGCTAGGTTCTTGTTTTTGTGGAATTTCTTCTTTCTTTTTTGGTCGTTTTAGAACTACAGAAGATTCTTCAGGAGATTTTTCTTTTGATTCCTTTTTGAGAGAAGTCTTTCGTTTTGGTTTTAACTTGACTTCGACTTCTTCTGTAGGCTGTTCTTCTTCTTTTACAATAGTTTCAATTTGTTCAACTGTTATCTCGTCTGCTGCTTCTTCTTTCTTTATTGATGGTTTTCTTCTTGGTTCAATTTTTACATCAACCGTTTCAGTTACCTCTTGAAGTTCTTCTGGCTTCTCAATTGTTTTTGTAATTGTAAAAACATCTTCGATAGGTTCTTGTTCTTGTGGAATTTCGTCTTTCTTTTTTGGTCGTTTTAGAACTACAGAAGATTCTTCTGGAGATTTTTCTTTTGATTCCTTTTTGAGAGAAGTCTTTCGTTTTGGTTTTAATTGGACATCGATTTCTTCTGTAGGATGTTCTTCTTCTTTTACAATAGTTTCAATTTGTTCAATTGTTATCTCGTCTGCTGCTTCTTCTTTCTTTATTGATGGTTTTCTTCTAGGTTCAATTTTTACATCAACCGTTTCTGTTACTTCTTGAAGTTGTTCTGGCTTTTCAATTGTTTTTGTAATTGTAAACACATCTTCGCTAGGTTCTTGTTTTTGTGGAATTTCTTCTTTCTTTTTTGGTCGTTTTAGAACTACAGAAGATTCTTCAGGAGATTTTTCTTTTGATTCCTTTTTGAGAGAAGTCTTTCGTTTTGGTTTTAACTTGACTTCGACTTCTTCTGTAGGCTGTTCTTCTTCTTTTACAATAGTTTCAATTTGTTCAACTGTTATCTCGTCTGCTGCTTCTTCTTTCTTTATTGATGGTTTTCTTCTTGGTTCAATTTTTACATCAACCGTTTCAGTTAACTCTTGAAGTTCTTCTGGCTTTTCAATTGTTTTCTTAAACGTGAGCACTTCTTCTTGTTCTTCTAGAGGCTGAGATATTTCCTCTTTCTTCTTTGGTCGTTTAAGAAGTACAGCAGATTGTTCTGGAGACTTTTCTTTTGTTTCCTTTTTGATAGAAGTCTTTCGTTTTGGTTTTAACTTGACTTCGACTTCTTCTGTAGGCTGTTCTTCTTTTACAATAGTTTCAATTTGTTCAATTGTTATCTCGTCTGCTGCTTCTTCTTTTTTTATTGATGGTTTTCTTCTCGGTTCAATTTTAACATCAACCGTTTCAGTTACCACTTGAAGTTCTTCTGGCTTTTCAATTGTTTTTGTAATTGTAAAAACATCTTCGATAGGTTCTTGTTCTTGTGGAATTTCGTCTTTCTTTTTTGGTCGTTTTAGAACTACAGAAGATTCTTCTGGAGATTTATCTTTTGATTCCTTTTTGAGAGAAGTCTTTCGTTTTGGTTTTAATTTGACTTCGATTTCTTCTGTAGGCTGTTCTTCTTCTTTTACAATAGTTTCAATTTGTTGAACTGTTATCTCGTCTGCTGCTTCTTCTTTCTTTATTGATGGTTTTCTTCTCGGTTCAAATTTAACATCAACCGTTTCTGTTACTTCTTGAAGTTCTTCTGGCTTTTCAATTGTTTTTGTAATTGTAAAAACATCTTCGCTAGGTTCTTCTTCTTGTGGAATTTCGTCTTTCTTTTTTGGTCGTTTTAGAACTACAGAAGATTTTTCTGGAGATTTTTCTTTGGATTCCTTTTTGAGAGAACCTTTTCGTTTTGGTTTTAACTTGACTTCGACTTCTTCTGTAGGCTGTTCTTCTTCTTTTACAATAGTTTCAATTTGTTCAACTGTTATCTCGTCTGCTGCTTCTTCTTTCTTTATTGATGGTTTTCTCTTAGGTTCATTTTTTACATCAACCGTTTCTGTTACTTCTTGAAGTTGTTCTGGCTTTTCAATTGTTTTTTTAATTTTAAAAACATCTTCGCTAGGTTCTTGTTCTTGTGGAATTTCGTCTTTCTTTTTTGGTCGTTTTAGAACTACAGAAGATTCGTCTGGAGATTTTTCTTTTGATTCCTTTTTGGGAGAAGTCTTTCGTTTTGGTTTTAACTCGACTTCGACTTCTTCTGTAGGCTGTTCTTCTTCTTTTATAATAGTTTCAATATCTTTATTAGTGATATCATTAACTGCTTCATCATAAATTATTGAATGTTTTCTTCTTGGTTCATGTTCGACATAAACAATTTCAAGCTCGTTTGTAATTTCTTTTGGCATTTCAGAGGTATCATGATCAGTTAAGTTTTCTTCAAAAGTTTCTTCAACTGGTTTTGTTATTTTTTCAAGAGGACTATAGGGCAGAACTTTTTCATCGGGAGAGTTTTGTTCATTTAGTTTCTTAATAAGATCATCTGGTTTTAATTGAATTTCCGTAACTTCATTTATAGTCAATGATTTTATAGGTTCTTCTATAACTGACTTTCGATGAAGTTTTACATTACCGGTCATGGAAATTTCTTCTTCTTCATATGTTTGGGCTTTGATACTAAACTCTTGTTCAATTATCTCTTTGGGTTTAGTTTGTTTTGGAATGAACGTAACACTAACTATTTCTTCTTCATCAGAAACGGACTTTTTCTTTCTTGGTTTTAAGGTCGAAAATGCTTCTTTAATATCAATTTCTTTAGGAGTAGTATCTATTTTATCAATAATTGTAGGCTTGACCATTGGTTTTGATGTATGAGAATCTATAGGAGACTCGATCAATTTATCAGTCAATTCTTCTTTTAAACTGTCTTTAACTAATTCACCTGAAATAGGTAAATAATCGCATTTAAGAATCTAGCTTTGGATTAAATAATAAATGAAAAAAGATCATTAATTGGTTAATAAAAAACATTATAAAATATAAATTTTAATATAATTAGTTAGAATCATTATACTGTTGTTCAAATAATTGTATTTCAAGTCGGAAAATAAACAATGAAAAAAAAAATTATATCACCTAGAGAACTATTGATACATAATAATGGTAAAACTCGGAATATTAAAAATTACATTGGGTAGAGTGTAAAACATATTATAAGCAATACAAAAATCTTTAAAATATGAAGCTTTAAATACATCTAATATAATGTAAATTATACGAAAAAATTATAAGAATATTATTGTATTTAACCAACAATTAAATACAACACAATTGAACCAAAAAGAAATAATAAAATTCAATTATTTGAAATAACATAAAAAGGAATAATTTGTTATAATTTGTTATAATTTCAAAAAAAGGACAACATAATGGAAGTTATTATAAACATCGTCAATGATGATGACATAATGCAAGAACGGAAAAAAAGGTAAATATCAAGGAAAAATTATAAAAAAAAAACGATCACAGTTCCAAATAGGTAACAAATAACATATCTGTGTAATTTTCATAATAAAATAAAATACCTGACATGAGACTGTCTGAAATATAAACTGGAGATGTAGATTGTACATCGTCATGTAACATGCTATCATATGTTTGTGATGTGTCATCGTGAAAGTGTGTAATGGGATGTGTTGCTAAGTGTACATCAGGTATCATAGCTTCATGCAGCTTGAAAGATATCATTTCAGGCAATGACTTTTGTTCCACGTCAACTATTTCGCTTATCTCAGGCTTTGATTCTATAACTTCTACACTTTCTACACCATCTCTCACTTTTTTAGTAATTTTCTTTTTGATAACCTTCTTCTTTCCACCCTCGATAACTGTTGTGGTTTTAATATCGACTGATGTAGACTCGTCGGTTATAGGGGTAGCTTCCTCAGGTTTATCAGATTCTAATTCTGGCAATGGCTTAGGCTCCTCGTCAACAATTTCCGTAATCTCAGGTTTGGATTCTATAAATTCTACACTTTCTACACCATCTCTCACTTTTTTAATAGTTTTCTTTTTGATAACCTTTTTCTTACCCTCGATTACTGTTGTGGTTTTAATATCGACTGATGTAGACTCGTCGGTTATAGGGGTAGCTTCCTCAGGTTTATCAGATTCTAATTCTGGCAATGGCTTAGGCTCCTCGTCAACAATTTCTGTAATCTCAGGTTTGGATTCTATAACTTCTACACTTTCCACTCCGTCTTTTACAGTTTTAATAGTTTTCTTTTTGATAACTTTTTTCTTACCACCCTCGATTACTGTTGTGGTTTTAATATCGACTGATGTAGACTCGTCGGTTATTGGGGTAACTTCCTCAGGTTTATCAGATTCTAATTCTGGCAATGGCTTAGGCTCCTCGTCAACAATTTCCGTAATCTCAGGTTTGGATTCTATAACTTCTACACTTTCTACACCATCTCTCACTTTTTTAATAGTTTTCTTTTTGATAACCTTTTTCTTCCCACCCTCGATTACTGTTGTGGTTTTAATATCGACTGATGTAGAATCGTCGGTTATAGGAGTAGCTTCCTCAGATTTATCAGATTCTAATTCTGGCAATGGCTTAGGCTCCTCGTCAACAATTTCCGTAATCTCAGGCTTTGATTCTATAACTTCTACACTTTCCACTCCGTCTTTTACAGTTTTAATAGTTTTCTTTTTGATTACCTTTTTCTTACCACCCTCGATTACTGTTGTGGTTTTAATATCGACTGATGTAGAATCGTCGGTTATAGGAGTAGCTTCCTCAGGTTTATCAGATTCTAATTCTGGCAATGGCTTAGGCTCCTCGTCAACAATTTCCGTAATCTCAGGTTTGGATTCTATAACTTCTACACTTTCTACACCATCTCTCACTTTTTTAATAGTTTTCTTTTTGATAACCTTTTTCTTCCCACCCTCGATTACTGTTGTGGTTTTAATATCGACTGATGTAGAATCGTCGGTTATAGGAGTAGCTTCCTCAGATTTATCAGATTCTAATTCTGGCAATGGCTTAGGCTCCTCGTCAACAATTTCCGTAATCTCAGGCTTTGATTCTATAACTTCTACACTTTCCACTCCGTCTTTTACAGTTTTAATAGTTTTCTTTTTGATTACCTTTTTCTTACCACCCTCGATTACTGTTGTGGTTTTAATATCGACTGATGTAGAATCGTCGGTTATAGGAGTAGCTTCCTCAGGTTTATCAGATTCTAATTCTGGCAATGGCTTATGCTCCTCGTCAACAATTTCCGTAATCTCAGGCTTTGATTCTATAACTTCTACACTTTCCACCCCGTCTTTTACAGTTTTAATTGTTTTCTTTTTGATTACCTTTTTCTTACCACCCTCGATTACTGTTGTGGTTTTAATATCGACTGATGTAGACTCGTCGGTTATAGGAGTAGCTTCTTCAGGTTTATCAGATTCTAATTCTGGCAATGGCTTAGGCTCCTCGTCAACAATTTCCGTAATCTCAGGTTTGGATTCTATAACTTCTACACTTTCTACACCATCTCTCACTTTTTTAATAGTTTTCTTTTTGATTACCTTTTTCTTACCACCCTCGATTACTGTTGTGGTTTTAATATCGACTGATGTAGACTCGTCGATTATAGGGGTAGCTTCCTCAGGTTTATCAGATTCTAATTCTGGCAATGGCTTAGGCTCCTCGTCAACAATTTCCGTAATCTCAGGTTTGGATTCTATAAATTCTACACTTTCTACACCATCTCTCACTTTTTTAATAGTTTTCTTTTTGATAACCTTTTTCTTACCCTCGATTACTGTTGTGGTTTTAATATCGACTGATGTAGACTCGTCGGTTATAGGGGTAGCTTCCTCAGGTTTATCAGATTCTAATTCTGGCAATGGCTTAGGCTCCTCGTCAACAATTTCTGTAATCTCAGGTTTGGATTCTATAACTTCTACACTTTCCACTCCGTCTTTTACAGTTTTAATAGTTTTCTTTTTGATAACTTTTTTCTTACCACCCTCGATTACTGTTGTGGTTTTAATATCGACTGATGTAGAATCGTCGGTTATAGGAGTAGCTTCCTCAGGTTTATCAGATTCTAATTCTGGCAATGGCTTAGGCTCCTCGTCAACAATTTCCGTAATCTCAGGTTTGGATTCTATAACTTCTACACTTTCTACACCATCTCTCACTTTTTTAATAGTTTTCTTTTTGATAACCTTTTTCTTCCCACCCTCGATTACTGTTGTGGTTTTAATATCGACTGATGTAGAATCGTCGGTTATAGGAGTAGCTTCCTCAGATTTATCAGATTCTAATTCTGGCAATGGCTTAGGCTCCTCGTCAACAATTTCCGTAATCTCAGGCTTTGATTCTATAACTTCTACACTTTCCACTCCGTCTTTTACAGTTTTAATAGTTTTCTTTTTGATTACCTTTTTCTTACCACCCTCGATTACTGTTGTGGTTTTAATATCGACTGATGTAGAATCGTCGGTTATAGGAGTAGCTTCCTCAGGTTTATCAGATTCTAATTCTGGCAATGGCTTATGCTCCTCGTCAACAATTTCCGTAATCTCAGGCTTTGATTCTATAACTTCTACACTTTCCACCCCGTCTTTTACAGTTTTAATTGTTTTCTTTTTGATTACCTTTTTCTTACCACCCTCGATTACTGTTGTGGTTTTAATATCGACTGATGTAGACTCGTCGGTTATAGGAGTAGCTTCTTCAGGTTTATCAGATTCTAATTCTGGCAATGGCTTAGGCTCCTCGTCAACAATTTCCGTAATCTCAGGTTTGGATTCTATAACTTCTACACTTTCTACACCATCTCTCACTTTTTTAATAGTTTTCTTTTTGATTACCTTTTTCTTACCACCCTCGATTACTGTTGTGGTTTTAATATCGACTGATGTAGACTCGTCTGTTATAGGAGTAGCTTCCTCAGGTTTATCAGATTCTAATTCTGGCAATGGCTTAGACTCCTCGTCAACAATTTCCGTAATCTCAGGCTTTGATTCTATAACTTCTACACTTTCCACCCCGTCTTTTACAGTTTTAATTGTTTTCTTTTTGATTACCTTTTTCTTACCACCCTCGATTACTGTTGTGGTTTTAATATCGACTGATGTAGACTCGTCGGTTATAGGAGTAGCTTCCTCAGGTTTATCAGATTCTAATTCTGGCAATGGCTTAGGCTCCTCGTCAACAATTTCCGTAATCTCAGGTTTGGATTCTATAACTTCTACACTTTCCACTCCGTCTTTTACAGTTTTAATAGTTTTCTTTTTGATTACCTTTTTCTTACCACCCTCGATTACTGTTGTGGTTTTAATATCGACTGATGTAGACTCGTCGGTTATAGGAGTAGCTTCCTCAGGTTTATCAGATTCTAATTCTGGCAATGGCTTAGGCTCCTCGTCAACAATTTCCGTAATCTCAGGTTTGGATTCTATAACTTCTACACTTTCCACTCCGTCTTTTACAGTTTTAATAGTTTTCTTTTTGATAACTTTTTTCTTACCACCCTCGATTACTGTTGTGGTTTTAATATCGACTGATGTAGACTCGTCGGTTATAGGAGTAGCTTCCTCAGGTTTATCAGATTCTAATTCTGGCAATGGCTTAGGCTCCTCGTCAACAATTTCCGTAATCTCAGGCTTTGATTCTATAACTTCTACACTTTCCACCCCGTCTTTTACAGTTTTAATTGTTTTCTTTTTGATTACCTTTTTCTTACCACCCTCGATTACTGTTGTGGTTTTAATATCGACTGATGTAGACTCGTCGGTTATAGGAGTAGCTTCCTCAGGTTTATCAGATTCTAATTCTGGCAATGGCTTAGGCTCCTCGTCAACAATTTCTGTAATCTCAGGTTTGGATTCTATAACTTCTACACTTTCCACCCCGTCTTTTACAGTTTGAATTGTTTTCTTTTTGATTACCTTTTTCTTACCACCCTCGATTACTGTTGTGGTTTTAATATCGACTGATGTAGACTCGTCAGTTATAGGGGTAGCTTCTTCAGGTTTAACAGATTCTAATTCTGGCAATGGCTTAGACTCCTCGTCAACAACTTCGGTAATCTCAGGTTTGGATTCTATAACTTCTACACTTTCTACACCGTCTCTCACTTTTTTAATAGTTTTCTTTTTGATAACTTTTTTCTTACCACCCTCGATTACTGTTGTGGTTTTAATATCGACTGATGTAGACTCGTCGGTTATAGGGGTAACTTCCTCAGGTTTATCAGATTCTAATTCTGGCAATGGCTTAGGCTCCTCGTCAACAATTTCCGTAATCTCAGGTTTGGATTCTGTAACTTCTACACTTTCCACTCCGTCTTTTACAGTTTTAATTGTTTTCTTTTTGATTACCTTTTTCTTACCACCCTCGATTACTGTTGTGGTTTTAATATCGACTGATGTAGACTCGTCGGTTATAGGAGTAGCTTCCTCAGGTTTATCAGATTCTAATTCTGGCAATGGCTTAGGCTCCTCGTCAACAATTTCCGTAATCTCAGGCTTTGATTCTATAACTTCTACACTTTCCACCCCGTCTTTTACAGTTTTAATTGTTTTCTTTTTGATTACCTTTTTCTTACCACCCTCGATTACTGTTGTGGTTTTAATATCGACTGATGTAGACTCGTCGGTTATAGGAGTAGCTTCCTCAGGTTTATCAGATTCTAATTCTGGCAATGGCTTAGGCTCCTCGTCAACAATTTCCGTAATCTCAGGTTTGGATTCCATAACTTCTACACTTTCCACCCCGTCTTTTACAGTTTTAATTGTTTTCTTTTTGATTACCTTTTTCTTACCACCCTCGATTACTGTTGTGGTTTTAATATCGACTGATGTAGACTCGTCGATTATAGGGGTAGCTTCCTCAGGTTTATCAGATTCTAATTCTGGCAATGGCTTAGGCTCCTCGTCAACAATTTCGGTAATATCTGGCTTTGATTCTATAACTTCTACACTTTCTACACCATCTCTCACTTTTTTAATAGTTTTCTTTTTGATTACCTTTTTCTTACCACCCTCGATTACTGTTGTGGTTTTAATATCGACTGATGTAGACTCGTCGATTATAGGGGTAGCTTCCTCAGGTTTATCAGATTCTAATTCTGGCAATGGCTTAGGCTCCTCGTCAACAATTTCCGTAATCTCAGGTTTGGATTCTATAACTTCCACACTTTCCACCCCGTCTTTTACAGTTTTAATTGTTTTCTTTTTGATTACCTTTTTCTTACCACCCTCGATTACTGTTGTGGTTTTAATATCGACTGATGTAGACTCGTCGGTTATAGGGGTAGCTTCCTCAGGTTTATCAGATTCTAATTCTGGCAATGGCTTAGGCTCCTCGTCAACAATTTCAGTAATCTCAGGTTTGGATTCTATAACTTCTACACTTTCCACTCCGTCTTTTACAGTTTTAATAGTTTTCTTTTTGATAACCTTTTTCTTACCACCCTCGATTACTGTTGTGGTTTTAATATCGACTGATGTAGACTCGTCGGTTATAGGGGTAGCTTCCTCAGGTTTATCAGATTCTAATTCTGGCAATGGCTTAGGCTCCTCGTCAACAATTTCGGTAATATCTGGCTTTGATTCTATAACTTCTACACTTTCTACACCATCTCTCACTTTTTTAATAGTTTTCTTTTTGATTACCTTTTTCTTACCACCCTCGATTACTGTTGTGGTTTTAATATCGACTGATGTAGACTCGTCGGTTATAGGAGTAGCTTCCTCAGGTTTATCGGATTCTAATTCTGGCAATGGCTTAGGCTCCTCGTCAACAATTTCCGTAATCTCAGGTTTGGATTCTATAACTTCGACACTTTCCACTCCATCTTTTACAGTTTTAATAGTTTTCTTTTTGATTACCTTTTTCTTACCACCCTCGATTACTGTTGTGGTTTTAATATCGACTGATGTAGACTCGTCGGTTATAGGAGTAGCTTCCTCAGGTTTATCAGATTCTAATTCTGGCAATGGCTTAGGCTCCTCGTCAACAATTTCTGTAATCTCAGGTTTGGATTCTATAACTTCTACACTTTCCACCCCGTCTTTTACAGTTTGAATTGTTTTCTTTTTGATTACCTTTTTCTTACCACCCTCGATTACTGTTGTGGTTTTAATATCGACTGATGTAGACTCGTCAGTTATAGGGGTAGCTTCTTCAGGTTTAACAGATTCTAATTCTGGCAATGGCTTAGACTCCTCGTCAACAACTTCGGTAATCTCAGGTTTGGATTCTATAACTTCTACACTTTCTACACCGTCTCTCACTTTTTTAATTGTTTTCTTTTTGATTACCTTTTTCTTACCACCCTCGATTACTGTTGTGGTTTTAATATCGACTGATGTAGACTCGTCGGTTATAGGAGTAGCTTCCTCAGGTTTATCAGATTCTAATTCTGGCAATGGCTTAGGCTCCTCGTCAACAATTTCCGTAATCTCAGGTTTGGATTCTATAACTTCTACACTTTCTACACCGTCTCTCACTTTTTTAATTGTTTTCTTTTTGATTACCTTTTTCTTACCACCCTCGATTACTGTTGTGGTTTTAATATCGACTGATGTAGACTCGTCGATTATAGGGGTAGCTTCCTCAGGTTTATCAGATTCTAATTCTGGCAATGGCTTAGGCTCCTCGTCAACAATTTCCGTAATCTCAGGTTTGGATTCTATAACTTCCACGCTTTCCACCCCGTCTTTTACAGTTTTAATTGTTTTCTTTTTGATTACCTTTTTCTTACCACCCTCGATTACTGTTGTGGTTTTAATATCGACTGATGTAGACTCGTCAGTTATAGGGGTAGCTTCTTCAGGTTTAACAGATTCTAATTCTGGCAATGGCTTAGACTCCTCGTCAACAACTTCGGTAATCTCAGGTTTGGATTCTATAACTTCTACACTTTCCACCCCGTCTTTTACAGTTTTAATTGTTTTCTTTTTGATTACCTTTTTCTTACCACCCTCGATTACTGTTGTGGTTTTAATATCGACTGATGTAGACTCGTCGATTATAGGAGTAGCTTCCTCAGGTTTATCAGATTCTAATTCTGGCAATGGCTTAGGCTCCTCGTCAACAATTTCCGTAATCTCAGGTTTGGATTCTATAACTTCTACACTTTCTACACCATCTCTCACTTTTTTAATAGTTTTCTTTTTGATTACCTTTTTCTTACCACCCTCGATTACTGTTGTGGTTTTAATATCGACTGATCTAGACTCGTCGGTTATAGGAGTATCTTCCTCAGGTTTATCAGTTTCTAATTCTGGCAATGGCTTAGGCTCCTCGTCAACAATTTCCGTAATCTCAGGTTTGGATTCTATAACTTCTACACTTTCTACACCATCTCTCACTTTTTTAATAGTTTTCTTTTTGATTACCTTTTTCTTACCACCCTCGATTACTGTTGTAGTTTTAATATCGACGGATGTACACTCGTCGGTTATAGGGGTAGCTTCTTCAGGCTTATCAGATTCTAATTCTGGCAATGGCTTAGGCTCCTCGTCAACAATTTCCGTAATCTCAGGTTTGGATTCTATAACTTCCACACTTTCCACCCCGTCTTTTACAGTTTTAATTGTTTTCTTTTTGATTACCTTTTTCTTACCACCCTCGATTACTGTTGTGGTTTTAATATCGACTGATGTAGACTCGTCGGTTATAGGGGTAGCTTCCTCAGGTTTATCAGATTCTAATTCTGGCAATGGCTTAGGCTCCTCGTCAACAATTTCCGTAATCTCAGGTTTGGATTCTATAACTTCCACATTTTCCACCCCGTCTTTTACAGTTTTAATTGTTTTCTTTTTGATTACCTTTTTCTTACCACCCTCGATTACTGTTGTGGTTTTAATATCGACTGATGTAGACTCGTCGGTTATAGGGGTAGCTTCCTCAGGTTTATCAGATTCTAATTCTGGCAATGGCTTAGGCTCCTCGTCAACAATTTCCGTAATCTCAGGTTTGGATTCTATAACTTCTACACTTTCCACTCCGTCTTTTACAGTTTTAATAGTTTTCTTTTTGATAACTTTTTTCTTACCACCCTCGATTACTGTTGTGGTTTTAATATCGACTGATGTAGACTCGTCGGTTATAGGGGTAGCTTCCTGAGGTTTATCAGATTCTAATTCTGGCAATGGCTTAGGCTCCTCGTCAACAATTTCCGTAATCTCAGGTTTGGATTCTATAACTTCTACACTTTCCACCCCGTCTTTTACAGTTTTAATAGTTTTCTTTTTGATAACCTTTTTCTTACCACCCTCGATTACTGTTGTGGTTTTAATATCGACTGATGTAGACTCGTCGGTTATAGGGGTAGCTTCCTCAGGTTTATCAGATTCTAATTCTGGCAATGGCTTAGGCTCCTCGTCAACAATTTCGGTAATATCTGGCTTTGATTCTATAACTTCTACACTTTCTACACCGTCTCTCACTTTTTTAATTGTTTTCTTTTTGATTACCTTTTTCTTGCCACCCTCGATTACTGTTGTGGTTTTAATATCGACTGATGTAGACTCGTCGATTATAGGGGTAGCTTCCTCAGGTTTATCAGATTCTAATTCTGGCAATGGCTTAGGCTCCTCGTCAACAATTTCCGTAATCTCAGGTTTGGATTCTATAACTTCTACACTTTCCACTCCGTCTTTTACAGTTTTAATAGTTTTCTTTTTGATTACCTTTTTCTTACCACCCTCGATTACTGTTGTGGTTTTAATATCGACTGATGTAGACTCGTCGATTATAGGAGTAGCTTCCTCAGGTTTATCAGATTCTAATTCTGGCAATGGCTTAGGCTCCTCGTCAACAATTTCTGTAATCTCAGGTTTGGATTCTATAACTTCTACACTTTCTACACCGTCTCTCACTTTTTTAATAGTTTTCTTTTTGATTACCTTTTTCTTACCACCCTCGATTACTGTTGTGGTTTTAATATCGACTGATGTAGACTCGTCGGTTATAGGGGTAGCTTCCTCAGGTTTATCAGATTCTAATTCTGGCAATGGCTTAGGCTCCTCGTCAACAATTTCCGTAATCTCAGGTTTGGATTCTATAACTTCCACACTTTCCACCCCGTCTTTTACAGTTTTAATTGTTTTCTTTTTGATTACCTTTTTCTTACCACCCTCGATTACTGTTGTGGTTTTAATATCGACTGATGTAGACTCGTCGGTTATAGGGGTAGCTTCCTCAGGTTTATCAGATTCTAATTCTGGCAATGGCTTAGGCTCCTCGTCAACAATTTCCGTAATCTCAGGTTTGGATTCTATAACTTCCACATTTTCCACCCCGTCTTTTACAGTTTTAATTGTTTTCTTTTTGATTACCTTTTTCTTACCACCCTCGATTACTGTTGTGGTTTTAATATCGACTGATGTAGACTCGTCGGTTATAGGGGTAGCTTCCTCAGGTTTATCAGATTCTAATTCTGGCAATGGCTTAGGCTCCTCGTCAACAATTTCCGTAATCTCAGGTTTGGATTCTATAACTTCTACACTTTCCACTCCGTCTTTTACAGTTTTAATAGTTTTCTTTTTGATAACTTTTTTCTTACCACCCTCGATTACTGTTGTGGTTTTAATATCGACTGATGTAGACTCGTCGGTTATAGGGGTAGCTTCCTCAGGTTTATCAGATTCTAATTCTGGCAATGGCTTAGGCTCCTCGTCAACAATTTCCGTAATCTCAGGTTTGGATTCTATAACTTCTACACTTTCCACCCCGTCTTTTACAGTTTTAATAGTTTTCTTTTTGATAACTTTTTTCTTACCACCCTCGATTACTGTTGTGGTTTTAATATCGACTGATGTAGACTCGTCGGTTATAGGGGTAGCTTCCTCAGGTTTATCAGATTCTAATTCTGGCAATGGCTTAGGCTCCTCGTCAACAATTTCGGTAATATCTGGCTTTGATTCTATAACTTCTACACTTTCTACACCGTCTCTCACTTTTTTAATTGTTTTCTTTTTGATTACCTTTTTCTTGCCACCCTCGATTACTGTTGTGGTTTTAATATCGACTGATGTAGACTCGTCGATTATAGGGGTAGCTTCCTCAGGTTTATCAGATTCTAATTCTGGCAATGGCTTAGGCTCCTCGTCAACAATTTCCGTAATCTCAGGTTTGGATTCTATAACTTCTACACTTTCCACTCCGTCTTTTACAGTTTTAATAGTTTTCTTTTTGATTACCTTTTTCTTACCACCCTCGATTACTGTTGTGGTTTTAATATCGACTGATGTAGACTCGTCGATTATAGGAGTAGCTTCCTCAGGTTTATCAGATTCTAATTCTGGCAATGGCTTAGGCTCCTCGTCAACAATTTCTGTAATCTCAGGTTTGGATTCTATAACTTCTACACTTTCTACACCGTCTCTCACTTTTTTAATAGTTTTCTTTTTGATTACCTTTTTCTTACCACCCTCGATTACTGTTGTGGTTTTAATATCGACTGATGTAGACTCGTCGGTTATAGGGGTAGCTTCCTCAGGTTTATCAGATTCTAATTCTGGCAATGGCTTAGGCTCTTCGTCAACAATTTCTGTAATCTCAGGTTTGGATTCTATAACTTCTACACTTTCTACACCGTCTCTCACTTTTTTAATAGTTTTCTTTTTGATTACCTTTTTCTTACCACCCTCGATTACTGTTGTGGTTTTAATATCGACTGATGTAGACTCGTCGGTTATAGGGGTAGCTTCCTCAGGTTTATCAGATTCTAATTCTGGCAATGGCTTAGGCTCCTCGTCAACAATTTCCGTAATCTCAGGTTTGGATTCTATAACTTCTACACTTTCTACACCATCTCTCACTTTTTTAATAGTTTTCTTTTTGATTACCTTTTTCTTACCACCCTCGATTACTGTTGTGGTTTTAATATCGACTGATGTAGACTCGTCGGTTATAGGAGTAGCTTCCTCAGGTTTATCAGATTCTAATTCTGGCAATGGCTTAGGCTCCTCGTCAACAATTTCCGTAATCTCAGGTTTGGATTCTATAACTTCTACACTTTCTACACCATCTCTCACTTTTTTAATAGTTTTCTTTTTGATTACCTTTTTCTTACCACCCTCGATTACTGTTGTAGTTTTAATATCGACGGATGTACACTCGTCGGTTATAGGGGTAGCTTCTTCAGGCTTATCAGATTCTAATTCTGGCAATGGCTTAGGCTCCTCGTCAACAATTTCGGTAATCTCAGGCTTTGATTCTATAACTTCTACACTTTCCACTCCGTCTTTTACAGTTTTAATAGTTTTCTTTTTGATAACCTTTTTCTTACCACCCTCAATTACTGTTGTAGTTTTAATATCGACTGATGTGGCATCGTCGGGGATAAGCATAGATTCTTCATGTGTATCTAATAAATTTGTGTGTTGTTTTGTGTGATTTTGTTGTTTTTGTGTCACCGTTGAATTTATTTGTTCTCCATGTAGTGCTGGCAATATGTCATCTGTAATTTTTTTTTAAAAATGTGTTTATGTGGTTGTGTCATGTACTATTATTATCACGTATGTTTCTTATAACTATTAAATGTGTGTATATTAATGTATTGTTATACTACATATTATATTTTTGATAAAACTATTTTGTTAATTTTTTTTTGTTTTGATGATTAGTATTACTAGATTTGTATTAATTTGTTGTTATTTGTTTATTTTATTATTGTGTTGTATTTTTTTTATTTTATTGTATATTTATATTTTTTATTTTTAATTTTGTATAGAAATTGTTTTTTTTTTATTCATTTCTATTTAGTTTATTATGTACCTTTTAAACCTCAGGTTAATGAAGTAAGCGATTATAATACTACATTTTCTATTTTTTTTTCAGAACAGCAAATTTTTTTAAGTGTCAGTTTTCAAACAATGTTTTTAATCATTTTTTTTATTTACAGAATGAATATCGGTGTTTCGTAGTTACCGTTATTTCTTATTAATACATTTGAAATTTTTATTTTACCTGTGCTCATCGGTATGTCTGTGATTGATGCTCTGTGATGGTCTATTGCTTCTTGTTTTAAAAGTACGGTAGATTCTAAGATCATATCCTCGTTGACTGTTGGCGTTATATTGAATTGGATTTTTTTTGTTTCTTTTATTTTGGATTCTGTTTCATGAGTGACTAGTTCATGTACGGTTAGGTGCCTAAATTCTTCTAATTTTATGTTAGCTGTATTATCGGGAAGTATTTTTTGTATTTTTAGTTCGTCAACGTTCGATAAAAGTTGTGTCTCCGTTGTTACTAAAGGTTTTAATACATCTGTAGACATTGATGCTTTTGATATTTTTCTTACTTGTGGTTCATGAAAATCTTTTTCTTTATCATTACTTATCACTTCGGAAACAATCGCTCCTATATTTGCTTTTTCAATGGAGATTGATGCGTTAGTTATTTCTGGTTTTGGTTCAGATCTTATTAATTGTTCTTTTTCATTAACTGTTTGTTCATTTTGTATTAGGCTTTCAAAATTTTCCGTCACGAACTTCGCAGTAGAATATGATGTGTCTTTTATTTTTAAATTTTCTTCTTTGATCTCGGGGATTATATCTGAAACTATGATTTCGGACTGAACATTTTCAAATGTTACATTTGCAGTTTCATTTTTCGGAATTTCTATAAATAAAATACCCTCCTTTTCAGAAACATTTTGTTCACTATTCGTAATTGCTTGTAAGTTTTCTGAAATAACTTTAGCCACTGAATGTTTACGTTTTGGTCCTACAGTAAATTCAGTTTCTTTATCTTCACTGGCTACATTTGAAATAATGATACTAGATTTAATTTCTTCTAATAAAAGTTCTGCATGTCTCAAATCTATTTTTCTTGATTCTTCAAGTGGTTCTTCTTTTTCAGATACTTCTGGTTCTGTTATTATTATGTTTTCTAATGTTTCTGTGTTCACTGATGCTTTTTCTTTGTTACATCTTGGTTTTTCTAAGTTACCCTCTGATTCTGCTATATCAATCTCTGTTTGTAAAATACTTTTAAATGTTGAATGGTTTGCACTTGCTATGCTATATTCAGGTTGACTCAATTGAGTTAGTTCTTGAACATTCATGCTAGTTATAATTTCCGTAACATTTGCAACCGGTTGCGTAATTAATTTGGGAATTGTAGCAATTTCAGTATTTTGAATAGGTGTTAACAAATCAATTTCTGAGTCGACAATATTAGCTTCAGTTACCTGAACATTATTATTATTTTCAAATGATATATTGACCACTTGTACTTCTGGTACTATCGTTGATTCAAGATTCATTTCAGATTCATTCACTGTATGTTCTGATATTGTTATAACGTCAAATAATGACTGAGTTAATGTTGCCTGTTTTTCGAAAGGTTTTTTTATTGTTAATGTCAGTTCTTTATCATTTAAGACAGTTTCAAAGACATTTAGTGATTTATCTTCATTTAATTTAATTTCTGCTTTAAAAATGTCCAATTTGGGCTTTTGTGTAAATAATTTTTCTTTTTCTAGCGCTTTTATTTCAGATGATATTGCTGTATTGTATAGCTCTGCTTGTGAAATAAATGCGTGATCATTATCAATTATAGGAATAAATACATCACTAGTTGTATTTGATGAAATTATTTCTGATACTTGTGGTACTTCGTGTAATTTTGATAAAGATGTAATAGCTTGTTGTGATCTCTGTTCATTTTTGATATGTAACTTTTCATCTTTATCATCTGTTATTATTTCAGTTATAATTAAACTATTGTTAGGTATCATGGTTAGTTCAGCTTTATTTGAAAGTAGTTCAACAGGTTCAAGATATTTTTCACTTTCCTGTATAGTTGTTTCAGTTTGAGATATATTCTCAAGTGTATCAAATACCATATTAGCCAATTCTTCTTTTAATTTAAACTCATCTAGTGTTTTTAAATGTTCATTAGCTAATACAATGGATGCTTCCGCAACTACATTTGGTAAAATAGATTTCCCAGCAGTGTTGGCTGTTGGCATTTCTGGAGAAATATATTTTCCTTCTTTATCTTCCACAATCACTTCAGTTATATTTACGCTTTTTGATTCTTCAATATTTATATCCACTTTAGATTTTTGGTAGATTAAATTAGAATAGAATGGTTTTTCTTTGTCCTCTGTTTCAGTTATGGTAGATTGAATACTTTCAAATGTATCTTGTATTGGAACAGCAGTTGATGATTTAGTAACAAAATCTTTTAATGATCCTAAAGCAGTATTCGATACAATTTCTGTTTTCTCTGCTATGTCTTTCCCAGATGTTATTTCTATTTGAGCATGTTTAGTAGATGGTATCTCTACATTTTTAACTTGTCCTTCCACTTCTTGAGTTATAACTTCAGTTACAGTTTTCGTTTCTTTTTCATTTTCTACGTTTATTTTAGCAGTAGTAAAGGATGGTCTAAGTTCCCCTTCAAATATCTCCTCTTTATCATGACCTATATTGTCGAAAATCACGACACCATGGACAATTTCTTGAACTGGTTTCACTGTAAATGTAACGACATTTGGAGTTATTAATTCACTTGTACTATCTTCTGGTTTTACCTCAATAACCTTACTGACTGGTTGAGTGTCAGTTATATCAATAAAAGCTTGTCTTGTTATTGGTTTTGTTAAAGGAGTATAAACAGATTCCTTTTCACCTGTTATAATTTCTGTTGTGTCAAGTATATTTATAGTATCCACATTAATGTTTGCTACTTCTTTTTTCTGATTCATTGTCACTTTGAATTCACATTCTTTTTCGAATGGACTAATTTCTATTTGATTGATAGAATCATAAGGAATTTGAGTTGATTCTAAGAATGTTTCACGGGGCGTTGTGGTTTTTAGATCGTTCAAACTCATTTGTACAATATTTTCTTCTAATTGAACAGCTTTCATAGGACTGAATACCGAAAAAGTTTGTGCATTTTGTTGAATTTCTTGCTTAGATTTATTTAGTATACTTTCTTTTTCAACTAAATTTACGGAAGTAACATTCAAACTTTGATTTTCTGGCAATATTTGAGTTACATGTTTTAATATTGGTTGGATTTGTTTTTCATGCGCAATTTCAGACTCTTCGGACTTAACTTCGGTTACCAAAATTCCTAATAGTGGTTCTAATTGTTTCATTGCACTCAATGGTTTACTTACACTTTCAGTTAACGGAGCAACATCGTCAGATGTTTGTATTTCTTCGATTGTAACAGTCTGGTTTTCTTCAAATACTATATTTGCTTCTAAGCCTTTATTAGTTTCAACTAAATCTAAAGTTTTCTCTGATTCGTTCGTTACAATTTCTGTTACCTCAATATTTTGATCCACTTGAATTGTAAAACTGCATGTCTTTAATACATTTTCAGTAGATTTCAATGGTATTTCAGTTTCATGATACTGTGTTTCGGTAACTTCAAAGCTATGATTTTCTGTAGATTTTGGAATTATAGAAATTATGGATGGTAATGTTTGAGCATTTAAATTATGAGAGGAATTCTGAGAGAGAATTTCAAAACTGGATGCAACTTGTTGAGTTTCTGAAATATCACTCACTGCAATGTGGCTTCTTGGTAAAGACGTAGGGATTAAATCTGACTCTGATTCCCCTATACATACTTCTGTTACATCTAAGGTTTGTTCCGTTTCATATTTTAGAGAGGCAGATTTTTGATTTAATTTTGTTGATTGTTCAAATGGCATTTCATTATCTTGTAAATTGACTACAGTGGTACTTATCCCTTCCAATAATATGTGTTCAGATGATGCTTGTTGTACTGTTTCTATTATATCTTTTAAAGGTTTAACACACTCCAATGTTGTTTTTTCAGATTTCTGAGGAACTTTATAGTCAATTATATTTGAAACTTTAGTTGCATTTTTAGTATTTAATTTATCTATTTTAAGTTCATTTTCTTTATCAATAAGTACCGTAGAATTTATTATAAGTCCTACATTTTCATTTAAACTATGAATGGCATTTTCCATTTTTGGATGAGCTGATTTGAATAAATTATATTCTGGTTCTTGAACATTTACTTCGGATATTTCAATACATTTAAGGGGTTCTATTACTTGATTACCTAATTTCGTTGAATATTCAAAATCAATTAATTCCTTTTCACAAATTGAAATATTTGTTTCGTTAACTTGCAGTCCTTCGTGGCTTAAAATATCTTGTTCAGCATGGCGATAAATTGGCTGAGATTGTTCTACAAGTTGAATTTCTTTTTCATTAGGAAATATTTCAGTAACCATATAACTTGCTGAATTATCTTCAACTAAAATATTTACTGTTTTTTCTTTGTATTGTTTAATATCATCTAATGTAGATTCTGTCTCTTGTGTTATTATTTCAGATATTTCAACGCCATGAACTTCTTTTTCTTGAATAGTTTTAGCAGATTTTTCTTTTGGAAATTCTATTTTTAATTCTTCAACGGGACTTTCTACCTTTGTTTGAAATGTTTCTGCAGCATCTTGTCCTGTGATTGTAATATTAATTTTTCTCTCCATAGGTATACTTTCAGTTATTAAGTTTTGCTTGGTGTCGAGTTGAACTTGTTCAGTGATTTGAATGCTCTTTACTTCTTCATACGCAAAATCGGCACGATTCTCTGAAAGTATATTATCATCCATTAAATCACCTTCTTTTTCAAGAGGAGATGTTTCTATTGATTCAATTGCAACTTGAGTGCTTTTAGACGACAAAGCATAAACTGATTGTGGTATAAATTCATCAAAATCACTAGTAGAACTACATACCATTGTTTCTGACGTTACCCGACATTCTTCTAAAATAATTTCTTGTCTGTCCAATGTATGTGATGGGATTTCGTTGGCTTTAAAAACTAGCTCTTTATCTTGCGTTAAAATTTCAACTACACTAATTGGAATATCCAATTCAGTATAATTTGCTTCTGCTTTTTTTGAATTCGGCATCACAAATTCCGAAAGCTTATTTTCTGAATCTGATGATATTATTAAAGTCGTATGTAGACCATGAAATGGTTTTTGAGATATATGCGCAACTCCTGTTATTGGACTATTCTCTGTTACTGTCTCTACATTTTCACAAGTCATGATGTCTTGACCCTCGAGAGGTTTAAATGGTATAATATTAGTTTCAGCTGTTTCTTCTTTAGGCACTATTGAAATAATTATGTCTTCTGGTCTGTTGTCAGAAATAATTTCTGTAACCTCTATTGCTTCATCTACTATTAACGAAGTATTTGCCGAACATGGTAATGGTTTTTTGTCGTCTATCATTACTTTTTCTTTTTCAGATATGTTGGTTTCGTACAAAATTATACTTTCAAATGTACTAGGTTGATGATATGCGTGCAATTTAGAAATTTCCGGTTGTATCAAATCTAAAGTATAATCTCCAGTAACAATTTCCGAACGGTCAACCGTCTCAATTGGAACATATTCAGTTATAGCCTTTTTAGTTTTAAACACTTTTTGTTCAAACGACAGTTTTTCTTTTTCGTAAACAGGCTGTTCTGTAATATTTACCCCAATTACTTCGTCAATTGTAATGTTTACAGTTTTTGGTTGTTTCTTTTCTTTATTTAGTAAAATATCTTCTAACTCATTTACAGATGTGACTTCTGACACAAATGCTTCATACGGTATGTGTTTTAGTATTGCCTTATTGTTTTTACATTTTTCTATATTTAATTTTTCAACAGCATCATTTGAAATTATTTCTATAGTTTCAGCCACATCGTGACCAGAAAACACTGGTACTGCCCGTACATTTTCAGGTTTACTATCCAGTGATAAACTAGATTCTGACTCATAAGCCGAAACTTCTTTTATAATAATACATTGGTCATCCACGAAATTAATGTGCGCTTTTTTTGAAGCGTGTCGATTATTGTCTTTATACGTGCTTTCTAGGTTTGTGACGCAATTTTCCGGTGTAATTTCTTCAATAACTACAGCTTGAAGAGAATGCGATGGCACACTTACGGTATTATGCAACTCTGGTTGTATTTTCAATAACAATAACTGCTCTTGTTCTGCCACAACTGTTTGTTCTACAGTTATACTTTGAATTGGGCAAAAATTTGTTTCTGGTTTAACTGATGTTGGTTGAGATGTTTCTTCTAATGGAATGTCCTTTTCTTGTATATCAATCTGAGATATTTGTTTGGCTTCTAATTCTTCAAATGTTGGTTCGGCTTCATACGATTTGTAATTCAAATTTGTTACTAAATCTGTTGAATAATCATCAACTGTAGTTTCAGTGACAATGCATGAATTATTTTCGGTAAAACTAGTATCTGGTAATGATTCTAATACTGATTGTGATGTAAAATTGGATTCTGTCTCGTTAGGTATAATCTCAGTTACATCCAGCACTTCTAAACCAAAAACGGAGCTTTCAACTTGTTTCATTTCTGGTACAACCGGGATTTTTAAATCAGATTCTGCTTCATTAGTTTCTATAATTGACGAACTACATACTTTATTTGCGTTGTTTATTGTCAGCTTTGCAGTATGGGATTGAGGTAAATGAGTATTGAATTTGTCTTCATTTTCTTCTTGATTAACTGAATTTACAATTATGCTTGACTGTACAATTATATCAGAAATTGCGAATGACTTCTCTGGTATTTGTTCTTTCTCTAATTTAGTTTCTTTTTCTTGTATGTTAGACTCATTGACTTCAATATATTTTTCCTGAATAATTGAAATATCTGCTTTATATTCAGTAGGTGGTTTTATTCGATTATACTTGTCTTCTTTTTCTGAAGATTCTACTTGGAATGTTGTAATAGCATTGTTTGATGGTACTATTAATTCTTTGGCGGTTTCAGTAGGCACAATTATTTCTGGATAGTAATTTTCTGGTTGAATTTCTGAATGTGATTCACTGACAACTAATTGTTCGTTAAGTGGATATTCAACCGAAGATTTCACTGGTGTTGGTTTAAATACGTCTTGTAATTGATTTTCAGTGTGTGCTTCATTCACTTCCACAACATTAATACTCTCGTGTTCAAAATAATCTTGTGTAGCTTTTTTTTTTGGTGGCATACATGTTTGTTTAATTTCACCTTCTTTTGTAGAGGCAATCAATTCTGTGACTACTTTTTGTGAGTGTGAAATTACAGTAACCTTAGCTTCCTTATTTTGTGGTTTGTACTCAGTTCCTTTACCTAGGCTTTGATTAGGATAAATTTCAATAATGCTTATACTTTCTTTGGGTATAATATCTTTTATTGCCAAACATGGTATAAACTCAAACGTTTTACAAATGTCTTCAAGAGGCGATTGAGTTTCAGGGTTATCTGTTGAAAAACTTTCATTTAATTCAAAAACAGAATTTGCTTTATGTTTTTTAGTTTCTAAGGTTTCTTTTCGGTTTTCCTCCTTCTCTTCGTCTTTTGTTACTATGCTTTCCGCGGCATTTCGTGTTATTATTTTAATCTGTGCTTTTTCCGGTACATTATTATAATCAGTTGACAACTCAACAGATTCTTGCTGAGCAATTGTTTCGTTTAAAGTTTTTGATGTTTTCAGAACAGTTGGACGAATAGCAGGATACTTTTTTACATCGAATTCGTATGTTGTTTCTTCAGGAATAATATCTTCGCCAGTGATTGATCGTTTTACTTTAATTTTTTTTACTGTTTTTGTGCCTGTTGTGATAATTTCTTCTTCTTCCTCATCTTTGCGAACAGTTATATCATCCATCTTCTTTTTTTGTTCTATTATTTTTTCCGTTTTGATCAGTCTATCTTCTGGTACCTCAATTATCACATTACTATTATCCGTGATTTCAGTAATTTTAACACTTCTATCATCCAATATGTTCTGTACTTGTTCATTGTCTGTGGATAAACCAAAGAAGTCATCAAATAAATATGGAAATAATTTGATATAACATCAAGTTTTAAACAATCCAATAAAAAAAAAAAACAAAAAAACGCAGAAGATGATAGAGATAGTCGAAGAAAATACCGAAGAAGCGTCATTATAGAAAATAGCATAATAAACAACAAACACAAAGACAAAAAGAGAGCATTTCATCACAATACCTTGAGCACATTTTCTTTAAAAATAATATAATGTATGTATTTATTTATTCATTACATTTTATAATCATTTTAAATTCGTTATGTACCAACTATATATTATATTTAAACTTACAATATTGTTGTGATTCATGAAATATAGCCAAAGAAAATCATAAACACTTAATATGGTAAAAACGTATTTTAATATATTAAGTTCTATGATGGTTTTTTTAGGAAATAGTTAGGTAATATAATATTAATATGGAATACTTAAGATCGATTTAATGATATGAGATACTAACAAAAGCACGCATTTTATGTTTCCATTATTAAAATTAATGAGAAAAATACATTAAAAAACATCTTTTAATACAATAATTAGAAATGTAAAGTATACGTAGTAGACACAGTACTTAGTCTTTTTTGTTGTTAGCAAAACAAGTTAAAAAACAATTATCCTTTTGCTCTCTTTTGTATGTTAATAACACAAATTAGGTACACCAGTTATTATGAAATAACATGTGTTTATTAGAAATACATTTTCAAATGAATAGTATATTTTATATAAACACGTTATTTTGTTAAATAAATACGAATTATTTTTAGTATTAAATAAATTGCAGCTATAATAGTACAATATGATCATTCTCTTAGTTAAAAACAAAATAAGTAGACTTACCGTTAGTATAATTAGGATTTATATATCACTAATTATCATTAATCAAAATACTGTCATAAAGTAGCATTAAAATAAGCTGCATTTATATTTAATGATAAGAGCTATTTAAAATCATTTAAATAGTTGACTTAAGCTGAAATATTATTGAAGCTATATGCGATGTGTACAATATTAATAATAGGTGTACATTATAACCTATTGTGTATAATATTATATATTATGGTGTATAACATGATTTATACAATGGAACAAACAATATTTTTTTAAATATGTAATTTTTAACTTTTGTGAAATGTTATAACAATAATATACATACCGATTGACAAAGTCTCTTCGCTCGTTTTAACTAAATTCTTTGTAGATCGTGTTTTCTTTTTAACTTCTAAAAAGAAAACAAACATAATATTACAAAATAAATTAAAATAAATTAAATAATATAAAAATAGTATAATATGATAAATATTTATATATAGTGGTAATATCAATTTTAATTTAATATAACTACTATTTTTTTGGATAAATACGAATTTCAGAAATGATTTAACTAAAAAATATGAAACATGTTTAGAATTAATATTTTTAGTGTAACTGGTAAAATGCTACGCCATAAATATCGATTTAAAAAATATATATTATTAAATGTACCATTGACTAATATGTTTACAGACTCGCTGATATCAGCTGTATCGGTGATCGTATCGTCTGTAGTCATTTGAGATGCGTGCTCAAAATCCCAGGTGCTGGTTTGGAAATCTTCTGGCGTCAAGTAGGTAATGATCTCTTCCAGTGTGCTATGTTTCAACTCGATCATTGTCATAAATGCCTTAAACACTTCGTTGACGGTTTCAGGTATGGTTGATTCTTTGGTGAATACGTCAGCCACCAAAGATGTGTATCCTTCACGTTCGATGAGATGCACCATTGCTGACTGAGCGGGCGCGGTCCTCAATGCAGGGAACTGACCCGATGTGTATTCTTCGAACACCTAGCACAGGAAAAAATGCCATATATAAATTCAATAGATTAAAGTAAAAGTTAAAATTAAAAATAATAGTTTAATTTATATGTTTTATGTATATTCAAACATTGAGCTGAAAATAGTATTAAGACGTACTTAGGATAACATTATAAATAGGAACATCATTTAAAATATTTTTATTTAATTTCTTGTTTTATACAAAATCATTTAAGTTTAAAATATTAATTTAGAAATATGCAGAAAATACTTTTATTAAATTAAAAGCCATTGTATGTAACTGCAAAAATAAGTAACTCGTCGCGCAACTTACAAAAAAAACTAAATCAACATAATTAACTTAATCGAAAATCATTTCAACTGTTTAACATGATTTCAATTTTTTACTAATGATCAGACCAGTGTACCTACAACTTGTATGGTTATATGAAGACAGTTCGATTTGCGATTACCTGTTCCGTGGATATGCCGTGTCGGGTGAGTATATCGATGGTGGCCAATTCCCGTAATGGCCATTCAGCCGGTCCAAACTCAGCCAGTTCAACTTGATCCAGCACTTGGTCAACTTCATGGACTACCGTGGGCTTCCGGACCTTGAGTGCTGTGAACAGCCCTGGTTCTTCGGACGGTTTTGGGCGAACATGTTCGGGTCCGCGAACTTCCTTGACAGTCTCGTCCGAAACCGTTTCTGACGTAGACAACGGTTCGTGTTCCGGTAACGATGGTTTTTCCTCTACCTGCGAACATGACATTTGGCATACCTATAATTATAACATTTTTGAAATTATTGTCAAATTGCACTGTTCGTGCAATAACTAACAATTGAGGACTGAGGTTCATTTAATTGGATTAAATTGATATGTGTATGACTGAACTTTATGACTAACTGTATTTATGACCGCATTTATGGCTCTCATTTCATCAATTTTGAACTTAAAACCACGGTTCCAGATGAGTCAAAACGACTTAATAGAAAATATATACAACTCTGTAGGGTATCTAAAGTAGGAGTTAATATTTCATCAAAGTCTATTTGTATTGCACACATATACGTACTGGGAGGGTTAAACATAATAAATGTCCTAATTTAATAAATATTTATAATCCAATATAACAATAGCAGAGAAATTTAGTGTTCCATAATTCCTAAATTGATTAACACACAGTTTATATAATTTATAAATTTATGAATGAATCTAATTTATAAAAAAGGTGGGCAAGTGGGTGTCGCTCTGCTGTACAGTATTTTACAAGTGGGTCATTGTATAATGGATGGTATTAAATTTGAATTCAATGATATAATATCATTGTATAAGAAAAACGATTCTGAGCGGAGACGGTATGTCCTTTTAGGTATAAGACATATTATATACATATCTATGGTATTAAAAAAAATTGACCTATAATGAATTCCAAATTAATCATATCACAATATCCATTAGGTACTTATAACGCGTTATACACCAACAACAAACCCTGATACTATCATAGATATATATAGTAGATTACTTTAGAAATTTCAAGTACCCACGAATAATATTATACAATCACAACAAAATAACTAAAATCGTAATTCTTGATTTAAATATGAAATTTTTCTAAACTTGAAATTAAAATGTCTGTAAAAAATAAGTGTGTTTATATATTTTTTAGATTTTTTGGTTACAGTATGAATTATTTAAGAGAATCTTTGTTTTAAATTTTCAACTCTTAGTTATAAAAACTGAACATTTTATAATTTTTTAATTCCAACGATTGATTATTTTCGAGATTTTGATAAATTTTGTCAAAATTCCAACTTTAAATGCTTATAAAAAAAAATCGTGCCTATGTATTTTTAAAATTTTTCAACTGATATTGTAACAATATATAAGAAAGCTTGTATTAAATTTTCAGACTTTTTGGCCCACCAAATAAAATTTTATTGACAATTATAAAAAAAAAAACTAAAAAAATTGAAAACTGAAAATGTCCGTAAACAGCTCAAAAAGAGTCAAAATATTTTCAAAATTGTATGGTGTATAGGAAATGCTAATATAAACATTCAGTGAAATTTTCATATATCTATAGTTATTCGTTTATGAATTACAACAAAATAAGGAAATCGCTACATGAGAAATCGAGTGAACATCCAACGTTGTAAAAATTTGAATTTCAAACGCACATAAAAATTTAATTTGACTGTCTAGTAGAGATTTTTTTATTGATAAAGGTAGACAAACTTATGAGTAATCTTGTATTACATTTTCAAATCTTAGATTTAAAAAGAAAAATTTTTGCGAATTCTTAACTCAAAATAATATGCTAATTTTCGTGATTTTTCCATATTTTGTCAATTTTTGAACTTTAAATGCTTATAAAAAAAAACTGTGACTAACGATTTTTAATATTTTTCATCTGCCTTTGAAACAATATACTATTAGTCTTCTATTAAATTTTCAAGTTTTTTGACCAACAAATAAAATTTTATTGATATTTCTAGAAAAAAAACTAAAAAAAAATGAAAAATGAAAATGTCCCTAAACAGTTCAAAATAAATCAAAATATTTTGAAAATGTTATCGTGTATAGAAAATGCAAATGTAAACAACCAGTGAAAATTTCATGTATATACGTTCATTTGTTTTAGAGTTACACCAATAACCAAAATCGATTTTTTGGAAAACCAATTTTGCGTAAAAAATCCCGTTTTTCCTTAATTTTTATGTTGTTTTTCCCGGCGCTTGTGAAAACTACTGGGAAATTTATACTTTTGCCCCCTCAAAGTACCAACTAGATTCACTTTCCTATCAGAAAAGCTACTGATGAAGAAAATCCAAGCACTTTTACTGTCCTAAAACGTGATGACAGACACAAAAATAAAAAATATAAAATAAAAAAAAAAAAAACACACATCATTGTAAAACCAATACATTCATCGCTCCGCTCAGAATCTAAAATGTGGGAAAGTGGGTACCTACCGCTTAGTGTCTTGTGGAACATAGGATATGTTAAATTTTAATTCCACAATATAAATCATTGTACACGAAAATCGATTTTGAGCAAAATCGTCTGTTAGCCTTTGTTACTAAGTATATTTTATGATATCATTGTTATTATCAAGTAATTTATTTTCTATTAGAATTCATTTTCGCCAAAAACATAGCATTTGAAAACGTATCATTGTGTGTATAAAATATAATAATATACTTTGAAAGTATCAGGTACCCATGACTAACGTTTTAAATTATAACAAAAACTAAAATTGTTAGTCTTTGTTTAAAAATCTAATTTTGCCCGAATTTGAACTGAAAAAATTATTAAAAAACATTGGTTTATTTATTTTTCAGATTTTGTGGTTAAAGAATGAACTTTTTATAAGAAATCGTAATTTAAATTTTTAATCCATAACTATCAAACTTGAACATTTTATAAATTTTTAACTACAAAATATTTTGCTAATTATCTAGATTTTGATTAACGTGGTTAACATTAAAACTTTAAATGCTTATACAAATCTTGGCAATGTATCTTTAAAATACTTTAAATTTATTTCAAACAACTTATGAGGGAACCTTGTATAAAATTTCCAAGTATTTTGATCAAGTGATAAATTATTTATCGTCAATAATTGGAAAATGATTTCTTATGGCTATAAATATCTCAAAAAGAGTAAAAAAATATATAAAATTATACCATGTAAAGACATTTCTCTGTCAAAATTTAAATTATCTACGATTATTAGTTTTTGAATTACACCTAAAAAACAAAATCAATTTTGTCAAAAAATGGTTTAGAGTTAAATTTCCCATTTTTTCTTAATTATTTTTTTTTTTGTTTTTCCGACGTATTTGAAAACTGCTTGGAATATCTTAATTTTGACCACCCAAAGTATCAAGTACCTACAATCACTGTCCTACCAGAAAATATGCTGAAGTAGAAATTTGGAGCATATTTATTTATAATTTTTTTGTTTATATTATATAGGATTTTTATATTGGTTACCTATATTAAATAATAAACTAGTTATTATGGTTGGTTTCTGCATAGTGTTATATTTTGTCATTTATGCTAATATCATATAGATATAGACTATTTAATATAAATGTAGAATTGAGTACAGCTATTATATATTAATTAGAGGCAAAGTTGAGGATTATATAATAAAAAATACTATTTTAATAGAATATTTTGACAGAAAACTATTGAGAATATAGAACAAAACGGAAACGATAGATAGATCGATTCGAATTGATAGTTTTGAGGTTCCGGACGACCAGTAAGAGTACTAGAATAAAAGTCACGGGTAACAGCTATAGTATAATAAAATAAGAAATAATATATTATAATATAAAAAAGGCAAAAATATTTGCTGAAACTTATAGAATCATTAAAATATACTCAACCGATTTTGATGATTCAAGGAAAATGTATAAAACAGTTTGAATCAGTTATTTAAGTGTGGCTTAGTTTGTATTAATAATACTAAAATAATATCATATTCATTAATTATTGGATCTCGTATGAAAAAAAGTTACTTATTACTATCGCATAACGAATGCCTATCTCAGATTCATTTATTCCCGGTCTGCATCGTAATACAATTATACAGCTATAGTATGAATATATATTTAATATTTCTTCATTATATAGACATATGGGTATAATTAATAGAAAGTTAAGAACCTATAAAAAAGAATTTACCTATAATAAGATAAATATTGAACGATTAATCTAGAAGATTATAGAGATCGAAAAACGAATTCAGGAAGGTACTTGATAATAATAAAAGCATAAAACCTAAAAAATATTATTCGTAATAGATCTCACTTAAATAAAAAATAAAAATAAATATTAATTATTCTAGATTATACCCTCGGTAGATTATAATCTACCGTGATTATACCTAATTTATAAGGTATTACTTATTCGATAGGTACTGAAATTAACAGTATAAAAATTGTATTGATTCAATAAAAAAATGTTATAATTACCATTTTTGAAGTAGTAATACGAAGCGATTCTTTTGTTTCCGTCTCATCAAATGATCTATAATATATATTATAAATTATAGGTACTTCATGTTTAGCTTTTTTTAATACTTTCAATACTTACTCAGATTCTTTTTTATGTTTCTTCTTTGTAGCCTTCTTTTTAGTCTTTTTCGTCTTCTTTACTTCTTCAACTTCTTTTTCTTCTACTTCATCTTCGGTAGCTGTGAACGTTTCGTCCCCGTGTTCTATGTTTAATTATAAATTAAATTAAATTATTATATTCCTTAATGTTTTTTTTAATCATTATTACTTTTAACATAAAGTTTTGATTTATTTTTAGCTTCTCCTAAATTACTGTTTGCTTTGCAAATATAGACACCTTCATCTTCCTTTGTTACTCTTTTAATAGTTAATGTAGTTTTGGTGTCAGTGATTTTAACTTGAACATTAGGCGAGTTTCTCACAATTTTATCATCGTGATACCATATAATCACTAAAATCAAAATAAGTCATAAGAATTTGTCTTATATATTATGACAGGACTATGTAATCAAACCGGGAGTAGGATTTCCTGAAAATTGACATTCGAACACAATAGTTTCGTTTTCAACGGCTCTCTCGTCTTTTAATTCGTTTACAAAGCTTGGTAGACTTTGGAAAGCTGTAACAGAAATTATTTAAATAAATAATACAAATATTTAACTTTATTAATTCTAATTTCTGTTATATTTAAAAATTTTTATGGAGTTTACCATCTTCTTGCAAGTCGATGTAGAATATAAAATTATCTGGACAAGGATATTAATATTATGATCTATGTTAAAAAAAACATTTAAGAGAATAAAATATTAATCTATTATTGATTTATGACAAAACAAGCAAAATCGATTTTGTCAAATACTGGTGTTAGGTAAAATAAATCGCTGTTTATCCATAATAAATTTTAGATTCTGGCCAGTGCGATGAATTTATTGATTTTACAAAGATATTTTTTTGTGTTTTTTATATACTCAATTCATAGATGAAAAAAATTTACTAATGAAAAAATTATAAGATTTTCAATTTTAATTAATTATCTGGTAGGAAAATGAATCTATTTAGTACTTTTAGGACGTCAAAATCAAAAATTCTTAGATACTTAAAATTAGTTATAGAAATACATTGTTTTCATAATTTATTTTAAAGTACTATATTTAATAATTGTAATATCGTATACTTAATACAACATATTATAATATATTAAATAAATGTTAATAACTTTTGATACAATCATTGATTTTTGAAAGAATCACTCAGGACCTATATATTATACAAAAAATACGTTTGAATTAAAACTGCTTTTGATTGGATTTGTATTATGATTTCACAAAATAAATGATAATATATTATCATAAATCACATTTAAAAATGGGGTTTTCGATATCACTCTACTGTACAGTAGGTGTTGAGTGTCGGTACCTAGTCATAGTGTAAGTCACTGTAATGTATGTGCTAAAATAAAATTCAATATTAAATCATTGCATACGAAAAACGATCACTATATTCTAATTTCTAAGTATACCTATTTGGTAAAAATTTGAAACTCAAATACTTATAAAAATAAAATCCTGCCTTGTACTTTTAATCATTTTAAATAGCTTTAATAATAACTTATGAGGAACTTTGAATTAAGTATTTTAACTTTGTGATAGAACAAAAAATATCAATATCGATATTGATAGAAAACAATAAAAGAAACTTCAAATGTCTATAAATAACTCAAAAAGAGTCAAACATTTTATAAAAAAGTGGGTAAGTGGATGTCACTCTGATGTACAGTAGGTTACAAGTGAGTCACTGCTTAATGGTTTGTGTTAAATTTGAATTCAATAATATCATATCAATATTATCATATTGTATACGAAAAACAACTCTGAGCGGAGACGGTTTGTCAGTCTGAATATTTTATGTTGTTATTATATTTTATTATAGCCTGTAAGTTGAATTAATATTATAAATTACAACAAAATAACTAAAATCGTTATTTTTTTTTAATTTCTATGGTGATTAGAAATTAAAATCCCATTTTTAGCGGTTTTTTTGTAATTTTTCCCGTTGCATTAAATAACTAATGAGAAAATCAAAAAATGTACCGTTTAAACTACCATCTTGATCAAATTTGCTAAAATATAAGATACAATATGTTAACATTTGAATCGAAGCACTCCTTCTGGTAGAAATTTTGTATGCAAGATAAAAAAAAATAAACACCATTGTGTTCCCTCGCTACGCTCAGAATATAAAATTACAAGTTTTTGAGTTACACAAAAAAAGACACTCATCATTGAAAAATCAATAGATTCATTGCTTCAGCTCAAAATGTAAAATATGATGATTATATTATATTTATCTAATCTTAGTAAAACATGTGATTCCGTTGCCAATTAAGTTAAGTAGATAAGCTCAATAATTTATTATACGATTATGTATTATGTTTTTTTTTATGCAGAATAGTTTAAATACATACAATAATTAATCAACTCGTAAATGGTTATTTTTTGGGAGGAGGGGATGAAATCCATTTTAGCCACAACTGGGAATTACACTGTAAGTAATAATATAATATTTAGTTTTTCCAACTATTACACTACTGCAGTCATGTACTTAGATATTTGTTTAAGGTTTTAAAAAGGTTAAGAAATCGAATAATATTGTTCTTTATTTTAAAATGTATTGATTTAAAATATTTTATGTACCTAAATGTTACTGTAGTAAGCTTCACATCATATAAGATCCACACACAATCACTACCTTGTCATAAATGTGTTCAACTATGCTTATAACATTATTGATTGGTTTTTAATAATAAATGTATTTTGATAAATAACTATTAGTCCGTAATATTGTATCATATACACCGCTATTATATAAAAAATAAAATTTTAATCGACTACAATTATTCGTTCCAACTGAATTATGCCTACCTGGTGCTATTCCAAGTAGGTATTAGATAAGAAGATTGGAAGTGACGGTTTATGGTTTATAACACATACCTACTCAACAGTCAAAAACGATAAAAAGTCAGACAAGTTTTTATTCCAACCGTACCAATTGATGTGTCAATTCTCAATAAAATTGTCAAGTGATAATAAATCTGAATACAGTTTTAAATAAGTCGTTAAATCTAATTGAGATGGTTTTTATCCCACTTTTTTTTTGAAGTTTTGATTTTAATTCTTCAAAAATTATAACTAGACATTTTAGGGTCTGAGATGAATGCATTGATTTTACAATGATGTGTGTGTGTGTTTTGAAGTGTCTGTAAACACGTTAAATACCTAGTCGAAATAATGCTTTGATTTTCAACTTCAGTATTTTTTCTAATGTGATTTTAATATTTGCAATCGAGATCAAAATTGAGAATTCCTAGTAGTGTTCAAAACCACCGGGGAAAACAAAAAAAAAAAATGAAAGAAAAATCCGGTATTTTTGACAAAATAAATATTGGTTTTTGGTGTACCTCTAAAAAAAATTAACTTAGATAGGTACTTGAAATTTACGCCAAATTTTTATTTTATCATATATACTTGATAATATTTTCAAAATATTTTGACTCATTTTGTTGCTGTTTACGGATATTTTCAATTTTTCTTTTTTTTTTTTCTTTAAATGTCAATACAATTTTATTCATTGGGTCAAAAAGCTTGAAAATTTAATATCACTATACCAGGCTTCTCTCACATTGTTAACAATATAAGTTTTAAAGTATTATTAGAGTATAATACAAGTAGGTATTGTATATAATTATATACATCATTAAATTTTCAAATGCAATTTTTTCGGCGTAATGCCTAATAGTAAAGTAAATTACTTCAATCACAATAATATAATAAAATATAAATACCTACTTAGCAATATTATAGGCTATTAGTCTGACAGATTGTCTTTCCTCAGAATCGTTTTTCGTGTACAATCATTGTAAATCAGTGAATTCAAATTTAACACATTCATTACAGTGACTCTCTAGACACCTAATGTACAGCGACCGTTACCCACTTACCGGTATAAACTTTTGTCATTAAAAATTTTTGAGTGAAATTGAAATATAAAAAAAGGAGGAAAGAATATTAGTAGACTTACGACAAATTTAAACTGGATTTCAGAATTCATATTGCTTTATTATAGGAGTAATTGGTAAGTTTCATTTGACACGTGTTAGAGAAATACGGAAAACTATCGGTTTTCTCACCTTCGATTTAAAAGCCACTATTATTAACGGGAAAATTAGTAATTTATTATAAAATTATTCTTCACTGTGTTAATATATTAATTATTGTCAGAATTAAAAAATATAGTAATGTGGCGTTTTGGATAGGCAATTTAGCTACACCAATGTTGATATAGTATATCTTTTTCTGCCCCGTGTCACTATTTATGCTTTATTGGAAAGTTATTTATTTCTAACATTAGCTTTTTTCACATCTGAATATTTGTATACCTGAACATTTTAACTAATACGTTTTGGTTTTGACTATTTTTACAGTATATTTATCATTAAATATAAAATGTAGGTACCAGTAGTTACTGATTACTGTCTATTTCAAATAAGTGAATAATATTGGAACGAAGTCTATACCTAATTTTTTCTATTTAAACAGACTTAATTGATTAAAGTTTTGAACACACCATGCATTTATTTGGAATAGTTCTGATTGTTGTATCAATTGATCAAACATTAAAATTTCGTTCAGGATAAAAAACAAAATGGTTAAAAAAAACAACACAGGCACAAACAATAAAACTAATATTATTTCATACAATTACAAACAAAATAAAATAATAAAACACACAAAATATAATAACACAAACAGATCAATTTAAGGCGTTTAGTTTACTCGGTTTCCAAAATAGGTAAATGTAAAAAATCAACGATTTACAAACTTTTCACAATGGTTAATATAGAATTATTACAGACATACGCCGCCGATTCATCTTTACTTGATCATTCTAGATCATTGATAAATAAGTAAATCAATGCCATAAAATGTCGAAAAATGAAACCTTGCAATTACAATGTACACTATATTATAATTGGTTAGTTGGCTCTCATAAACTAACACACACGTTATGGCAAGTATACAAACCGTTTCCGCGGCCATGACAACAACAAAAATAATCAGATCGGTAATATTATAATATTATAAAAAATCGAGGGTTTCAGTTATTTTATCGGTTTTTCGTCAACAAACGCTGCGTGCAGCCCACCGTCAGTGGACATGCACTGGCTCTCCAGCAACAGGAACTCCTGGAGCTCATCTTGGCTATCAGCTGTATGCAGCTGGAAGAACATTTCCGGGTCAATTTCACGAGGCTCCAGCGGGTGGCCAGTGTACTTGCGGCGGTTATACATGGCCACCGATTCGTCGGCATGCGTCCTCGGATAAGTCTGGCTGCGGCCGGTCGGGTCTTCTGTCTCCGCCGCTGAAGAGGACGACACCTCTTGGCAGGACAGAGACCGAACCCGATCCGAACCACCGTCCGATGAAGTGGGTTCACTGTGCTCTTGTATGGGGCTCAAGTAGAACGCGCTGTTGACATCGTAATCGGCAAAGTACGTACCGTATCGGACGACCGTATCGTCTCCGTCGTTTTCATCGGGCCGGGTTTCGGGACTGTACACACAACAAGCGTCTAAACTATCAGAGGTGCATTTACCTTGTAATTGTTCCCGCAACTCTTCCATCTGGGTCACCCACGACGGCTTCCTGTAGGCTTTCGTCCCTTTAATACCTAAAGAACACGGGCACATCATTATTATTTTTTTTTTATAAACAATATCAAGTTAAATTAGCATTTGGAGGGCGTCACTTCATGGTGGGTTACGTATATATTGTATGGGTGTGTGTATGTGTGAGAGTGCAAGATAATAATTAACATTAAATTAATCGATAGGAAAGATGGCGAAGAGAACGTCGGTTGAAACTGAAAAACAAAACAAACTATTTATATAAGAGTACACACATGTCCAAAGAACACGCCTTATCGAAAACTAAGTGTCTCAAAATATCCGGAATTACCTGGGATTATTAAAGTCCTAGTCGTGGCCTTCCCGTAATTGTTTGTGGCCTCACACGTTATTTCACGAACGCTCTCCGTTGGCCTTTTCTTGACCGTCAACACAGATACTCCTTCGTCCTGTTCTTCAATTTCAAATTCATCGCTGGGCGTTATTTCCATTCCGTTCTCGTACCATTGGATCTTGGGCTTCGGAGTGCCCTTTACTCTTACGACGAGGCGTATTATGGTTTCCTCCTCTTCTTCCTCCTCCTCCCATATTGTTTCGGTTTGCAATTCTGTTTCGAAATACGGTGCTTTCCCGACTACCGCCTCTTCTGGTACTATACTCTCCTCTACATCATCTTCGTCTACAGAGAACGCAACATTTGAAAAACACAGTTTTGTAATGTTTACGTATAAATACTAATATTAGTAGTACTATTCAATTATTTTACCTTCGATCAATACTGTAGTGGACGTTTTCGCTTCTCCGCGATTATTAGTGACCACAACTTCATAACGTCCAGTGGTTTTCTTAGTGATCTTTTTTATAATTATCACGGTCGTGGTCTCCGTTATAGTGATGGTGCGCATGAACGTTTTCTTATCGGTTATATCTTTGCCGTTGTGGAACCACCTTACTTTTAACTCGGGAGTTCCTCTGAAATGCACGTCTAACGTCACGCACGAATCTTTTTTGGCCATTACTGGTTGCAAAGGTTTCGTTATAGATGGCGACTCCTCTAACGGTTTAAGTATTTCTGGAACGACGTCCTCTGTGTAATACAAAATATGTTATTATATTGATACAATATGTTGTTTAAAAGAAGATGAATCGTTTGCACTAATTTATTTAAATATATATTATAAGCAGTTATAGGTTTTTTTTAAAAACTTTAAACAAATCATTAACATTAAAAGTGTATTTGTCTTATGATTACAAGGTATCATCATTTTTGGGATACTTATTTTCTTAAGATAAACAGCCCGAACCTTATTTTCAAAGTAAATAGTGGAATGTGGAAATGAGGAATGATTCAAAGTTCCATGCTTATTCATTTTAGATTTACAAAAAAAAAAAAATCTCGGTTCGATTATGTAAAAAATGAAAATGACGAGTGCTTTTAAAAATAATTGGGTAAAACAAAATAACTATTCCTGAAAACCAGAATAATTACAAACCCCAGAATAATCGATATATTTTAGATTCTGAGTGGAACGATGAATGTATTGATTTTACAATGATGTGTTTTTTTTTTAATTTTTAATTTTTTTAATTTTTTTTTGTGTCTGTCATCACGTTTTAGGACAGTAAAAGTGCTTGGATTTTCTTCAACAGTAGCTTTTCTGATAGGAAAATAAATCTAGTTGGTACTTTAGGGGGTCAAAAATGAAAATTTCACAGTAGTTTTCAAAAGCGGCGTGAAAAACAAAATAAAAATTAAGGAAAAACGGGTGCAACTCTTAAACAAATGACCGTAGATACATGAAATTTTGACTGAATGTTTATACTAGCATTTTCTTTACACGATAACATTTTCAAAATGTTTTGATTTATTTTGAACTATTTAGGCACATTTTCATTTTCCATTTTCTTTTAGTTTTTTTTCTAAAAATATCAATAAAGCTTTATTTCTTGGTTAAAAAAGCTTGAAAATTTAATACAAGGCTCTTGATATATTGTTACAATATCAATTGAAAAATATTAAAAATACATAATTTTTTTTATAAGCATTTAAAGATCGAATTTCGACAAAATTTATCAAATTTAAAATTGAATAATTGTTTTGTAGTTAAAAATTTATAAAATGTTCGACTTTTATACCTAAGGATTGAAAATTTAATACAAGATTCATATTCCATATTCATATATTATAGTAGTTAATTCTGTTACCAAAAAATCTAAAAAATACATAAGAACAGTTTATGTTGATAGTCATTTTAAGTTCAACTTTGGACAAAATTACATAAAAAAAACCTAGAATAACTATTTTAGTTGTTTTGTTGTGATTGTGTAATATTATTTGTGGGTACTTGAAACTTCTAAAGTACACTATTATATATTTATGGAGTATGGACTATGATAGTATCAGGGTTTGTTGTTGAATTATAAGTACCTAATGGATATTGTGATATGATAAATTTGGAATTTATTATAGGTACCTATTTTAGGTAAATTGTTTTTAATACGATAGATAAGTATATAATATGTCTTATACCTAGACTGACATACCGTCTCCGCTCAGAATCGTTTTTCTTATACAATGATATTATATCATTGAATTCAAATTTAATACTATCAATTATACAGTGACCCGCGTGTAACCTACTGTACAGCAGAGCACCTTTTTTATATTGTATTAATTCAAAAATAAATAAGCATAGAACCTTGAAATATTATACATAAATTATGATTTCCCATACACAAAGTTTTCAAAATATTTAAATTTATTTGAAGCCATATTCATATTTATAGACATTTGAAATTTTATATTTAAACTTGGTATTTTTTTTTTAATAAATATTGATAAAAATAATGTACTTTCTTAGTCAAAATACTTGAAAATATAATATATTTTTTTAGATTTAAAGTGGTTGTACAATAGTGTTTATTATTTATTTTTTTTTTTATCATGTATACAAAATTTCTAACAGAAGGAGTGCTTCGATTTCTACATATAGTACCTTATCTTTTAGCAAATTAGATTAAAATGGTACTTTAGACAGTTCATTTTTGGATTTTATCAAAAATTAAATTTTTATTTAATGCCACGGGAAAAACCATTGAAAAATTACGAAAAATTACAAAAAACCGCCAATAATGGGATTTTAATTTCATGCAGTTCAGAATCATTTTTCTTATACAATGATATTAAATCATTGAATTCAAGTTTAATACAATCCATTATACAATGACAAACTTGTAACCTACTGTACAGAAGAGCGACATCCACATACCCACTTTTTTTCAAACTAATTTTTTAGTTTTACCCAATTATTTTTAAAACTACTGATAACTTTTTACTTTTGACCTTCCCCTCCTATAAACATAAAGTATCAACTAGATCTCATTTTTTTACCGGAAACCACCGTTATTGTTTATGCTTAATGATTTTCTTCCAGTCCTATAGGTGACCGGAAATCATTGAAAAATATAATATAATAAATGATTGGTTATCGTCAACATTCTGATTACAAGTATTACATAGCATTATATTATAACCATTAGGAACTAGCACGAAATCCAACAATGAGTAATTTTAGTCAAATTTTAAGGGGACCTTACTCTTTTTACATTACTAAATGTTGTAACTGATGCAAGCCCGGTCCAAAATTAAGTGCATTATCTTATCAATGAGACAGAATCAACAGTAACTTTCACTATATAAACCATTCATAAAATAATTGACACTATCAGTGACTATTGTCAAAACATAACAGTATCGCATTATTATTACCTATAATCAGATTGGCTCTGCACTGTGCCACTCCGAAATCGTTGACTGCTTTCACGGTGTAATCATTTACGTCCAAGCCTGTGGCATTACAAATCGTGAGCTTCGACTCACCCGTCTCCGGTGTATAAGATACGACATGACTGTCGTCTGGCACGATTTGTTCGTCGCCACGACACCATACGATGGTTGGCATTGGTGTTCCGGTTACCACGCAACGTAGTTCTACAGTTTCGGTTGGCTTGGCGGCTTTGGGTTTGATCGGGACGACAAATGCTGGAGCAATTCCAGTGTCATATTTTTCTGTAAATACAATATCATCAAACATTCTTCTGATAACGAGTGAATATATAAGGCTTCGGGAAATTGTAAAAGAAAATAATAAAGTTATTCATATTTAATATATTACACAAGAAGTAGCATTTAATACAATAAATATTTTTCCTCTGTAAAGACACACAAATATGTTTTTGTGTACAGTACAGTGGATAAATAACTTGTAGCATATGCTATAAATCTTGTCAGGAATTTATTAATTACATTTTTTTTTTTTTACTGTTGATTTGCGTTTCTGTGACAATACACAAAACCAAATAATTGGTTAGAAAAAAAGTTGTGACCTGCCATTATTTTTATTATGAAGTAATTAATTTTACATTATAAATATACACATTGCATTTTGAAACGTCATTGTGTACATAAAATATAATAATATATTTTAAAAGTATCAGGTACCCACGAATAGTGTATTTAAATTCCCAAAAAATACCTAAAATCATTTTTCTTGGTATTAATATGTAATTTCATTCGAATTCAAACTTAGAATAATAATTTATAATAATTGAATAATAATTTGAACTTAAAATAATAATTTAAAAAAACTCTAACCATTTTTTAGATTTTTGGTTACAGAATTAACTACATAATTGAAAATCTTGTTTTACATTTTCAATCCTATTGAATCATTTAAATTTTAAATTTGATAAATTTTGCCAACATTTGAACTATAATAATTTACTATAAAAATCTTGCCTATGTATTATACCTATTTTTAATAATATGTGAGGAGCTTTGTATTACATTTTCAAGTGTTTTGACCCAACGAAAAAATTGTATTAACATTTAAAGTAAAAATAACTTTAAAAATTAAAAATATCCGTTAACAGCTCAAAATGATTCAAAATATTTTGAAAATATTATTAAATATATATATATAAAATGATAAAATAAACATTTGGTGAAAATGTCAAGTATAAAGGTTATTTGTTTTTAAATTCCAACTAAAAAAGAAAATCATACCATGAGAAATCGAGTGAATATCCAGTGTTATAAAAATTTGAACTTCAAATGTTCATAAAAATTTAATTTGACTTTCATGTAGACATTTTTTTTTTGATAAACATAGGCAAACTTATGAGGAATATTATTTCTAATTCAAAATAATTTGCACATTTTCGTGAATTCTACTATTTTGTCAAAATTTGAACTTTAAATGCTTTTAAAAAAGTTGTGACTACCTATGTACTGTATTTAAATTTTTTTCAACTGTGGTTGTAACTATATATTAGGAGCCTTGTATTAAATTTTCAATTTAAGGGTTGTTTATGAATTTCATATTTATTATTTTAGATGTGCACATGCAGATTATTTAAGGTTACTAAACATCCTAACCCTAGTATTAATGAAATATAATATAGTATTTCAATTTATTTACTATTTATTATGAATATGATTATTTTTCAAACCCGAAATAGAGATTTCATAATTTTCAATACTGATAAGAGATAATGATAAACATTTGATAGATATAAACACTATATGGAATTTAAAAAAACAAAAGCATGCTATTATTTAAACTATTATTTTATAAATTACTTAAATAATTTTATTTGAAAAACAATGGTAAATACCTAATCATAATACTAACCTAAAACCAAATTAGCTCTGCAAATAGCTCTTCCAAATTTGTTTATTGCTTCTACCGAATAATGCGCTTCATCGACTGTTGTTGGTTTTTTAATTGTTAATGTGGATTCTCCAGTTTCTGGAATAAACTGGATAGTGTGCATGTCGTCCGAAACAATTTCGTCCTTTCCACGACACCAAACAACAGTTGGCATAGGATTACCAGTCACCAAACACCGTAAAACAGTTGTTTGGTCTGGTTTTGCAAGTACAGGCTTTATAGGCTCAACAAAGCTCGGGGCTACACCAAAAACATCTTCTTCTAAAAACATTGAATTTATAATCCATTGTATTAATATTATAAAATCATTAATTTACATTTTATAGTATATAATATAATTGTTTAACGATGTTACTTACGTATAATTACATTTGCCTTGCATTGAGCTCTGCCATATTTATTAGTTGCCTTCACAGTGTATGTGTTCTGATCAACTTCTGTGGCTTTTGAAATAACCAGTTTCGATTCACCCGTCTCTGGTATAAACGTTATTGCATGAGTGGAGTCTGGAATTATTTCTACATCGCCTCTAAGCCAAACGACAGTAGGTGTAGGTATTCCTCTAACCAAACAATTTAACTCTGTGGCCTCGTTAGCTTTAGCGATTTTTGGTTTTATCGGTTCTACGAATATTGGTGCTTCACCCGATTCATCTTTTTCTAATGGAAGGAAATTGTAATTAATTAATAGAATTTATAACATATTTTAAAATGTACTCACGTATAATTAGATTTGCCCGACATTGTGCTTGGCCGTATTTATTCACTGCGTTCACGGTATAAATAGTTTCATCGATTTCAGTCGGGTTTAAAATTGTTAAGATCGATTCTCCAGTTTCCTGGTGGTATGTGACCAAGTGACATTCATCGGGAATTATTTCGTCGTTGCCACGACACCAAATTACTAACGGTTTCGGTGTTCCTCTTACGAAACATTTAAGTTCAGTTATTTCATTTGCTTTGGCAATTTTCGGTTTTACTGGTTGTACGAATGTCGGTGCCTCTCCCAGTTCATCTTTTTCTAATTAAATTTAAAAAGTAATTAACTGCATAAATATAATATTATATATAACGTTACTTACGAACTATCAAATTTGCTCTACACTCAGCTCTTCCAAATTTATTAATTGCGTTCACTGTATACGTTGACTCATCAATATCATCAGGGCGCACTATAATAAGTTTGGACACTCCTGTTTCAGGAATGTAAATTAGCATATGACTTTCATCTGGTATGATTTCTTCATCATCACGGCACCATACAACTGATGGCGATGGAACACCTTTGACTAAGCATGTGAGTTCAGTTGTTTCATTAGCTTTCACAACCTTCGGTTTCAACCGTTCCACAAACTTGGGTGCTTCTCCATATTCTTCTTTTTCTGAAAATTAAAAATATAATAATTAATTTTAAATTGAGTTTCAGTCAATATTATATATAATATATTACCAAATGTAATATGTGCCATGCATTCAGATTTCCCGTGAATATTCACCGCTCTAGCAAGATACGTAGATCGGTCTACTTCCATAGGATTTACTAATGTTAATATGGCTTCACCAGTTTTGGAATCAAATGAAGTTCTATATTCGTCATCGTCCGAAATTATTTCTTCATTTTCACGACACCAAATAATTTCAGGTATAGGAATTCCTTTCACAATACATCTCAATTCTATAGACTTTTTCCCCCTGACTTTCCTAGGTTTAATAGGTTCCACAAAAGTTGGAGCTTCGCCAATTTCTTCAGAATCTAAAAATTTTTTTAAATATATTAGCGAATTAAAATAGAAATAAATCTATTCTAATAACATATTAATTTTAAATCAGTTTCATAAGCATAACAAACAATAATATGAGAAACGATTAAAATAATTAGAGCTTATTATATGTATTTAAAATATGAATCACATAATATGTACAAATTTAGATAAACAACATCACACAAAAAAATGTTAAACCACTCAGGGACATCACTGACACTCTAATTCTACCTAACACCACCAGAAGTGCAGTACAAGTTGAAATTCCAGCTGCATTTATAGCTTGGCAAACATAAACGCCCGCCTGTTCCTCTGTAGGCTTAGGAATCCTCAAAGTAGATGTATTGTCGTATACAATTATTTCATAAACATCAGTTGTTTGTAGTTCACGATCGTCTCGGTACCATTTAACTTCAGGTGTAGGGATTCCCCCCACAGAGCATGTAAAAGCAGTAGGCTTTTCGTGTTCCGCTACTAATGGTTGCACTTTTTCAATAAAATAGGGTGCTACAATTTCACTCTCAATTGCTTTATTTTCAGGTTTCTCTTCACTTCTTTTTATACTCACTATTTCAAGATCCTGCAAAGGGCTATCAACGCTTATAGATTTCGGTGAAGGTGATTTTTTGGACTTGGATTGTATGTCAATTTTAGGGAAATCACTAGTAAAAGGCTTAGGTTTTCCTAATTCATCATTATCAGTTTTCTTATTATCTAAAGGTTTTTTTATGGGGATAGGTTTTAATTTTATTTCTTCAGGTATTTCTGGTTCTGGTATCCCTTGTTTATACTTCAGATTAATATCTTTTTCTTCATCCGCTGGTACAGGACTCGGTTTTCCAAGTAATATTTTGTTATCAGGAATAGGCTCTTCTTCTTTCTTTATTTTTTTTCTGATATATTTAGGTTTTTTAATTGGTAATTCTACGTCTGGCAAACTTTCATTACCAAACGGTATTGGCTCAGATATTTCAGGACTTATGCCCACTGTTATAGGTTTGAATGGTTCTAATGTAAAATCTATGTCTTCAGATGGTTTTGAATCTGGTTCAGGTTTAAAATGTGGGTTTTCAATTGGCTTTGGCATTTCCACTTTTTCTTCCACTGGTTTTTGGGGAACTTTTTTTAATACAACTTTTTCTTGATCGTCATTCTGAATAGGTATTTTTCCTTTTCCAATTATTAACTTCTTCGGGGTTTCTTCGTCTGGAATTATTTTCTCAACTGATTGTTTTCTTAAAGATGGTTTTCTCTCGGGTGTTTTCTTTTTGTCATAATGAAAATCGGTTGGTTCAAACTTCTCGAGAACTACAGGTTCTAGTTCAGGAAGTATTAATTTCTTAGGTTTGGTTTTCTTTATTTTCATAGCCTCAGCGTAGTTTCTAGACAGAACTCCGTTGTCTACATAAATAGGTTCTAATAATGAAGTAGTAGGAAAATATTCATGTGTATTATATTCAATATTATTTATATGAGACTTCAATAGTACTTTGGGGATTTTTACATGGTCAACATCAACCTTCGACTTAGTAGGGGCTTTCTTGAGCTTGATAGTTGCTAACAATGGTTTATTATCTAATGCAACAGCTACAACTTTAGTAGGTTTTACATCAATGGTAACCATTTCTTCAAGTACAGGACCTTCTTTAACAATTGCCAATGGCTCAATTTTACTGTCAGTTGGTATATCCATATCAACAGTTTTGGAAGGTCTTTTCTTTTTTTTCTCTGGTTTAAACTTATACTCTCGAGGCTTTAGTTGTTCTTCTTCTCTAGGATAATCAAATATATCAGGTTTACCTACATTGAGATCATCCGGTTCTTTTACGTCAGTTGGTTTTTCTAATAAAAATGGTTTTAATTTTATTTCATCAGGTATTTCTGGTTCTGGTTTCCCCTGCTTATACTTGAGATTAATATCTTTTTCTAAATCCGCTGGTACAGGCCTAGGTGTTCCGGGTAATATTTTGTGATCAGGAATAGGCTCTTCTTCTTTCTTTGTTTTTTTTCTGATATATTTAGGTTTTTTAACTGGCAATTCTACGTCAGGCAAACTTTCATTATCAACCGATAATGGCTCGGATACATCAGGACTTTTGCCCACTTTTATAGGTTTGAATGGTTCTAATGTAAAATCTATATCTTCAGATGGTTTTGAATCTGGTTCAGGTTTAAAATGTGGTTTTTCAATTGGCTTTGGCATTTCCACTTTTTCTTCCACTGGTTTTTGGGGAACTTTTTTTAATACAACTTTTTCTTGATCGTCATTCTGAATAGGTATTTTTCCTTTTCCAATTATTAACTTCTTTGGGGTCTCTTCGTCTGGAATTATTTTATCAACTGATTGTTTTCTTAAAGATGGTTTTTCCTCAGGTATTTCTTTTTTCTCATAATGAAAATCGGTTGGTTCAAACTTCTCAAGAACAGCAGGTTCTAGATCAGGAAGTACTAATAACTCAGGTTTAGTTTTCTTTATTTTCATAGCCTCAGCGTAATTTCTAGACAGAACTCCGTTATCTACAAAAATAGGTTCTAATAATGACGTAGAAGGGAAATGCTCATTAGTATTTAAATCAATTCTATATAGATGAGATTTAAGTAGAACTTTAGGAACAGCCAAAGGTTCAATTTCTTTATTTTTTTTGGGTGAAGACTTCTTAAGTTGAACTGTACCAAATAACGGTTTATTAACTTCCAATGGTTTTGGCTGTTGTGCAATTAATTCAACAACATTCATCAATTCTTTTTCAGGAACATGACTTTTAGAGTTATCAATAATATCAAGATCAGAAACGTCATTATCAATATCTTTACGTCCTTTTCTCCAGGGAAGTTCCAACTTTTCATTCAGAAGTTTAATTGGAATTTTCTGTTCAGTTAGATTTTTAGGCTTTGTTAAAGTATCAATAGATTCCTCTTCATCTTTAGGAACAACATCAGAAACTGACACAATCTCATCCCTCGGCTTCATAATTCCCTTGAGATCCTTTGAGTCTAGTATTTTCGGAGAAAGTACTTCAACCTCCTCATCGTTCAGGGCACTTACTTCATCGTCAGGAGAAAATTCTTTTTCTTGATTCATATCCTCATTCAATTGAACATGCTTTTTATTTTTCTTAGTTTTTTCTTTAGGAATAGAAATGACTTTTTGAGCACAAACAATTGCATTAGGCTTTTTATCAACATCTTCCTTTAACAAATCGTCATGCTTCATAAACCGAATTTTAATAATAGGTTGATCGTCAACGGCAGGCACATCGGCTTCCTTAAAAACAGAATCTACCTTAGCAACATCCTTAACAACATTAATCCCATTATCAATTTTCTGAATATCTGATACTTCTTGAATGACTGAAATATCCTCTACCACCGGCTTTTTCAATGGTTTAAGAGTGACCTCTTCAATTGATTCTTTTGATAATGGTTGCTTTTGTGTCTTTGTTTTCTTGAGTGTGACAGTTTCTTCGCGCCATGGTACAGATGGTTTTCTTTGCTGTTCAGTTGGAACCTCTTCAACTGGTGTATCCTCGACGTTTTCAACTGGTGTATCCTCGACTTCCTCAATTGTAGGTTTTTGTTCTTCGATGACATCTTCAGTTTCTAGAACTTCGTCCTTTACGACGGTCTTTGTTTTCCTGGCCCGTCGTTTACCACCTTTCTCGACGACTGATTCCACTATTTCAGTTGTCTCGGTTTCCGGAGACTCTTCTGTAACAGGAATTTCTTCTACTACCGGTTTCTTAAATGGTTTAAGAGTGACCTCTTCAATTGATTCTTTCGATAATGGTTGCTTTTGTGTCTTTGTTTTCTTGAGTGTTACAGTTTCTTCGCGCCATGGAACAGATGGTTTTCTTTGCTGTTCAGTTGGAACCTCTTCAACTGGTGTCTCCTCGACGTTTTCAACTGGTGTATCCTCGACTTCCTCAATTGTAGGTTTTTGTTCTTCGATGACATCTTCGGTTTCTAGAACTTTGTCCTTTACGACGGTCTTTGTTTTCCTGACCCGTCGTTTGCCACCTTTCTCGACGACTGATTCCACTATTTCAGTTGTCTCGGTTTCCGGAGACTCTTCTGTAACAGGAATTTCATCTACTACCGGTTTCTTAAATGGTTTTAGAGTGACCTCTTCAATTGATTCTTTCGATAATGGTTGCTTTTGTGTCTTTGTTTTCTTGAGTGTGACAGTTTCTTCGCGCCATGGGACAGATGGTTTTCTTTGCTGTTCAGTTGGAACCTCTTCAACTGGTGTATCCTCGATGTTTTCAACTGGTGTATCCTCGACTTCCTCAATTGTAGGTTTCTGTTCTTCTATGACATCTTCGGTTTCTAGAACTTCGTCCTTTACGACGGTCTTTGTTTTCCTGACCCGTCGTCTGCCACCTTTCTCGACGACTGATTCCACTATTTCAGTTGTCTCGGTTTCCGGAGACTCTTCTGTAACAGGAATTTCATCTACTACCGGTTTCTTAAATGGTTTAAGAGTGACCTCTTCAATTGATTCTTTCGATAATGGTTGCTTTTGTGTCTTTGTTTTCTTGAGTGTGACAGTTTCTTCGCGCCATGGTACAGATGGTTTTCTTTGCTGTTCAGTTGGAACCTCTTCAACTGGTGTATCCTCGATGTTTTCAACTGGTGTATCCTCGACTTCCTCAATTGTAGGTTTTTGTTCTTCGATGACATCTTCGGATTCTAGAACTTCGTCCTTTACAACGGTCTTTGTTTTCCTGACCCGCCGTTTGCCACCTTTCTCGACGACTGATTCCACTATTGCAGTTGTCTCGGTTTCCGGAGACTCTTCTGTAACAGGAATTTCATCTACTACCGGTTTCTTAAATGGTTTAAGAGTGACCTCTTCAATTGATTCTTTCGATAATGGTTGCTTTTGTGTCTTTGTTTTCTTGAGTGTGACAGTTTCTTCGCGCCATGGGACAGATGGTTTTCTTTGCTGTTCAGTTGGAACCTCTTCAACTGGTGTATCCTCGATGTTTTCAATTGATGTATCCTCGACTTCCTCAATTGTAGGTTTCTGTTCTTCTATGACATCTTCGGATTCTAGAACTTCGTCCTTTACGACGGTCTTTGTTTTCCTGACCCGTCGTTTGCCACCTTTCTCGACGACTGATTCCACTATTTCAGTTGTCTCGGTTTCCGGAGACTCTTCTGTAACAGGAATTTCATCTACTACCGGTTTCTTAAATGGTTTTAGAGTGACCTCTTCAATTGATTCTTTCGATAATGGTTGCTTTTGTGTCTTTGTTTTCTTGAGTGTGACAGTTTCTTCTTGCCATGGGACAGATGGTTTTCTTTGCTGTTCAGTTGGAACCTCTTCAACTGGTGTATCCTCGATGTTTTCAACTGGTGTATCCTCGACTTCCTCAATTGTAGGTTTCTGTTCTTCTATGACATCTTCGGATTCTAGAACTTCGTCCTTTACGACGGTCTTTGTTTTCCTGACCCGTCGTCTGCCACCTTTCTCGACGACTGATTCCACTATTTCAGTTGTCTCGGTTTCCGGAGACTCTTCTGTAACAGGAATTTCATCTACTACCGGTTTCTTAAATGGTTTTAGAGTGACCTCTTCAATTGATTCTTTCGATAATGGTTGCTTTTGTGTCTTTGTTTTCTTGAGTGTGACAGTTTCTTCGCGCCATGGGACAGATGGTTTTCTTTGCTGTTCAGTTGGAACCTCTTCAACTGGTGTATCCTCGATGTTTTCAACTGGTGTATCCTCGACTTCCTCAATTGTAGGTTTCTGTTCTTCTATGACATCTTCGGATTCTAGAACTTCGTCCTTTACGACGGTCTTTGTTTTCCTGACCCGTCGTTTGCCACCTTTCTCGACGACTGATTCCACTATTTCAGTTGTCTCGGTTTCCGGAGACTCTTCTGTAACAGGAATTTCATCTACTACCGGTTTCTTAAATGGTTTAAGAGTGACCTCTTCAATTGATTCTTTCGATAATGGTTGCTTTTGTGTCTTTGTTTTCTTGAGTGTGACAGTTTCTTCGCGCCATGGGACAGATGGTTTTCTTTGCTGTTCAGTTGGAACCTCTTCAACTGGTGTATCCTCGATGTTTTCAATTGGTGTATCCTCGACTTCCTCAATTGTAGGTTTCTGTTCTTCTATGACATCTTCGGTTTCTAGAACTTCGTCCTTTACGACGGTCTTTGTTTTCCTGACCCGTCGTCTGCCACCTTTCTCGACGACTGATTCCACTATTTCAGTTGTCTCGGTTTCCGGAGACTCTTCTGTAACAGGAATTTCATCTACTACCGGTTTCTTAAATGGTTTTAGAGTGACCTCTTCAATTGATTCTTTCGATAATGGTTGCTTTTGTGTCTTTGTTTTCTTGAGTGTGACAGTTTCTTCGCGCCATGGTACAGATGGTTTTCTTTGCTGTTCAGTTGGAACCTCTTCAACTGGTGTATCCTCGATGTTTTCAACTGGTGTATCCTCGACTTCCTCAATTGTAGGTTTTTGTTCTTCGATGACATCTTCGGATTCTAGAACTTCGTCCTTTACAACGGTCTTTGTTTTCCTGACCCGCCGTTTGCCACCTTTCTCGACGACTGATTCCACTATTGCAGTTGTCTCGGTTTCCGGAGACTCTTCTGTAACAGGAATTTCATCTACTACCAGTTTCTTAAATGGTTTTAGAGTGACCTCTTCAATTGATTCTTTCGATAATGGTTGCTTTTGTGTCTTTGTTTTCTTGAGTGTGACAGTTTCTTCGTGCCATGGTACAGATGGTTTTCTTTGCTGTTCAGTTGGAACCTCTTCAACTGGTGTATCCTCGATGTTTTCAACTGGTGTATCCTCGACTTCCTCAATTGTAGGTTTTTGTTCTTCGATGACATCTTCGGATTCTAGAACTTCGTCCTTTACGACGGTCTTTGTTTTCCTGACCCGTCGTTTGCCACCTTTCTCGACGACTGATTCTACTATTTCAGTTGTCTCGGTTTCCGGAGACTCTTCTGTAACAGGAATTTCATCTACTACCGGTTTCTTAAATGGTTTAAGAGTGACCTCTTCAATTGATTCTTTCGATAATGGTTGCTTTTGTGTCTTTGTTTTCTTGAGTGTGACAGTTTCTTCTTGCCATGGGACAGATGGTTTTCTTTGCTGTTCAGTTGGAACCTCTTCAACTGGTGTATCCTCGATGTTTTCAACTTGATGTATCCTCGACTTCCTCAATTGTAGGTTTTTGTTCTTCGATGACATCTTCAGATTCTAGAACTTCGTCCTTTACGACGGTCTTTGTTTTCCTGACCCGTCGTCTGCCACCTTTCTCGACGACTGATTCCACTATTTCAGTTGTCTCGGTTTCCGGAGACTCTTCTGTAACAGGAATTTCATCTACTACCGGTTTCTTAAATGGTTTTAGAGTGACCTCTTCAATTGATTCTTTCGATAATGGTTGCTTTTGTGTCTTTGTTTTCTTGAGTGTGACAGTTTCTTCGCGCCATGGTACAGATGGTTTTCTTTGCTGTTCAGTTGGAACCTCTTCAACTGGTGTATCCTCGATGTTTTCAACTGGTGTATCCTCGACTTCCTCAATTGTAGGTTTTTGTTCTTCGATGACATCTTCAGTTTTTAGAACTTCGTCCTTTACGACGGTCTTTGTTTTCCTGGCCCGTCGTTTGCCACCTTTCTCGACGACTGATTCCACTATTTCAGTTGTCTCGGTTTCCGGAGACTCTTCTGTAGCAGGGATTTCTTCTACTACCGGTTTCTTAAATGGTTTAAGAGTGACCTCTTCAATTGATTCTTTCGATAATGGTTGCTTTTGTGTCTTTGTTTTCTTGAGTGTTACAGTTTCTTCGCGCCATGGAACAGATGGTTTTCTTTGCTGTTCAGTTGGAACCTCTTCAACTGGTGTATCCTCGACGTTTTCAACTGGTGTGTCCTCGACTTCCTCAATTATAGGTTTCTGTTCTTCTATGACATCATCGGTTTCTAGTACTTCGTCCTTTACGACGGTCTTTGTTTTCCTGACCCGTCGTCTGCCACCTTTCTCGACGACTGATTCCACTATTTCAGTTGTCTCAGTTTCCGGAGACTCTTCTGTAATAGGAATTTCTTCTACTACCGGTTTCTTAAATGGTTTAAGAGTGACCTCTTCAATTGATTCTTTCGATAATGGTTGCTTTTGTGTCTTTGTTTTCTTGAGTGTGACAGTTTCTTCGCGCCATGGGACAGATGGTTTCCTTTGCTGTTCAGTTGGAACCACTTCAACTGTTGTATCCTCGATGTTTTCAACTGGTGTCTCCTCGACCTCATCAATTGTAGGTTTTTGTTCTTCGATGACATCTTCAGTTTCTAGAACTTCGTCCTTTACGACGGTCTTTGTTTTCCTGGCCCGTCGTTTGCCTCCTTTCTCGACGACTGATTCAACTATTTCAGTTGTCTCGGTTTCCGGAGAGTCTTCTGTAACAGGAATTTCTTCTACTACCGGTTTCTTAAATGGTTTAAGAGTGACCTCTTCAATTGATTCTTTCGATAATGGTTGCTTTTGTGTCTTTGTTTTCTTGAGTGTTACAGTTTCTTCGCGCCATGGCACAGATGGTTTTCTTTGCTGTTCATTTGGAACCTCTTCAACTGGTGTATCCTCGATGTTTTCAATTGGTGTATCCTCGACTTCCTCAATTGTAGGTTTCTGCTCTTTTATGACATCTTCGGTTTCTAGAACTTCGTCCTTTACGACGGTCTTTGTTTTCCTGACCCGTCGTCTGCCACCTTTCTCGACGACTGATTCCACTATTTCAGTTGTCTCGGTTTCCGGAGACTCTTCAGTAATAGGAATTTCTTCTACTACCGGTTTCTTAAATGGTTTAAGAGTGACCTCTTCAATTGATTCTTTCGATAATGGTTGCTTTTGTGTCTTTGTTTTCTTGAGTGTGACAGTTTCTTCGCGCCATGGGACAGATGGTTTCCTTTGCTGTTCAGTTGGAACCTCTTCAACTGTTGTATCCTCGATGTTTTCAACTGGTGTCTCCTCGACTTCATCAATTGTAGGTTTCTGTTCTTCTATGACATCTTCGGATTCTAGAACTTCGTCCTTTACGACGGTCTTTGTTTTCCTGACCCGCCGTTTGCCACCTTTCTCGACGACTGATTCCACTATTTCAGTTGTCTCGGTTTCCGGAGACTCTTCTGTAACAGGAATTTCATCTACTACAGGTTTCTTAAATGGTTTAAGAGTGACCTCTTCAATTGATTCTTTCGATAATGGTTGCTTTTGTGTCTTTGTTTTCTTGAGTGTGACAGTTTCTTCGCGCCATGGGACAGATGGTTTTCTTTGCTTTTCCGTTGGAACCTCTTCAATTGGTGTATCCTCGACTTCCTCAATTGTAGGTTTCCGTTGTTCAATGATATCGTCGGTTTCTAGAACTTGGTCCTTTACGATGGTCTTAGTTTTCCTGGCCCGTCCTTTTTCACCTTTCTCGACGACTGATTCCACTATTTCAGTTGTCTCGGTTTCCGGAGACTCTTCTGTAACAGGGATTTCTTCTACTACCGGTTTCTTAAATGGTTTAAGAGTGACCTCTTCAATTGATTCTTTTGATAATGGTTGCTTATGTGTTTTTGTTTTCTTAAGTGTGACAATTTCCTCTTGCCAAGGCACAGCAGGTATTTTATTAGGTTTGGTTTTGACGTCATCTCTTGGGGTATCTTTAACTTTCTCAACTGTGGGTTTTATTTCATCGTTGGTATAAATCGACAGTGGAGTACTTTCTTTTATTATTTCCTTCTCTTTGTTGTATTTTGATGGTTTTAGTATTACGTCTTCTATCTTCTCATTGGTTAAAATCTGTTTTTCTATTGCTGTTTTTTTCAATGTTACTTTTTCTTCTGTCCAGGGAATATTGGTTTTTATTTTACCTTTTGTTTTCAAATCTTCAGTAGAAGTGTCCATTTTATCATTTGAAGTATCTTTGCATTCTGGTGAATAAGTTGTTTCCTGACTGATTGTATCTTTATTATTTTTTATTAACCATGGTCTCGTATTGTAATTTTGATTTTCATTTTGTTGAATTTTGGGTTCCATATTCTCAATACTTTCTATTTTTAATTTAGGTTTGTATTCATCTGGAACGATATCATAATTCTCAGCTGGCTGTTCTCCGAAATAAAATTTACTTTGATGTGTTTGATTAGGAAAAATGTTATCTTCGGATTGTGGTTCATGTTTATCTGGCTTGAGTTTTACTGTTTCTATAATTTCTCCTGTCAATTTTGAGTCCTTTTGAGATTTATTTTTATTTTTGAAAATCATTTCTGTTGTTGTTACGAAAGTTTCATCTTTCTTTTGTTGTTTTGATGTATACGGTTGAATTTGTTGTTCCTTTTCCATAGTTCGTGTTAAAACTTTGTTCAGCATATCCTTCGCAAACGATTTGTCATCCACTTTCTTTGTATAAAACTGTGTTAACTTATTAGTGACCTCGCCAACTATTTCTTTTTTTTCATTATCGTTTAAACTCACAATATCACCTTGTTTCATTTTTTTTACCAAAATTTGATTAATTATTTGTTTTGCCTTTTCTACATCTTTAGTATCAATTTTATTTTGAATTAAGGTAAATATCTGTTCTGTGACGTATGTATATATGAATGTTCCTTCTTGTGTAACTGTGATTAAATCACCAATTTCTGTAGGTTCAATAATTACATTCTCTTTAATTATGCTTTTTGCTTCTACTGAGGTTTTTCTGATTCTGTCAATTACAATATCTTTTCTCCATGGCAATAAATTATTACTTGTTTTTAACCCTTTTTTATCACTTTTAATATTTTTAATAGAAATTTGAGGACCTATTTCTTTTGTTTTTCCTAACACTTGATTTAGTTGTAAGCTATCCACTACACCCTTATCGTCAAATGTACCGGTCTTATAAGTAACGCCGCGTTGTCCTGTAAAAACATTATTAGTTGTCTTAGATTTTAAATTACAGCTGTATAGTATGACTAAATAAAAATAGTAAATTCTTTAAATAGTTTTTATTCTGTGGTAGTAACAATTTACCTCCCACAAATAAATGACTCATTATATTTGTCTTATTCGTTGTCATATGGAATTCATAACTAATTTTAAAACTTAATCTTTAATATGTGGGCAACACTTTTTTTATTTTCGAGGTCATTAAGAGTATTGTTTTATTATTATGAATATATTATTATATTATATATATATGAATAAACATATACAGAAATTTTTGAAATTTGGCAATTGTAGAATCTATTTATTTTTGTTCTACAGTAAATCAAATAAAAATGTTCATTAATATTGTTATACTGCCATTTTCATGGATTATATTGTGTCCCGCCATTTTAGTGTTTATGTTGGAGATTTTTTTATTAATTTAAACTTGAGCTACATTATCTTTATTCCGTGTAGACCAAAAAAATATGTAAAAATATAGATCGACAGTCATAAACATTGATACACACATAAACTGTCATCAAATTATTTTCCTATTTATAATTATTGTTTTATATTGTATATTGCTCTAAGCAATCTAAAAACATAATTTTGATTAAAATAAAAAATGTTCTGTTCATTTTTTTTTTTATATGGTCAATTGATCTATAGTTAATAATAATTAATAACATATATTTTGCAATAAATTAGAACTAAATATTATACAAAGAAATAGTATTGTATAAAACTCAAATGTCTACTTAAAGTGCGATTAATAATTACCATCCCTTAATCGGTAGTAGGTGTGCCAGATTCTTATAATATTAGCCGGTATTCTTAATCTAATTTATGGATTGAAATAATTTAAATAATATTTAAAGTAATAGTATTAAAACAAAACTATGAATACAGCTTACAAATTATATATTATGAATATCATTTTCTATTCACGTCTGTACTGCATTACCTACTTTTAATGTAACAGAAAGACCTGACGAAAAAAATTATGATGCTACTTAAATGTATGAAATTATATATTTGTTAAAATTATGTGATTAGTAAATAATTTAAGAAATATACTCATGTCAGATAATTCCCAAAAAAAAAAAAAATTGAAAAATGTTATTACGTTCCTAATTCATATAATCAAAAAAAATTGATTTTTTAAACAATTATAAAAAATAAACCACTTGACTTAAATAAATATTTTTACTATTAAAATTTTCCTTAAAATCAGATTCACAAATTGGCTATTTCGAATATATCCAAAAAAATTTCAATCAAATTTTAAAGTTTTTATTTTCAGTGTTAAAAAATAAAAATAATTTTTTGTATAATATATGTGTAGCGCAAGTAACTATAAATAAAAAAAAAATCTAAAATATTTATTAGGATAAAAGTTATTCCAAAAGTCAGTTCCATCTGTTAAACCCTGTATAATATACCAGACCTTATTCCGATAACCATATACTCATAGTTATCAATATAACCATAAATAGAAGTAAAATATTGTCGTACTTTATTGTCACATATGGATACGTTTTGTGTATTTTATTCAAACATATAATAAACAATATGTAAAGCGTAATATTTATAGTAATGTGCTCTTAATATAATAACTAATAAATTAATTCAAAACTCAAAGGCAGCCAAATGCATTTGGCATATAGAACAATGACTGTTCATCGAGATAATTGTTATATGATTAATGTTTGGCATTCAAATTATTATTATTATTATTATTATTATTATAGATTTTTTCTGTTTTGTTTCTTCTTGGTAGGAGTTCAAATCCAACGGCGGCATGTTGAAGGTTTCATCGATGTAACGTACGTGTATGTAGTGGCCCCCCAAGTGTGATGAAAGAGTTATTATTGCTAACCGAGAAGGGGAGATGCTACAGATGCCAACGTGCTACTGTAGAACAGTAGGGTCTGAGGCTTCTGTCAAAAACGTTCATACAAGTACGGCAAGAAATCAGGATTTCTATAATATTACTTCTATCTACTACTATTACTTCTACTACTACTACTACTACTACAACTATCTCTACTACTGAAAACGTGAGTATTATATTTTAAATAATAATTTAATATAATTCGTTTAAAATTTAATTTCAAATGCAATTAAAAATTAAAGTTTCTTTATAATAAATACCAAAACATATTTTAATTGATCGTATTTTTTTATATAAACTGAATAAAACCAACTAATAACTGTGTATGTATATGATTTTTATCATAAAAATTACTATGACTTTTTTATTTAAAAATATTATGCAGTTGGACATAGGTAACGTACATAGGTTACAAATGTGTATTATAATTAAACGATATAGTAAAATAAACAGAAAAAAATTATAAATACATGAAAGAATTGTATACCTACAGTTAGATAAATAATAAATAAATAATAGATAATGTAGGTGTACCTATACTTAGATAAAAATATTATAATTTCAATTTAATTGCATTCCGAATATGCTCAATTTAAAAAAAAAAAACTTATTTTGCTGCAATAATGATTATTAATACAAAAAAAAATTACTATTTAAAAATATTTTTATAAAAATGATGTACCTATACATAAAACACAAACCCTCAGTTCAATGAGAAACGATTAAATCATTTTTATACGCCCTACAGTACGAGCATATCATGTATCTTTGAATTGTATTAATAAAATAGTTAAGCAAAAATGTGATCACTTTTATTTGTAAAAAGCATAAATAAACAACAATGATCTAACGCGCGGATCTGTACTTGGCTCTTCGTATTATTTATAATAGGTAGTATACTAGTATATATTTATATCCATACACAATATGTTGTGTTTTGTGTGTAAAATCGGGATTATCGAGGCCATACAATTTATTACAATATACCAACATAGAAGTACACCTTGTTTTCATACTGACTAATTCAATATAAACTATGTCTAATACAATATAAACTTATAACTAAACTACAGGTCTTAAAGAATCTGTATTAACTTCTAGATGTATGTAGTAATACATTAAAACTTATAAGTAGTAACCGCGATAAAAAAACAACAATTATTATATTTTATGTTCAATAAAAAAAAAAAAAAATATCCTGCATCATGTTTATTAATAAATCAAAAACAGGTACGTTTTGCTTAGCTAGGTAATGCAACCGTGAACATGCGAAGATTCGCATTGGATTCGCATTAGTCACGCACGGCGAAACGTACCAATTAAATCAAAGAAATTTTACGGTCAGGTACCCAACTTGCGACGTTCGTAAGTCACGGGCCCTCTAATAAATTCTCTGCCAGTTTGATGTGTAATACGTTATGCGACTGTGAAAAATTGCTATTTTTAAACGAATTTCAATGTTTGGGGTCTTTTGGCAAACCGCGTAATCTTCGGGCGGTGGCGGTGGAGCTGGGAAACCCGATTTTTCCGGAACGCTTCTACCGGTGTGAGTGACCCGGTTAAGTATCAAGCCAGGTAACGACACGACCCGCCCAGCTAAAAATAATACCATGACGGGACGACACACGTCACCGTGGCCTATAGGTATGACAAAATATGACCATATACGACCGCAATGTTGTCCTAACTTGGACGATGATAAATAACATTTATCTCGGGCGAAAGGTGATCGCGGACGCCGCGTAAGCTCAGACGTCGTGCGTTGAAGCAATGCAAATATTATTATCAAACGGCCGAGGCCGAGTTTCGAAACTAGTTTTTCACTACAGCCCGTTGTTGGTTTTGTTTGTTACAGACTCGCAGAGGATCCGCTGTGTTCGACCAGTAAGTTCGCGGACGACTACAATATCATCATCGGTTGGCAGCAGAGAACGTTTCGGCGATCATAACATAACAATACAATATTGTATTCTATATTTATACGAATCATGTGTGAATCATTTGTGTACACATAAAATAACTATAATATTATTGTGGTTTTTTTTTTCTAATTAATCTTTTATTCTTTTTTTCCGAAAATAAAGCGACGCAAATTTCGTTTGTATTATTATATGTTTTTTCCGATGATAACACGATCGCTTGTTGTCTTGTTGAATGTAATAGTTTATTCCATCGTACGATATTTTTTTTAAACAGTCTCTATACAGCGGCGGCAGTAGCAGTGGCGGCAGCAGTGGTGGCGGAGACGGAGGCAGTTCGAGTCAGAGCGTCTCCTGCAGCTGCTGATGTAGGTACAGGCGGGGCCTTGAGGATTCGTTGCCGGATTTTTTTTTTCACTCTCTTTTCAGGGTCATAAATCATTTTTTTTCTCTCTCTTGACGCTTATCCTGCGATTCATCGTTGTACACAGATGTCACGCGGCCGTCGTTGCGGCAATCAATTAGAATCGCCGAAGGACTGACGCGTGCCAAATGTAAAATCAACACAATGTTGTGAGTTTTAATTATAAACGGCCGTGTGATTAGGTACAAAAACAAAAGTTAAAACATTTTCCCTCGGTAAAAAAGTGCCACCGCCGGTGTAGGAGTTTTTTTCTGTCTACGCGCATGTGTGTGTAATGTGGATACACACACACCGAAGAATTTCCATAAATAGTGACTCGACGAGGGTTGTGCACTTGTGCGCACGTCACAAGGCAGTCCCAAGCACCACCAGTCGGTTCAAAAATAGATTACATTAACAATAATACTGCATTATGTCTTTCTCCCTCTCTCTTTCTCTCAACGGCCCTGTCAGATCTGTCGGTGTATCTGTCCCTCTCTGACTCTTTATTTATCCATCTCTCACTCCCTCCCTCCCTCCCTCTCTCTCTCTCTCTCTCACTCACTCGCTCTCTGTCGCTCATCGTTCCTGTCAGCTCCACTCCCACACATACGTTTCTGGTCCTTACACGTTTCCCCCTTGGCGGATTACCGTGAACGCAAACATTGCGTACAACAACTGCAGTTACATTATGGCCCCGATAATTAAATGGCATTGCTTTCGTATTTAAATATACACGCCGATTCGCGGAATCGTCGAGTGCAAAATACTACGAACAGTGGCAAAAAAGGAAATCTTGCTAGACACGGCGGCGATCGGTTGAACAGATTCCGAACGGCCGCGGCTCGCGAGAAAGGATTCATTTGTCGGTATTCGATCTTCTCGATTACTACTATATGTATTATTATTATTTCCGGGGTGGACTGGTGGTGCTCATTACGATTAGTTGTTCGTTCTGCGGTTCCCGGCATTTTAGCCCGAGTTTTTTTTTTTTTTTTGCTCTTTAATCTATAACGATATTATTATATCGTGAACACAGTGCACAGTGCAGGTAACGGTATGTGTTGGTGACGGGCAGTATAATTATTGTACAAAATATATTAAATAAGACAAACGCGTACAACGCTCACCCTAGGTCGGTGGAATGGCTCATATTTACAACACACTTATTTTGTTTGAGCTATTTCAATGGTGCCTTTTGATTTGTATTTTTTCTGTAAACTTAATGGTACTACAACATACTGTCATTCTGCAATATTTTTTTGAGGTATATCCGCAGACAAATCCTACTGTACCGACATTTTCTGTTTTGTAACATAATTTTAAATGCTAACTCAGCACCGTTGTGTATAATTTAAAGACGGACTTTCCGGTTGCAAATCTGTTACTAGTATAATTTATTAATTACTATAAGAAGTAAGAATCTGAAGTCAATTCGTAAATGCTTCGAACGTTGTACAAGTCAGAAGAAAGGAAATTATATTATAGTCTAATCAGTTTCTTATTTCAGTTTTGCAACCGATGGTATATATACCATACTACTTATTGGCTAAATTACAGGATACATAAGTACTTGCATTCAATAGACGTTTATTAAACATAATAATGTAATATTTGTTAATACAATTTTATATATAATCGCACCAGCTTAAATAATTTAATAAATATAATATGATTATATAAAAACAAAATAAAAATCAGGTTAAAAATGAAAAATACATTTTGATAACAATAACTATAGCCTCGAAAGCCATTTAAATAAATAAGACAAAATTCTTGCAGCACAATTAAAATTAATACTAATAAATAAATAATAAGAAATAATTGTATAATTGTATGGCACTTGATAAGTATTCATGGGTTAAAACGAAGCCTAAACACTAAGCTTTATGGATTATCATTTTCAGTATCGACATTATTAAATTAATAAATAGCACTCAATACCTTGACGGATTGACTAAAAAATAGAGAAAGAAGAAGAGAGAGAAGAAAATAATAAAACCAGAAGCATATTTTTCCCTCGGGAAAATAATTGTTCTTAAATTAATATTTGAAAGCACAGGTAGCATTTCCATATGTGACTTAACGATAATATTTTAATTCTAATAACCGACACAGTATATATATATACTATATGTGTATATATATCGTATGATACATCATGTATTATAAATATATATACTGTACAAATATATATTTGCTTATATAATTATACGTAATCGTGATTATTTCTTACTTTTCACCGTAAGTCTGGCCGAGGTCTCTACTTGTCCAGCGCTATTTGTGGCACGGCACGTGAACACACCAGAGTCTTCTTCGTATGTCGATGTTATCAACAGAACGGCCATGTTACCTTCGTACATCATCTGTAATCATGCATAGAACATTTTCATGAATAAAACCACGAAATATAATATTTACTAAATAGTAAATTAAGAAACCAAATACTGAAATACATAAACTGATACCTAATCGTCATATTGTAATGAACAACCATTTATTAAATTTTAGATTTTGTTTTATTATAATAAATGACAATTTCATACATTATAATCGTGTCGGATCAAATAACTAGTGCTGTACTAAATATTTTAATTTTTTTTTTGAAAACGTCTAGATATGACTTTTTTAAAAAAAAAAAAATTATTATCTCGTATTCAGTATACTAGGTAGGTGTATACGAGTATAATGTACCTAAACATTCCTTTTTAAAACTGTTTTAAATTATACGATAAATTTGTTTTTTATTTGAGGAAAACACTTTTTGCATAAAACTCAATTTAATACTTTTGCTGATGACAATATTTAAAAATGTAATATGAACTCGATCTTTTTATACTCTTTTATATTTCAGATTCTTAGTGGCACGAAACAGCTTACATAAGTTTTACAATTAACTGTGTTTTTTGGGTAGAGGTAAGTTACTTAGGTTTCAAAACTAATTTATTTAACTTTTATTAAAAAAAACTAAGAAGATATAATACAGGATGTTTCACCAAGCATGCTCACACCCATTTTTCCCTTTAATAATGAAATTATTCAAATCCTGATTTTTGCCTTTTTTAAATATACTCAAATACCATTTTATTTAATTCTTAAATTTTTTTGTACAACTTAAGGTGTCCTGTGGTGATACAATCTTCTATTTTTCATATGTAACCCCCGCCCCCTTTTTACTGTAAATTGCTTAGTGGATTATTTTTTTTAAAAATGTTGATGAACCTATTTCAAAATTCGAACGTGTAGTTTCTCAGTTATTAAAATGTTTATTCTAAAGATGAAAGTCATTAAAAGTAGTTTTACAAATGATGATGTAATATTGGATCCATTATTTATTATTTGTTATACAAATTATTAATGTTGATAAATTAATATTAATCAGTAAAAATTTTAAATCAGCATATAGCCCCATATTTTTCAAACCTATTATCATAGAGCTATTCCTTAGTACACAAAGCTAAATAACTCACAAGTTACAGTTAGAATTTTAATTCTGATACATTAACATTTTCAGCAAAATGTTGGGTAAATAATTTACTGTCAAAGAGGGGAGTTCTCATATGAAAGACGGGCAGCTACAAGACACTCTTTAAGTGTCTTGAATGAACTCATTGAATGAATATCAAAATCTTACATATAAAACATATTATTATCTTATTTATATATGTATACTCTGTGATATAAACTTGTTTTGTAGTGGAATATTATTACTTCTTTAACATTTTATAACAAACGTGTACCTCATAATTGAACAGGTTAGTGTAATGTATCTATCAAAAAAATCTATCATACAAATGTAGTTCATGCTCTAATTTTATTTTAAATTCCTATAGAAAAACTTATGAAAAATTATTTATTACATTTAAAATCTTTATTTATCATCGAATGTATTTTTAAATAGAAAATAAAAAAAGCCAAAATATATTTAAAATAATATGATATCTAAAAAATATTAATTTATATATTAAATAGTTGGTGAAAATGTCAAGTCTCTACTGTTGTTCATTTTTGAATTACAACATAAAATCAAAATCGGTTTAGTCGAAAAATGGATTTTCGTAAAAATTCCAATTATTCCCTACCCACTCCTCCGATTATTCTAAAATTATAAGTGGTAAAACTGAAATAAAAAAATATTATAATAGTTAGTCAATAATTACATTCATTAGTCCGATCTCAAAATCTAAAATTATATTCATAGGCTTGGTATTGTAGTTAGATCCTATATAAATAGTCCTTCAGAACAATTTTGAACCCATATACATTTATATTTTATATCACATAATATACTTATTATTACGTTATTCGAATTATATAGGTATACAATATTAAGACTCACCTTAAAATCTGGTGTTTCGGGAATAAGCGTTCCTTCTCTGAACCATTGTACAGACGGTGACGGTTGACCCGACACTTGCGTGCGGAACTGAGCCGCATTACCTTCTGGAACGATAACGTCTCTCATTGGGCTCAAAGTTGGAGCTACATCTTGATTTTCAGGTACTGAAACATTATCGTATGATTTATTACATTTTGTAAACTTCAGAAAATATTTCACGACTTACCAATAACTTTCAAATTAGCTGATAGGACAGCCTGGCCACCGGCATTCGACACTAGACATTTGTACGTGCCTTCGTCCTCCGGGAAGACTTCGGATATATGAAGTGATACCGTTTCCCCGTCTTGCGCCATGCGGAAATATTTTGACGGTTTAATCACTTTATCGCCTTTTTGCCATTTTACTGTTATTGCTATGGAAATTATTAAAATAACAATATAAACACAAAATCATCATCTAATAGTTTGTTTTTTTTTTGTTACTTACGAGGTTGTCCAGAAATTTTACAGCTGAACGTCACGGGTTGTCCCTCGTGAATCACTTGTCCGGACAACGGTTGGGTGATTGTTGGCGCCTGCTCTTTACCACTGGGTTTTGATTTGGGTTTATCCTTCTGTTCCAAGGGTTGGACTAACAACGGAGCTTCACACCTCGCTTCGCCAGAATTGTTGATGGCCACACACTCGTAGGTTCCGCTGTCTTCGGTGACTGACTCGATGATCAAAAGCGTGTATTGGTTGTCTTCGTCCACTGTTTTGTAACGGATATCCTGGGTGATTTTCTTTCCGTTCTGTATAGGAATAAAATTGAAATAGTTTTTAAAACACATAATATTCGAAAACTGCCAAAACTATTTAAATACATACCTTTAACCAATATACATCCAGTGGCTTATTAGCGCTGATTTTAACGTCAAACCTGACTAGCTGACCGGCTTTCACGACTGCTCCTTGCATTGTAGTAAGGAAACTCGGTGGACCAGGTCCTTTCCTGCCGACTTGTTTACGTTCTTCGACAAGTAGATTGGCACTGCATTTTGCCTTGCCACCTCTGTTCTCCGCGATGACGGCAAACACGCCAGAATCTTCCATAAATACCTTAAAACCAAAATAATATTAAATAATATTCAGATCAATTTTTCCCGTTTGTGTATTGAATATGGATTATTACTTGTCTAATAACTAGTATGGACTTCGTACTAAACGTGTGTATTTGGAAGTCTGGTGAGTTTTGTATTAAAAAGTCTTCTCGGTACCATTTGATCGTTGGTAATGGTTCGCCATCGAATTCGACCTCGAAACGCGCTTGGTCCTGTTCGAATGCACGACAGGGTTGAATTTTGGTTGTAAATATTGGCGGTTTGGAAGGTTCCTTGAAAAATAAAATAAATAAATACCAACGTGTATAAAATAAAATATTTATATTATGAATTATAGTTATTTTCTTACAACTTTTCCTTGGACTACCCTTTCTTGGTTTTTGCGTGTGTGTTCTACTTCAGTCGTTTCGGTAGCAGTAATTTTTCTGCGTATTTCTTTGTCGCCTTGTATCTACGTGATAAATATGAATAAATATTTGAAAGTTATAAATGATAATTTTTCAAATTTCCACTCACTTCTTTTTGTGTCTGTTGCTGTTTTGCTACGTGAATTTCTTTTCCATGCACCGAAGACTCAGACGGATCAGGTATTATTTGTGGACTTTGATCACCCCGTGCTTTAAGTAACTTTGTTTTTTGCCAAGGCATTAATTCTTCTTTTTTATCTTTTTCTCTAAATAAAGTAAATTTCGTTTTATAGCTAATCGTATTAAACTGTATATAGTATTTTAGAATTTATTAATTTTAGTAAATAAAAACTTAATTTTATAGTGTACATACAACGATTCTTCGTAATTTGAAGACATATTTTTGGAAGTAGTTTTCAACTTCTCGCCTGCTAATGATACTTGATGACTAGCTTCTCTGATTCTGGCCTCTTTTACCACTTGATCTCCTTCCAACTATACACCAAATCAATTAATCAATAAATTAAATTAAAAAAAATGTATTATAATTTATTTCAAAATATTATGTTTAAATTACTAATTATAGTGCTGATTGTTTGAAGGTATGATTATTTTTTTTTTAAATAATTGATATAAACACCATTCTTATAACAAAGTAATAAAATAATGTATAATCAATGACATAATTTAGGTAAATAAAGTTATTAAAAATTCAAATGTTGTCAATATTATTTTATATTTTATAATCAATTATAATTATTAGACGTTAGTTGTTATATCAATTATTGATCATAAAATTTCTAATCTTTCGCCCATATTTTGAATAACATGATTAGTCTATAGGTATGATCTACGATTAAGGCACCAAATAATAAAACATTGAACTTCAATTTATTTTAGTCAATGCTATTATTGTAAAGTAGTTATAGGTATAAAAACCTAATGATGTTTATTCAACAAAATATTAATATTTTTTAATTTATTAATATACCTATTCGTAATTATAACATTTACTTACTTTACTCAATTTACTATAATAATCTTCATTTTTCTTTTGTTTTACAGCTTCAGTCCATTCGGGTTTTGACTCATTTAATTGTTTTTGTTTCATCTGAACACCGACCGTTGATATAATCATATTACTATAATCAACATTTTGAACATTTGATGCTCTATCAGTAAACACTTTTTCTAGTTCATTCTCTTTCAGATCCCTTTGATACTGCACCAAATCACTGTCGTACCATGCTAAACATACATTTCGATTACAATTTGTCTTCATACATTTGTCAAATGATAACAATTGGATAAAAGGTACCTCTATTCGTGCAATAAACTATTTTAATAAACTATTATTAAATAAACTTACAAAATACTAAATGAAATATTAAATAATGGGTATTGAAACCAAACAAAAGTGTATAAGTTTAAAACTTCTTAAAATTAGAATAATGTGCAATAAAATATTAAAAAGCATTGATTATTTTAAAGTTTATTTTTTATTAGACAATATACCTATATAAAGTATTATTGTAATAAATTAAGTTTAAAAAAAACAACACAATACCTGATTCAATACTCCAAAAATTGAAATGCTGTAGATAGTTAGTAGAAGCTACGAAGAATTCCTCTTGACAAGCCAATTTACCATGTTAGAAAAGCCTTATATAGTTGGATATAAAGGATAAGAATTGGAAAAGTATGTGTATTTTTGAGTTTTGTATTGTGCATATGTGTGGAAATATTTTGTTTTAATATTAGAGCTACATACTTGATTATTAATTATTATAGCATTATTTACCTCCAAGACTTGCACAGTGCATAGCCTATTTTAACATAGGTACTTTATAAATTATATAACGTTCACAATCATGAAAAGTAATTTTAAGCATCTTCCATTGTTGTTTTTATGCATTAAAACATATTTATACTTACGTCTAGGTGAGTTTTTCAAAACTCCTCTGTAATCATCGTGTCTTGAATTCACTGTGAGCATTGTTTCCACACGAGTCTCTCCACATGCATTTCTAGCAATAACTTCAACTTTACCATGGTCATATTGTCTTGTCTTTGGTATGTCAAGATGCCACATTCCATCATAATTTAATTTGTATCTCATTCCCTACAATAAAATATTTATTTATATTAACTAACAAATTTGATAAAACCCAAATATTAATTTGAGTCTTACATTGACTACAGTGTTTCCATTGACTAGCCACATAACTCTTGGTCTCGGGAAACCAGTGACTCTACAACAGAATCTAGCCCAATCACCTTCACATATAGTGACAGGTTCTGGTTTGCTTACAAATTGTGGCGGTTCTCTACGTTTTTCTTCTTCTTCTTTCATTTCGGGTGTTCTAAATATTTTATAAATCAATCAAAACCTTCTAAATGTATTATATTATTTTATTATACTTACACTTGCCATGATGCTTCCATTTCTCTTATTTTTTCAATACTCTTCATTCCTTTAGGAAGCTGTGAATCATAAATGATACCTGGCTTACCAGAGGTTTTTATAGTGGCTCTGGTTTCATCTTGGCCATATAAATTAGTAGCCCTACAAACATATTCTCCACTGTCTTCAGGATATATCCAACCGAAATTCATTGCAACGTAACCAAAATCATAAATTGGATTAAATCTATTCTCTGTAAAATAATAATAAGATAATTATTACATTGATAATTTCCTAAATATTTAAATATTATTATATAATATATATTAATTAATTAAACATACTGTGTCTTAGTGGTTGGCCATTTAAGAACCACTCAACCTTCATATTAGGATCACCAACTGGAGCTAATTGACATTCGAATTTGGTTGATTCCATTTCAACTAACGACAACTGATCTTTAATTTGGGTGACAAACCTAAAATTAAAATTAAAATTGAAAAACATTTTTTTTTTTTGTCGTTCTTCCTAGTATCGTAATATTGATGAGATTATTGGAGGAAATAAACATAAATAATAGTAAAATTGTATATAAAATATGGTAATGTTAAAGAAATTTTGTTTCTAAGGGCAGACATTAAGTTTACACTATCCATTGATTCTTCTTCTAAAAAAATATTCAGAAAATATGAAAATAAGAAAAAATTAATTTACCTTGGTGGTTGTTTCTTCTCAACTTCATACAAATCATCTATGGTTAAATGAATCTCAGATGTGTATTTTTTAATAGCTGCTTCCATTTGAGTCAAAGCCTCTGACTTTTTCATACCTTTTGGTACTTGATTTTGAAGTAATATTGTTGGGAGCTCTGTAAATTAAAAAAATATTATTTCAGTATATTTTAAGATCAGAAATTAATGTAAACGTACGTTTGCATGTGACCATAGCTTTGGTAATAGCTTCACCGTGATCATTTACAGCTCTACAAATGTACTCTCCTGAGTCTTCAGAGTACATAGAAAGTATATCCAAAGATACAAAACCCAAATCAAATATAGATTTGTATCTATGGCCAGAAGGTAATGGTTTCCCATTTCTGTACCACTCTACTCTTAATTTTGGATCATTTTTAGGCTCGACTCTAGTTTCAAAATGCACCGAACTTGCTTCTTCGACAGTTGTTGACTCAATCTGTGTATTAAAATATAATACTACTAATTACTATTTCAATTAAACAATCATAAATAATATTAAATTAAAATAGCTAAACGTTATAACAAACAATATAGTTTAAATAAATTATTTAAATTTTTTTTTTTTTTAAACTAAATATTTATTACAATTTTTTTTTTTACCTGAGCTAAGAATTTTGGTGGCATTGCTTCTATCTCATCATGAATTTTTTTTTCTTGTACAGGTCCTTGCTCTAAAGCTTTTAACTTTTCTCCACTCATTCCATCTGGCAATTGTGATTCTAATATGACATTTTGTTTGGCAGTGCAAGTTAATTTTGCTTTAGTGAAGGCAGTTCCCCATTTGTTTGTTGCACGACATATATATTCGCCAGAATCTCGAGAGTAAACATAGTCCATATCCAAAGATATAAATCCAAAATCATTTATAACATGTACACGTGAGCCAGTGGCGAAAGGTTTTCCATTGAAAAACCAATCGATCCGTAATGTAGAATCATTAACGGGTTCTACTCTACATTCAAAATGTACGGATTTGGCTTCTTGAACATCCAATGCATCCTAAATAATTTGTATTACTATTTTTGATTCTTAATAACAAATTAATTATAAGAAAATATTCACCTTCAATTCTACAGTAAACCTAGGAGGATTTGGTTTTTCATCTTCAGCCAATATTTCTTCCTTTTTATACATATTCTCTTCGAGTTTTTGAATACTTTTTGTACCAGATCTGAATGTATTAGGCAATTGAGGTTCTAAAACTATACCTTGCCGGCCTTTTACTTGTAACTTACATGATACTGTTGCTTCTCCATGTTTATTGGTAGCCTAAAATAAGAATTGATTATTAAAATTTTTTAAATAAATGTGTATTTAATATTATAACACAACTAGCGGGTAAGGTTAATTTTACCAAATACAATGAATTCCATACAGATGCCTCTGTGTATATCAAGGAATGAAATTATTGTTACTAAATGAGTGAAGGTTTTAATATTTTTAAATATTTAAACATGCTGGCTATTAATTAATATAAATGTATAGTTGATTAATGGATTAGATATTATGAATATTTAATGAATATAATAATCATATAAAATCCCTTTAATTACAAAATGTTCTATGGTTTAAGGGCAATATAATTTATTTATTTTTGTTACTCTACCACTTAAAAAAAAATGCAAAATGTAGAACAGGAGCATAGTCATGTAATGGTAGTTGATATTGAGAATGTGATTTTATAGTACTCTTAGGTGTACAATAAAATATTATTTTATTGTACAGGTAATCAATGCTATTATTTATGTTATTTATATCATATAACTGGACTTTACATTTACAAAAACTAACCTTGCAAGTATATAGACCAGAATCTCTAATATAAACACCAGCTACTTCAAGGATAACAAATCCAAAATCATTGATTGTTTTTATACGTGATCCGGCCGATAATACTTTGCCATTATGGAACCAAGTAACTGTCATGCTTGCATCATTGGATGGTACAAGCCTGCATTCAAAATGAGCCAATGAATTTTCTGACAAACTAAGATCAGCTGGAGTTGTAATAAATTCTGGTGCTCTTCCCAGTTCATCTTCAGTTTCAATAGTTGCCCTTGATTTTCCAAGACCTTCAAGCTCTGCAATTCTATCAATAGTAGTGTCCATTCCTTTTGGAAGCTGTGATTCAAATATGATACTTCTCTTTCCTTGAACTTTCATGCTGGCTGTAGTGACAGCTTCACCATAATGATTGGAAGCTCGGCATGAATATTCTCCAGAATCTTCGGGATATACTGGGGATATTTCCAATATAACGAAACCAAACTCACAGAAAGTCCTAAATCTAGAACCAGCTTTTAATGGTTTTCCATTCCAGAACCATTCCACCTAATAATTTAAAACATTATTGAAACTGATTTTTTAATGTTAAGTCATGAATTTACCTTTAAGTTAGGATCATCAACAGGTGTCAGGCGACCTTCAAAATGTGCACTTTCACCTTCTCGTAGACTATCAATATTGGATAATGGTTCAGTAAACATTGGAGCTTGGCGATTTTCCACAGATACTCTTTCATCTTTAACTCTGAGAGTTAAATCTTCAAGAGTTTGTATTTTTTCTAATCCTCCTTCCATTCCACGAGGCAGTTGAGAATCTAAGATTAAATTGGTTTTGGAGGAACAACGAAGATTTGCCTTAGTAGTATCAGTTCCTGCTTTATTGAATGCTCTACACTCATATACTCCAGAATTCTCTTCATAGCAATACAGTATATCCAATATTACTATACCAAAATCATGGAATGTTCTAAACCTATGACCATGTTGTAGCTTTTCACCGTTGAAATACCATTCAACCTTAAAAAGAAATGCATACATTCAATTAATTTTAAAGGTTAGGTATAAATAAAATTCTAAAACATACAACAAGATTTGGATCGTTCACTGGTGTAACTCGAGCTTCAAAGTGAGCACTTTGCCCTTCTTTCAAATTTGTTATGTCAACCAATTGAGTTGTGAATTTAGGAGCTTCTAATACCGGAGATGATGCAAATCCACTTGGTTGACCTGTTGCGTTTTCTAACTCACGAATTCTAGCTAAGGAAGTAGGTTGCAGTGAATCTAAATACACACCACCTTTTCCAGAGTATTGGATAGTGGCTTTAGTTATATCTTCACCATACCTTGATGAAAAATAAAATGTATTTTATATTAATAATGTCATGAATTGGTTTTATTAATTATAACTTTAAACCTACTTATTGCTTGCTTTACACACATATTCTCCAGAATCGTGATTCTGTATATATGCTATATCCATGACAACAAATCCAAAATCGGAAATCATTTTAACGCGATTTTTGTGTAATAACGGTTGACCATTGTGGAACCATTCTACTTTTAAATCTGGGTCATTGACAGGTATTAATGTGCATTCAAAATGTGCAGAATCTCCATCCTTTAAGCCAACAAGAGTCTGAATTTGGGATGTGAATTTTGGTTTTTGACCAGTTATTCTTTCTACACATTCTAGTGTCACACTCATCTCTGCAGATCCATAATCATTTGTTGCTTTACAAGTGTATGTTCCTGTATCAGCTATTTTAGTACCAAGAATTTCAAGAACAACCATTCCAAATGCATAAATTGTACGAATACGGTGACCTAGATAATTTAAAACGAATTAATACACAAATATTGAAGACTCAAACCTAACAACTTACTAGCTTCGATGGCATTTCCATTGTAGAACCATTCAACAACCATTTTCTGATCACCAACAGGTGTTAATGAAGCTTCATAATGAGCAATTTCACCTTCACTTAAGAAACCAAGGTCTTTGAACTATATTACAAAATAAAAATTGATAATAAATAAAATACAAATGTATTAATTTAACTTTTATTTATATTACTTGTGAAGTGAAAACAGGTGCATGCCCAGTCTCTTTATCCGTAATTCCTTGTTTTTGCCTTTGTAGAGATTCTTCTAAGCTTTGAATTTTTTCCAAGCCTTCTTCTCCTTTCGGGTGTTGAGTATGTTCAATTAATCCTTTGTTGCTACTGCAATACACAGTTGTTGATGTATATGTTTCTCCAGAATGGTTATATGCTTTGCAGGTATAAACTCCTTGATCTCGTTCATACACATCAGTTAAATCCAAACTTATAAAACCAAAATCATTATTTGTCTTAAAACGTGATCCTAAAAGTAAAATAAAGTTTTTCCAAATTTGAGTAATGACATAAATAATCTAAATATCACTATCCAATTTTACCTAAATCAAGTACTTTTCCATTAAAGTACCATTCAATTTTGAGATTGGGGTCATTCTTGGGTTCAACTTGAGCCTCCAAATGCAGTGGTTTACTTTCGGCTAATATGAATTCAGCTTCAAGGGGTACAACAAATATTGGTTTTGGGAAAGCAGCATCAGGCAAAGATGCTTGACGTTGATATTTAGAAGCTAAATTATCTTCTACTTTTTGTACCTTTTCTAATCCAGTTTTGCCTTGTGGATGTTGTGTGTCTAAATGAATGCCTTGGAGACCTTAATAATTAAAACAAATAATTGATTTTGTATACAAACATTTTAGTGTAAAAATTTTAATTATTGATATTACCTGTACATTTTAATGTTCCAGTTGTTACAGCTTGACCTTTACTATTACTAGCTTTGCAAGTATATATCCCAGAATCTTCTGAGTAGGCATGATGTATATCTAATGTCACAAAACCAAAATCATAGGCAGACTTGAATCGTGCTGCACTTTGAAGTGGTTTTCCATTTACAAACCAATCTGTCAAATATATAGACAATGTTTATTCAAAATTCAATAATATATTTTTAAGTATTTAAATACCAATTTTCAAAGTTGGATCTTTGGAAGGTTCTACTTGACATTCAAAATGAACATCACTTCCTTCTTTACATTCCCAGTTATTGAGATGAGAAATGAAAACAGGACTTTCAAAAACTGGTTCTGGGCCTTCAACTTGTCCAGCATGTGGTTTTTCCAAATCTTCAATTTTTGATAGTGATTCGGGGTGTAAAGTGTTACTTAATAACCAATGGCTATCAGATATTTTTAATGTACAAGTTGAAACAGCTTCACCCAAAAGGTTTGATGCTTTGCATGTATAGATAGCTGAATCATCTGGTCTCAAACTATTTATTGCTAATGTGACCAAACCAAAATCAAAAGTGCTGCGTATTCTTGAACCTAAAATAATAAATATTAGATATTATTAAAATGAGTAATAACGGCATTCATTAAGTATAAGGGATTGATTATTTAACTATCAATTATTTCAGTAATTAAAATTGTATTTGCATAAAAATGAATATACCTTTGTTGTATTATTATTTTTTTTTTTCATAGGAGAAAAATCAAATATAAATTATCTAAACATACCAGTGGTTAAAGCGACTCCATTTTTGAACCATTCAATTCGAAGATTAGGATCTGCTCTAGGTTCTACTTGAGCTTCTAAATGAACATGCTGGCCTTCAGCTAGATGGTCTTGATTTTGCAAATGTGACGTAAAAACAGGTGCTTGTTGTGGTCTTGTGTCAATAAACATTTCAGGAACTTTATTCATTTCTGCTTCTTTAAGCTGGATTTTTTCCCATGCATCAGGTTGTATTGGTTCATGAATAATTGATGAGCGATCTAACATAAAATTTTTGGATAACTATATGTTACAAATAATATGTATTTGGGTTACTATTTACGTTTTATTTTCATTGAAGTGGAAGAAACAGCTTCTCCAGCCCTGTTAATTGCTTTGCATGTATAAACTCCAGAATCTTCTGCGACAGTTGAGCTGATGTCCAATGTAACAAAGCCAAAATCATTTGTTACTTGGAATCTTGAACCTATTTCAAACAATTAAAAATAAAATGTTAATTCACAAATAAATATTAAATAAGATACATACAATAATTTATTGTGAACTATTTATATAAACAAATTTAAATTATTTAAATTATTTGAGTTGTACAACTTACCCATTTTTAATTCGACTCCATTAACATACCATTCAAAACGTAATGTTGGATCACCTACTGGTACAACTCTACACTCAAAATGAGCATGTTGACCCTCAATAAGCTCTGAAGGGCCTGTAAGAAGTTGTGTGAAAATCGGTTTCTCATATAATCTCTCTGCCTCCTCTCTCTTCAACGGCTCTTGACCACGTTCTAATTCAACAATTTTTTTAAGACCTTCTGGATGTTGACTCTCCAACTGAATATCAGATTTTGCTAATCAAAAGAAATTTTATTTAATAAAATTTAATAAAAATAAGAATCATTAACTTTTTTTATATTATTTACTTCTAACTCTCATAGAGGCTGTTGAAACCGCCTCACCAAGAGCATTTGTTGCTTTACAACTATATACCCCATTATCTTCATCTCTTACATGAGAAATATCTAAAGATATATAACCAAAGTCATATGTTTTTGTAATCCTTGAACCTAAAATAAAATAATAACCAATATTATATTATGTTTGAAATTGATTAAAAATTCTACTAATACTTGTTTCTAATGGTTTTTCATTTCTAAACCATTCGACAGTCATCGACGAATCACCAATTGGGATAAGACGACATTCAAAGTGAGCTGTTTGTCCTTCATTTATGCTGTCAATATTTTGTAAAGGTTGTGTGAACATTGGCCTTTGTTTTGATATAGGTTCTGAATAATCTGCACGTTTGAAAGGTACAGCCATTTCTAACTCTTTTATTTTTTCTAATCCTTCAGGTCTTTGAGAGTCCAAAATTATACTTCCACCTCCTAATATGCCAAAAAATTTTAAATTGTATTCATATCTTTAATCATCTAATTCTTGTTTTAAGTAACTAAATACCTTGAACTAATAAATTAATATTTGAAGTAGCTTGACCCAATTCATTGGTAGCTTTAACAGTGTACTTTCCAGCATCTTCAGGAACAACATGGCCAATATCTAAAGATATGTAACCAAAGTCATATGTAGTATGGAAACGAGAAGCAGATCCGAGGGGTTTGTCATTATGGAAGAATTCAACTTTCAATTTAGAATCGTGGACAGGTTTTACTTGACACTCAAAGTGGGCTGTTTTTCCTTCAGCTACCTCAGTAGTGCCCTGTTAAAATAATTATTATGTTGTTTAATACTATTGAAATTAAGAAGGGTAAAATAAAAATATACCCATAGATCGGTTAATGTTGGTGCTGTTGGCGGAGGCTCATTGATTTCAAGTTTTGCTGGGCGTCCTTGCGCTTCAAGTTCACGAATCTTTTCTAAACCATCAGGATGCTGCGTTTCTAAGTAGATACTTCTACGAGCTATTTAAAAAAATTATAATAAATATAATAAAAATAAATATAGGTAAATATAATTATAAAATTTAAAGTATATACAATTTTCATAAATAAGTTTACTTACAGGCAACATTTATTTGACAGGTATTTACTGCTTCTCCTTTTTTATTGGTGGCTTTACACATGTAAGTGCCAGAATCTTCAGCATATGCATACAAAATATCCAATGCAACATATCCAAAATCATGTGTAGTCTTAAAACGATGACCTGTTTTGATTGCAACTCCATTAACGAACCATTCTATTTTCAAATCAGCATCATTAATTGGTTCAATTCGAGTTTCTAAATGAGCATGTTCTCCTTCTTTCAATAATTCAAGGCTAAACATACATAAATTAAATATAACATCTAAAATATAATATAATATGTTGAATAATAGTATATATAATTTTATTTACCTATTAAGAGGTGTAAGGAATACTGGTTTTTGAAGTTCAAATACAGCTTCTTGAGCTGTAGGTCTTTCATAAGCTTCAAGTTGTTTAATCTTTTTCAATCTATCTTCATCCAAAGTGTCTAACTGAAGACCAGATTTAGCTAAATAAATAAAAGTTATTATTTAATACAATAATAATACACTTTAATAAAATTAAAAAATAGTTTATTAATTAAAAAAAAACTTACAATCGACTGTTACAATGCAAGTCGTAACTGCTTCTCCGGCAGCATTTTTGGCTTTGCACATGTATGTACCTGAATCTTCAGGATAAGCATAAAGTACATCCAAAGCAACAAATCCAAAATCATAAACTGTCTTAAATCTGTGGCCTTGAGGAATTGGTATTCCGTTTCTATACCACTCAACCTTCATAGTTGGGTCATTAACTGGAATTAAGGTAGCTTCAAGATGTACACTACGCCCCTCTGGAAGATGTTCTATGTTCTTAAGAGGTCGGCCAAATTGTGGTTTCTCTGTCATTAAAACGTCTTCAGCAGCTGCTCTTTTAAATCTAGAGTCGTCTTCCAGATACTGTATTTTGTTCAAAGCTCCTTGGTGTTGAGTATCACTAATAATTGATGCTCGAGATTGAACTCCTAGCTTAACTGATGACTCGGCCCTACCAAGTTTATTAATTGCCCTGCAAGTATATTCTCCCGAATCTTCTGGTAAAGCAGATAAAACATCTAATGACGCAAAACCAAAATCATAAGTTGTTCTAAATCTATGTCCTGTTTGTAATGGTTTTCCATTGTGTAACCATTCTAATTGCAGCGTATGATCAGGATAAGGCTCTATACGACATTCATAATGAGCACTTTGACCTTCAATTAAACTTTCAGTTCCATTTAATGGCACAATAAACTTAGGTGCCTCAGTAACTTCTACTTCTTTTTGTTCTGTACGCTTGTATCTGTTAGAATCTTCAAGCTGTCTTAATTTATCTAATGCTGCTTCGTGTTGACTTTCCAATTGAAGAGAAGCTTTAGCTGAAAAACAATATAAAGTATTAAGCATTATTTTAAAGTTCTTAGGAATATTCTTATAATTAGCTAATAATAAGTTTAAAATAATGCTCACAATGCACATTCAGTGTGGCTAGAGGTGACTGCTTGTCCTAAATCATTTATAGCTCTGCATGTATAAGTACCAGAATCCTCAGGATAGACATATTTAAGATTAAGAGCGACGTAACCAAAATCATGCATTGTTGATACACGATTAGCTAAACATTTTAAATTACAAATTTATTTTAAATTAATAGTCTACAATTTTTATATATTGAATAGTGTACATACATGCTTGAATAGGAATTCCATTTCTTAACCATTCTACTTTTAATTTGTCGTCACCCACTGGTATTAATCTTGCTTCAAAATGAGCAGGCTGACTTTCAATCAATGTACTATCTCTCATAGGTTGAGTAAATACTGGAGCTTGTGTTACTGCATCCTCTATAATTGATTGACGTTGATAACGGTTTGAGTTTTCAAGCTGAGCTAAACGTACCTAATGCATCTTCGTGTTGAGATTCCAAATAAATTGACTTTCTCGCTGAAATTATATTAAATTAATTTGATAAAAAAATTATTTGAATATATTTTTTAATAAACTTACATTGAACATTGAGATTTCCTGATGTAATAGACTGTCCTAGCCAATTAGTTGCACGGCATGTATATGTGCCAGAATCTTCAGGCAAACATTGAAGAATATCCAATGCAACAAATCCAAAGTTATTAGTTTCAGTAAATCGAGATCCAAATTTAATTGGGACATTATTATGGAACCATTCAACTTTCATGGTATTATCAGATACTGGAATTAATCTACATTCAAAATGAGCTCGTTGGCCTTCTTTAATATCGCAATGCTTCAACGAAGTAGTGAAAATTGGAGCCTGAGTGGTTGTTTCTTCAATATCTTCTCTTCGGTTGTACCTAGATTTTTCTTCAAGATACTGAATTTGTTCAAGACCCATTTCGTTTTGAGTATCTGTTACAATACCTGACGAACCTGCATAAAAAATAAAATTAATAAATCACTAAATCGTATTTAAGTAATTATAAAATTATTTACTTCTGCAGGTTAGATGAACATTTGTTTCATCGACGCCAAGTAAATTAACAGCCCGGCAAGTATAAGTTCCACTGTCTTCTTCAATGACATCTATGATATCTAAGGCCACATACCCGAAATCATGGATGGGTCTAAAGCGATGGCCTATTAAAATAATAAAAGTATATTTTAATAAAATAATATTATAATGTATATTACGTAGTAGGTACATATGGATTATTAGTTATTTTATTACTTCAAACATAATCTTACCAATAATAATTGGTTTTCCATTTTTAAACCACTGGACTTCTAGGTTAGAATCAGTGACTGGTTCTAATTTACATTCAAAATGAGCATGCTGTCCTTCTTTTAAATTCTCCACATTCTTTGGTTTGGACAAAAAACGAGGTTTTATTTTAACAGACTCTTCAATCATTTCAGCCTTTTTGTATCTCGCTGAATCTTCTAGATATTGTATTTTTTCCAGACCATGTGGATGTTGTGAATCTAATATTAAATTCTGTTTAGCAATCACTTTCACTGAGCTGGAGGTAACAGCTTCCCCCATTTCATTTCTAGCTTGGCAAGTATACACTCCAGAATCTTCAGGATATACACTTAATAAATCCAATGCTACATAATCAAAATCATAGGCAGGGCGGAACCTATGTCCTGTTTTTACTGGACGTCCGTTGACCAGCCAATCGATTTTCATAGTTGGATCTCCAACCGGTTTTAATCTACATTCCAAATGTATGTTTGTACCTTCAGATGTCTGTATATTATGTAATGGTTTTGTGAACTGTGGTGATTGCATAATACTTTCTTCTTCGGTTGTCATTTTTTGATATCTGGAAGCATCTTCTAAGCATTTGTATCTGCTCTAATGCATACTCATTTTGACTTTCAGTTAAAATATCTGATCGGCATAATACCTATATATAATTTTAAAAAATTAGATAACAATCGTTGTATTAAAATGTTGTATATAATATTTACATTGACACATGCAGATGTATGAGCTGATCCTAAATGGTTTGTAGCTCTCACAGTGTATTCACCAGAGTCGATCGATGTGACATGTATGATATCCAAAGCAACATATCCAAAATCATAATACGTACGGAACCTTGAACCTTTTGGAAACATAGTATTTTGATGAATTATTTATATTATATATATTTTTGTATGGACTTATCAATTAATTAATTAATTAAATAAATTAAGGTAAATCTGAATTAATAATTACCAACAGTTACAGGTTTTCCATTTTGGAACCATTCGACTCTCATTGTAGGATCACCCATAGGCTCAAGACGGCATTCCAAATGAACATTTTTACCCTCATTCAATGGTGCAGGGTCGCTTAATGGTTGTATAAATATAGGTCTCGACTTAGAAATTTCCTCAATATCATACTGAGGTTCAGTGAATTTTTTAGATTCAAGATAAGGAGCTTTTTCTACAACTCCACGATGCATAGTAGATGTATCAATATTTGAACGAACTAAATATATATATAAAATAATTAAAAACTAAATAACGATATTATTCTATATAGACTGTATAAGTTTTTGAAAATTACCTTCAACTTGCATTGTTGATGACAGCTGAGCCTCTCCTAATGCATTCCTTGCAACAACTACATATGTACCACTATCTTCGGCTCTTACACCAAGAATATCCAAAGCCACATAACCAAAATCATGATATGTTTGAATTCTATTAGCGCTCATTATTACTCTTCCATTGAAATACCATTCAATCTATAATTATAGTGAATGTTCAAAAACAATAAATATATAGTCAATTAAGATACATTTATTCTGAATTCTAACAACTTTAACAAAATATATATTATTAATTAAATTTTTAATAAAAATATTTCAAGGTGTTAATTGATAAATAATTATTAAAAACTATACATTTGAAAAAAAAACACTGTTTACATTTATAAATAAATAAATTATCTAAATTGTATTGAAAAGTATTTGTGAATAAAAAAAGCAGCAATAAAAAAGTAATTATTACCTTCATGGTCACATCATTTTGAGGTTCTACTCGTACTTCAAAATGAGCTCTTTGCCCTTCAGCAATTTTATTTGTTCCTTTTAATGGTCCAAGGAATCTAGGTTTTTGTGTAACAACTGTTTCTTCTTCTGCCTTTCGTTTATTCTTTCTAAAATTTTAATTTGATTAAAATCATTTGAAAAAATTAATTTACAAATTTTATTTTGTCGATTTACCTTGAATCTTCCAAATATTGGAATCGTTCAAGACCTCCAGGGTGTTGGCTATCTTGTACTACATCTTTTCTAGTTAGCACAGTCAATGTAGCAGATGTCGAAGCATCTCCTAAATTATTATAAGCTCTGCAAGTATATGTTCCGATATCAAAGACAGTTACATATTTTATTGTTAATGCAACATATCCAAAGTTGAAGAATACAGTCATTCTTGAACCTAAAATAAATCATCATTATTTAAATAATAATAATATTAGACTAGTCAGTAGTCTTTTATATACATAAAATGTGTACATACTAGCTTCAACTGGTTTACCATCCTTTAACCATTCTACTTGAAGTGTCGAGTCTCCTAATGGTTCTAATCTTGCTTCAAAATGAGCGAAACCGCCTTCTTTAATGTTTTGTTGATCTTTAATTGGTGTTTTAAATTGTGGTGGTGCAACACTTTCTGGTGCACTTATTTTATATTCCTGATTTTTTTGTTGTAGGTAAGATTGTTCTAAAGCCTCAGTTTGATCAATATACCTCTGCTGTTCTGGGTAGCCTAAATCCCCTGTAATACTGCTATGAGCTATTGGATAAAAAAACAAATCAATAAAACTATAATCTTAAAATATTGATTAATAATTATTTATTAAATATATTAAATACTAACCAATAACATTTAATGTTGATGTGCTGATAATTTCTCCCCATCGGTTTATTGCTCTTAAAGTATATTCTCCGCTGTCTTCTGCACGAAGATGCATAATATTCAACGATACGTAACCAAAATTAAATATTGTTGTTATTCTCGAACCTTAAATCATTACAATATAATGGTTAGTATTATTTTTAATAAAGAAATACGTTTTTCCTATAAGAAAATTATAACATACTTGCTGTAATAGGTTTTCCATCTTTATACCACTCTACTTTCATTGTTGGATCACTGACTGGATTAAGCTGAGCTTCGAAATGTGCATTTCTACCTTCTTGTAAATTACCCATATCATGTAATGATTTAACTAAAGTGGGTGGTAATGGCTGAACTTCATCGTAACTATCACTTCTTTGATATTTGGAATAATCTTCCAATTGTTCAATATATTTTAAACTGTCTGGATATTGACTTGATTTATCAATTTCATCTTTCCCTAAAATATAATATTTAATATCAAAACCCAGGGTTTCTATTAACAAAATAATTGTTCAATCATACCTTCAACTTTGAGAACAGCAGAAGATTGAGCTGTTCCCGAGCTACTAGTTACTCTACATGTGTATTCTCCAGCATCATCTGATATAATGCCCAACAAATCCAAAGCTATGAAACCATAATTTAGTAAAGTCATAGCTCTAGAACCTTAAAATAATAAATAATAATCAATAGTTAAATGATATTTAATTAACAACCAAATTTTTTACAAACTTACTTGCTTGTAATGGATAACCATTTACAAACCACTCAGCCACCATGGTTGGATCTCCAATGGGTTCAATTCTAGCCTCAAAATGAATTCGACCATCTTCCTGTTGAGATATGTTCGCAAGCGGAACAATGAACCTTGGAGGTGGATAAATCTTGTCTTCTTCCGGTCGAGGAGTATGGTATTTTGCCCTCTCGACATGTTTTAGAAAAACAACTTCTGGTTCTGGCTCAGGCCTGTGGATGTTGTAAAAATACATTAGTTTTTGACAAATTTTTTCAAATAAATAAAATTTAATAAAAAGCTTTTTCTTACTCAGGTTCGATTACTCGTGTTGGTTTTGGCAACCTAAGACGTCGGTCTTCTGAAAAATCTTCAGGGCGAGGCTTCCTTATAATATTTAGTCGAGCCCGTGTGGCGGTCGATCCAGCTGTGTTTTGAGCTGTACATTGATACCAACCTGCGTCTGTTGTAGAAGCTCTTGCTATTTCTAATACTGAACCACCACCTTCGGTCCATACAGATACCATTCCTGGTTGTTCGCTGATGTTTACGCCATCCTGAAATAATAATATTGATAAACTATGTGCTTACCTACATAATATAATGTTAAAAAATAAATAAAATATTTCAGCTTACTTTTTGCCATGTTATTCTTGGTACTGGGGTTCCAACAGCTCTGACACTCAGCGTAACTGTTTCTCCTTCGTTTATATTTAAAGGTGTAAAACGTTGTACAAACTTAGGAGAAACGACAAGTTCTTTTTCAACAACTCCCAAATTACACTAAATAAATGTAATAAATTAAATTAAATAAAACAAATTATAATCTTATTTTGCATTATAACCCATTAACAAAGTACTGTATTTTTAAAAATGAGTTAAATGTATTAAAAGTAAAGATGTCAATATGTCGTTGACATTTGTAAATATTTTTGAAACATACAAGTATTATAATATATTAATACTTTATCACTTTGGAAGGAAAGAATTTTGAATTAGAAATAAAAAATTCATTATTAGTTCTTGAACAACATAGAACAATTAAAAAATAAATATTGTACAAATAAAACAAAGTAAAAAATTGTGATTTTTTGTGATATTATATTAAACTACCTAATATATGTACCTATTGATTATGGTCTATATAAATTATAATATATACTTATAATAAAACCAACTTTTTTCATTAATTAAATGTTCTCAACAAAATACCAATGCTTCCTTAAACTTGTGGCATTACATGTATTATACAGAAAGCCTCGACTAGTACAAATAAAATAAAATTCCTATAGTAAAACGTGAATACCTACCTACTTGAAAACTAACTTATCTTTATGTTTTCACTTTTATTGATAGGAATTATGAATAGACAATCATGTTAGAAATAATATAAAGACGTATTATACTAATTTAAATAATACAAATCTTATAATTCTGAAAATAATATTATATCTAAGTAGCTACTATTTTAAAAATGATGATATAAATAATAATTATAGGTATATCGTATATAAAATAAATGTTGGATAGGTAATGGATTATAATTAAATCATAATACCTAATTTATAAATAATAACAATATATTGTAAATGAATTGTTTTTTTATAAAACAATTAGTCGCCTTGCTAATAAAAATTAATCTAAAAAATATTAATCACTTTCTAAAGAAGAATTTGATGATAATAAACAAATCAAAAACTTGTCCAAAAAAATTCAGAAGATAATACCTATGATAGGTAGCTAAATGTTAAACTTACAACATTTTTGATTTCAAAAGTACAACATAATTTGATGTAGTTACCTATAAATTAACTTGAAAGATAACTTTTCCTCCAATTATTTTTACATAATTTATCATTATCTGATTCAGAAATTAATCACTTGTCTTGAGAATGTATTGTTGACAATTAAGAAATATTAGATATTATATATTATGATGTAGGTAGATATAACATAAAATAAACAATGAATATCTTTTTGTACAATTCTCAAATAAAAAATAAAATATAGCCAACATTATTAACTTATTAGGTAGGTAGTTATTACCTATAACCATGTAGGACTTCATTACAATATTAACCTTCACTATTTGGAAATTGTAACATTTAGAACTCAAAAGTCAGAAACTCAGAACTTAAATGTTGATATTATTATAACATATAAAGATAAAATATAATGAAATATTATAATATTTTATTATGTTGTGATAATGTATTTTGGCGGGAATCGGCAGCATCAGCTGAGGCCCGAGAGTCGTGAATGCGTGATAATCAGAATCATGAAAAAAACATGGTTATGACTTATGATTTATGAGTATGGGCATCAGATCGAGTTTCGCTTCTATATTGTTCCATGGTATGCGAAATAAAAATTGACACCATGGTCACAATTTATTCATTTGTCTCTAAACACAATCATTGTCATTCTGTCATTCTAACATTTTCATTAGTCATCAACATAGGCGCAAATAGGGGGGGTGGGGCTTAGGGGGTATTAGCACCCCCAATTTTAAAATTAGCACCATCTAATAAATATGTGTTTATGTATCAAAACTTCTCTTTACAACAAAAAAAAACCAAAAACAGTTTATCATCAGACATGATGGTATCAGAGTATAATGAATGAAACAATGAACTCGACAATTGTAATTTTAACGAATTAAAATCTATTTAGAATATAAATTATTATTTTCCAATGTTTCTACTAAGCCCGGTCGTTGTGGTCGGTTATATTATTATCAGTGTTATCACGTTCAGCAGCGACTCAGATCTTCGACAATTTATAGTATCGCGAGTATTTACTAATAGAAACATTCCCCTGCCCACATCTAATTCGGACAAAAACATAATTACGATATACGAATTACTTGTCAGTTGCCACAGTTGGTGTTCACTGGAGTTCCAAGTTTCCGACAGTCTGTGTGATTGTGTATGCCGAATTATATAATACAGTAGGTACAGATATAACTGACTTTTGGAATAACTTTTGTTCTAATCAATATTTATAATGTTTTTTTATAATTTTAACAATTTTTGTCACACATTTAAGTAGCTTCATTTTTTTTTTTTTTTTTTGTCAAGTCTGTCTGTTACACCCCTTGTACACTAATATTTATTTGTCATATTTTTTGAATAAAATATAAATAATTTGTTTTAAATTTTTAATAAATTAAAATTTACTATTGTATTAATTTTTATAAAATGTACCTAATGCACTATAACTATTCAATGTTAAATTGTCATAAAACCATTTTTTCTCAAAAAAGTCATAAGTGCCTCATAGGTATAATTTAATTTAAATACCCAGGAAATGCAGAGCTTAAGCACCCTCACTTTTTATGTTGAAATTGCGCCTATGGTCATCAATGATTACTCATTACAATATGACCGGTGTATAATAAAAATTCCAACAGTACCTACACCGGATTACAATTTGTTAAGGGGGAATATCCCATATTTTTTTTTTTATTAAATCGTTAAATTGATAATTCGTAGAGATGAAACTACAAATATTAATACTAAAAAAAAAATGATTGAATTTTTTTTCTCAGTAAATAGCGTCTAAAAATGGAAATTTTGTATTTTGAGTTCCTTCTCACAGGGGCCAGGGCTATGTTTTATAGTTAGGAGTCTGTAACTTTGAATATATAATGTAGACATGTTTTTTAGTATACTACCGTTGGCTGATTTTTGATATCTATTTTTTTTTGTTAAGTCAAAAGGCTTCAAATTTACCTCTTATAGTTGAAAATTGGTTTTTCTTGAATATTTTTTTTCATCATTTAAAATACAAAAAAAAAACTCAACGGTAGTACCTATACAGGTATTACTATTATGAATCGGTATCATTTTTCATATTAAAAATATTTGAATTATTGAGTGACTTGGAAAGGAACTAAGTTTTGGTTAGATAATTAAAGCAATCGAATGTGAGTAGTGGGAACCGCTGCAGAGTCGCCGGCTTGATTACTAGTAAAGAGCTCCAACGGAATTCGTCAAAAACTCAACAGCATAATATTCCCCCTTAAGTATAAGCCTTATAAGTTATAAGTAATAAGTTATAAACGCAATTCTGCCTATATACCTATAAAAAAAATTCCCACCCAGGGCGACCGTTAAAACCCTATGGGCATAGTAGCTCTTCGATAAATATACATCTCTGCAGGTCCTTGAGTACCTATTTTAATACCCAATAGTACTATTGTAAAATACAGAAACTATAGTAAAAATACGGGAACATGCAGACGACATGACTGCATAAATATAGGTACCCACATAAATTTCATTAGGAAAATCAGTGCAAGTGCAAGTGCATTATTGTGTCGATTTTAATATATTCATAGGTACAATTACACCTGCAGGCTAAAGGAACCTACACTTGTTAAATAATAATAATACCTACATAATATTAAAAATTAAACGAAAAACGATTCTAGAGTGAACTCTACACCAAGTTCAAAATATTATATAGGTGTTATGCGTAATAACTATATTGTATGAGTATGAGTGTGAGTTGTGAGTATAAATGTATAATAGTCATCCGATGATATTCAATATCTATATATTATTAATTATTATTGTACGAATAAACGAATTCATGTTACAGAAGGACCACCATTTCCACCCATCATCCCGATTCAAGTTTACCACCACAGTAGGTACCACTACGTATCGAAAGCTATCTCCTAAACTGCAATAAGCAATATGGGCTTATACATACCTCCTAACCATTAGAAGTATAGTAGAAATAATAAAATAAAAATAAATGCACCAATCAATAGGTATAAATACTAAAGTCTAAAACTGTGTAATGAAATCGAATATGATTGTACAATAAGAGTGATGTATTGTATTATTTTAACGTTCATAAAAAAAGCGGGACCCGGATCAATCACCCGTTCACCCTACTTATAAGACCCCTCCAGTGGTCCTCAACTACTGTAGATTTGTATTAGTTGTCGACTCGTTGACCATATGTGACCTGTGTGTACGGGCTATACGATAAGAAATTTAATGGATTTTTAATTAAACGTTGGAATAAATCGTCTATATTATGAATTAAATAACCTATGATTCTTTGCGCCACCTATTCAACGAAATAATCGATTCTTATAATCTACATAATATATCTGCATATTTATTTTATGACAGCGGGTGACACAATGAATAGAGATATAACTATACCTACATGAAAAGGTAAATACTGAACATTTTATTACACTGGTATTATGATGGTAAACACTTTCACATTGCTGTGACTTGTGATTCATTTTTTGTTATGATATAGCCACAAGGTGGATAGTATACATAATTAATGTATGTATTCCGTTTTTACATACAATACATTGATAACACTTAACATTAATTAATCAATGATACAATAGGTATCAAAGTGATTTTCGTAATAATTTACCAAAGATAAAAATAACAAACGCCGTTAACTTGGACGTCAGTACTTGTTAAAGGGTTAAGTTTAGCAGAAAAAAGAACTATATGATAATTACTTGGAAAGAAGTTTCTCCAGATTTACTTCTTGCAACACAAACCACTTGACCTGCGTCGGCTTGGGACACGTTAGTTATCATCAAACCGTGGTCACCAGATTCGTTAACCAGTATCTTGTGCGTTGCGTCGTCCTTAATTTGCTGACCATTTATATACCACGAGACTTCGGGATACGGTTTGCCCGTGACGCGAACATCGAAACGTGTCAATTTCCCTTCGGTCACGTCACGATCTCCACATACACGCACAAAGTTTGGTGCTAACATCTTGCCCTCAACCACTTCTATCGACTCGAGTTTGTTGTGAGTCTTAGTTATTACATTCTCCCTAAAAAAAAAATATTCCCATTTTATTTGATAGTGTTTAAATAATAGATTTGTATAGGTAATAAGATAACCTATTGTCAAAACTAAAATAAAAAATCACAATAATTTTTGGTCCTGGATGAATAACATATTATAATCATTTTAATTTTTTAATTCCCACAACCTATTGTTACAGTATCATTTACGATATTCCTATAATAATTAATTAATACTATTTTTATAATCGTTTTCAAGCATTTAAAAAGAAAGGTAAAAATAATACAATTGTTGTTGAAGATATGAGACACGTGGCAGAGAAAATTGAAAGAATAAACGAAAAATGTAAGTATTTTTACAATAATATTGTTTCACAATTTTCACCATTAACATATTTCTATTAAAAATTGAGTATTGCACAAAGTATTTACGTAACATGAACATCATAAGGGGGCTTGACAGTTTTTAATTTTGAAAACGGATTATGATTGATCAACAAGTTTACTATCGAGGAGATTTTGAATATTTTTTTTTCAGCTTTGATATCCAAGAATAAAAATATGATATTTTTGTATATATATTATTCATTATGACACTAACAATAATTGGAATATTAAAAATCACCTCGACCATTCCCTAGTAAACTTGTTGATCAATTATCAATCATAATCCGTTTTCAAAATTAAAATCTGTCGAACCAAATTCGTCCAGTTTTGTCTAGCTTATTGGTCTAAAAGTCACTTTTTTTCATTGACTGGAGCCCCCTCCAGCCCCCTTAAGGTTTATTTTATGATAGGGAATTTAAATATATTGAAAAACTTTATAACAAATAAGATTAATGTTTAGATTGGTCAAATCTACATTAGTTTCGAATTTCGACAAAACCTGCTGCAGTCCTCTTAATGGTTAATAACCGAAGTTGGAAATAGTTAAACTCACTTGTCTTCTGTTCTGTCATATGCTATCGACGTCGGTTCTATGGCAAGATATGCAGAAGATACTACACAGCCTTGTGGGTTTTCTACAAGCAGAGTGTAATGTCCAGAATCCTCACAACAAACTTGTGGTATGGAAAGTGTAGCGACTTGATTAGTGAAATTGATCTGGTGTTTTGGTCCGTTTACGAGTCTCTGGCCGTTCTTAAACCAAGTCAACTACAAGACAAAAAAAAAAATCGTTAAAAATATGTTTGAATTTAATATATTATAGATACAATGGTAGGTATCGTGTTTTTTTACCCTAGTATCCTTAGCTGTTGACACTTTTACAGTAAAAGTAGCGTTCGATCCTTCTACTAATTTTGAGTTACGCGGTTTCTGGAGCACTTGAGGTGCTACGACCGGGCCTTGGTGTGCGCTGCTTGTAAACTTGACGTCCTCTTCACCCAGATACCTTTTGGTGACGGACTGCCTGAAGGACACTTCACGAAGTAAACGATATTCGAAAGTATCGACTTTGAAATCCTTATTCAAAAACATTAAAGCCATTGTTACATCACGACAATAGAAATAATAATAATAATCCACTTGTAGTAATAATAATAATCGATGATCGACGATCATGTTTATAGTATATTTTGCTTACTTCGTCGATGTTTGAATAATTGTTTGTATACAGCGTATTCTGTGTCTGTTGCACTCGCTGCGAACCATACGTGCCTTGAGGTATTTGAACTGTATGACCTACCAAAATTCAACACGTTAAGAATATACAACTATAAGTCAGTCGACCTTTTTGCATTTATTTTCAGACTTTTAGAGCGATTTTTTATTTTACCTTCTGGTTGAATGAAAACAGAACAAATTGCTTCTCCGTATTGATTGCGCGCCGAACATGTGTATTCGCCTTCATCTCCTGGACCGATTTGATTGATCGTAAGAACAACATTCCCTGTTTGTTGATCATACGTCATCTTGTATTTGTTTGACTCTGAAAATGGATATTTAATCCAAAAGATTATTATATTATTAAACATTACTATTTTTTTTGAAAAAAAAAATGACCAGTAATAGATCAATGTTGTATTATATTTACCCAATAGTGGAGCGCCTTTCCTGGTCCATGAGACAAAAGGTTTTGGAATACCGGTAACCTTTCCTTCAAAAACGGCATTTCCGCCCTGAGCGAATCTGGCATTTTTGAAAATCTGTTCAAATACTGGCGGAGCAGCGTCATTTCTAAAATTGTATACATTTTTGTTAAATCGATTTACTCAAGGCTTAAAGTGAGAAAAATTTCCAGAGGGGACTAATGTCTCTGTATAGTCTTAAGCGTTCCATACATAATTGTATGTATAATGTCTAATGTACAAAATCCAATTTTTTAAAGGGGACGCTTTTTTTCGCTGATTCCCCTCCTTACTTTAACCCCTTGGGTTTATTTGAATATCATTTTTACTAGCATTAATTTATACGACGTATGTATGTAGGTATGTATGTATGTATATTGTATTTAGAGTTCTGACTTACCCAAATTTTGGAGTAGACTGCTGTACAATAAACCCTTCGTGAACTGAAATTTAAAAGAAATATTATAAATAAAAAATAAATAATTATCATAGTTTACTAATATTATGTAATATATATTAAGACATTTTGTTAAATATAGGTATTGAAAATTAATATCTATCTTATAGTTCCAAAGAGATTCAAAAGTATTTTTCAATAAAACATTTAAGAGTCGAAAGTTATTTAAATTTAAAATTTAAAATAATAAAAATTCTGCAATTCACAAAATTATTAAAAAAAAATACAATTATTATATTACAATATTATGAACAATACCTACATCATAATAATATATTATGTATATTATTTATAAAATTATGATGGTTCGTATAACATATATTTTTTAATTTTATAATTACACCCTTCGAGTAAACGATAATTATAATAATATCGTTTCTTGGCATGGTCGCGCGAAATACGGGATCAAATTACTTAAGACTCATTTTTGGAACAGGTCATATATATATGCATCATGCGCTGTGGGCGATCGCAGCTGTTTTACGCCAAGTGACATTACAACGAAATAAAGTAAACAGTATGATTTAGGTGATGTTAAAAATTACAGTGGCATTAATTTCGTACGACAGTTTTGTGTATCTAATTTAATGGCATGTGCACAATTTCTTTAATTATATGCAAAAATTAAAAGTGTGCGAAGCAAAAAAGAAAAGAAGTAAAAATATGATATTTTAGTGACGGAGAAAAATAAATGGATTCGGTTAAAATAAATGTAATAATAATAATAATAATAACGTTTTAGTCTATACTAAACTAGTAATTGGGCACAAATGCACAATATCGAGAACTGCGAGCGCATGCGCGTGCATTTCTATTATCAGCGTACCACGATTTATAGGGTATATATTTATAACTTAACAGTGTCAGCGGTGCGACGGATTCAACTCACTCGCACGTCACAGAGGCGAATCTGGTAAAAATGTAAAATCAAACACAACATTCAATGTAAACCACTTCTTATTGGTCGATACACGGCCCAAAATGGATAAATCTGGTTTTAACTAAGGGACATACATAATAACAATTGTCGTCAAGGTCTTCTCTCGTATGTGTTTCACAAAATCGGAGCGTAGTACATAATATTACATGACTAATAAAGTTTCTCTAGAAACTATAAATGCCTCGTGTAATAATATTCCAACAATATCGCAAAGGCCATGTCTATATGAAACCACGGCTAAACGTGAGAATACTCAGAACTTAAAATAAAACGTTCCAATATTTATAATTATTTCTTGAAATGAAGTAGTGTGGTGTCGAAACACGTTACATCTCACAATACAGTACTTATAACTTATACGTTTATACAAAATATATAAAAACTAAGAATATATTATGATACTGAGAACATATTTATGACGAACTTCAGACATTTATTAAAAGTGTTACGGCAATCTAATAGCGATGACAAAAATATAACCTTCCGATAAAATAAATAATACAAAATACCACCGATGGAATTTCGTTTGCCTAATAAAACATGACGTTTATGCTGGCTTAATGTAAGCAGGTACTTCTTATTTGACTTGACGAAATGTTATATTTGAAAACATCCCGTTTACCGTACACGACTGACTGAAACCATAATTTAATGTTTAGTCTAGGTCAATAAAAAATATAGTAAGTTCTTAAAAATGCAATTTGGCTTGATTTATTTACTGGAACGGATAACATACACTGTTAAATACGTAGGTACGTGAATAAATTATAGAATCTATTAAAAGTAATAAATGCACCTACTGTGTGGATAATGGATACCTACACTGAACATACTTGTACAGGATAAAATTTCTATGTTTCACGTTTTTGTGAAATATTTCACCATGTAGTGAAATATTTCATACTTCAAAAACTAATAATAATGTACAATCTTATTTGAATACTTATGGATTTTTATTTGTATTTTTTAATTGAAAGCTTTTTCAATGAAACACAAGTTAGACTGGACATTTTTGACACCTGTTGGCTGTTTAAATTTTAACTAACGCAATGATTTATCTTAATAATATTATGTAGGTACATAATGCACTTTACAATTAATAATTTATAACAGAACACTATACGATCAAATTAAATTAATTTTATTATTACGATAAATTAAATTTTGGTTAAAAACAAATTGTATGAGGTACTATACAGTTTCAAAAGTTGCTAAATATTAAAAATAGCTTAACATCTGAAGTCTTTGGTTTTGTACTCGCGGCGAGTGTTTGAATTTCACAAGTTTAATATCAGAATTATTTAGATTTTTTATTATTAAGAGAAAAAAAATATAATTGTGTTCAACAAGATTCATTTCAAAGGTTTAAAAATAAAATATTCCTTAAAATGTACATACAAGGGTTCTTAATAAATTTCCAACATATTGGTTAGTACTGAAACTAATAAAAAGAAAATAATAATGATTTTAAATTGTTACAAGTATATAAATTAAAGTACACTAAAATTTAAATTGCTCACAAGCTTAAAACGTAAACAACAATGTAATAAAAGCTTTGAAAATGGTTATCATTTCAATTAATCATTATATTATATAATTCTTATATGTGCACAGGATTGGACGCCGTGATTTACAGTTTCCCTATAGTGTTAGCTAAAGAGACACCGAAAATAACGGTGGTTCACTCTGTATAATATTATAATATATTAAACGAAAAGAAAAATATAGACTATAGTACATCTTATCCGTAACTCGACATGATGAAGACGATGATGATAACCGTACGGTATAAATATAGTCCCGTCCCCCCCAAAACAATTTATTAATCAATTTAACCAGCTCGCCCACGTCAAAAAAAAATGATAATTACATCATTGTTGTTTATATTATACATTATTTATACATTACGAATTTCTTACTGTGAATTGAAAAGTCTCTCGGTATTTTCGGTCTCCATGCTGGCCGTAAGATCATTTTTTTTCCAATTAGTGTAGTTGTAATTATTAGTTTTTGATTATTTTTTTTTTAACTCTCGAAAAACGTATACGCATTTATACAATATAATGCATGTCGATATGATATTTATAGGCAAACAATATGATAATATAATAATATAATAGTCACAGCGCGTTCATTCTGCCGACTGCGGTGGAGTAACAGCGTCGAACTTATGAAAGGTCGATAGCATTTCGAAGCACCAATATTGCTAACACAGTGTCCCCAGCCTTGCACGAATCGTATAAGGAGATACTGCCACTTTCCAGTTTGGATGAAATTATTAATCATCGCCGTGTAAATAATAGTCACGTTGACCGTAAACATTAGGTGTACATATGGTACAGTACGGTCTTTTACGCGCACGCTGTATATATGCACTCAGAGGACGGCGGCGGCGGTTTACATTATATCGCAGCTGATCGTAGCTGTCATCCGATACGCGTTTGATATTATTATAATGATATGTTTACGAGCGCGGTGTAGGAGGTATGGTAAAATATTATATAATCCGAGGTATCCATTTGACTATTATATGATTTGGGTACCAGTTTTCTTGGTCATTTTTTGAGATTTTGAAAAAATATTTTTTGATTAAATTTGAAAGTTTCATATTATTACATCATTATTCACTTCAATATGATATCAGAAAAATATCCAATTTTGTATGAAAAATATATATATTTTAACCTTATTATCATGCAGAATATCGCAGAATATCTTTCTAAACATTTGAACTTTTAGATATAATTAATAATATCGAATATACTATGGACACATTTTTTGTTCCTTGATTAGCGTTTTAAGCTCAAAGTTGTTAAGTTACTCCCGGTCGGAAAAAGGGGGTATACTATTTGTATTATATATTATTATAATATAAAAACATTTTTTATTTCAAAGTCACCCAAAAATTGTTTATGTAAATGAGTGGGTACACCAAGATTAACGAGAATAGATCATCGATATGTATATGTGGCCATGTGCAGTGTATAATAATATTATACGAAAGGACGGATTACGATTTCAGGCGTAATGTTTGCTGTAATATTGACAGGCAACAAACGGCATGCGTAAAATATGCGATGCGTCGAAGTTCCAATAACTTCCAAACCACTCAGGGCCCGGACTGGCCAGGGTGGTGGGTGAGCGATCCCCTCCTGGGCCTGGCAAATATTTGGGCCGATAATTTATAAATATTTTATTATTAGCCCAAAATTGGGCTGAATTTTCTGTTTCCCCGGGGCCAATTTTTATTCCCAGTCCACTCCTGAAACCACTATACTAATATGACTATATTATGTCTAACTAAATTGTATATAACAATTTTATTATTTTTTAAGAAATATTACAATATGGAAAACGGTGATTTTTGAAATAATTATTATCGATATTTAGGTGTTAGGGGAGTATTTATATACACACACCATAATAATTAGGTATAGGTACCTAATATATTATACAGTACCATATACTTATGTTTTTTGGCACATTTAACACGTAATTAACCGGACGTGTTGATTATCTATTGTTGTGAACTTAACACCAAAATATTTTATCACTACATTTCTTAATAATAACATAATGTTATACAATTTAACACGGGATTAACGTATTAATAGTATTTGAAACTCTAATGATTTGTCGAGTTTGTTGACCACTTACATGTTTTATTTGAGATGCCGAGATGTGACACAATAGGTACCTAGCTAGGTAAGGTATATAGTAGTTGTACTCTATTTATTGTCTACTACCAATTGCCATACGATATTTATAACAATTTATTATATATTTGTGTGGTATTCATTGAAAAAAACTCAATGGGGTTTAGACTCTTCAGTCGTCAGTTTATACCCAACTATCAAGTTAAAACTACTAATTAGTTTATATGTTGTGCCTAACTCTCGTACGTTTTGTACTTCAAAGTTTATATTTTAAAATAGTAAAAACAAAAGATCTGCTTTTTTATTCAATGATAATTTTCTCATACTTAAACCGTATAAATAGATAAATTTACTAAAATTAATTTGAACCTATTCATCCCCAAAAAAAATAAATTAACTAATATTTTGCGAATATGATATTATAATATGAACATTAAAAAAACAAAGTTTAGAATCGCATAAATAAAAAATGTCCATAATAATCCAAAAGTTATTGGGCATTGTTATTATTATTCAAACATACATAGAAATATAGAAACAATTATTTGAAAGTCAACTTAATTTTTGTTTTGATTTAGAGCGAATGTTTTATAATTTTGTTGAAAATTATTTAAATTTATATCTAAGTTTAAAAAATGTTTAACTTTTTTAAAAATAATTGTAATGCAATACGCTACATAACCTAAAATAACATCATAGATTCTTTAGTACTGAATCATTTTTTTAAAAATAAAAGGATAGATTAATATACTGAGAATACTTATAAGATATTTGGATACATCTCAATATTAATAATATTAGGTTAACATTTTAAGATAATATTAGACAAAATATAATTTATTTTTATAAATTCTAATTATAACGATTGAATATAATTTAATTATATATTTTGGTCTAAATGCACTTAAAATACTAATGCTATAAAGCCACATATAGGTACGCGTATTTATTCCATAAATTCAACACGAAAATTATAATTTAGGTAACTGTAGTTTATTAATATTTCTTATAAAATTATGTTTAGTAATATCAATCAAAACGGTTATTTCAATGAAAATACTTCTATTTTTCTAATTTAATATAGTACGAGTAATTTTTTGTGGGAAAGTCAAATCGCATAGGTAAGTATTATGAAAAACCAAAAAAATATATAATATACTAATATTACAGTTATAATATATTTTAGAGATTTAAGTAGATAATTTGATCTCTTCCAGATCCTAAACTGGTTGATCCCATAGTTATTGTGCGAGACGACGTTCATGATATTTTATTTTCTACTAGTCTAGTAAAGATTTATGATTCGTAAAAATTGAACAATAAGCGAGGATTTCAGGGCGGTAATCACATCCGGACTTGTGGGCGCGGATGACCACCGGTTAATGGTTCGTGGATACTCGAGACATAAACTATATATAGGTGTTAGGTACCTAATATAATTTTACTGGCTGCGGGTAACCACGTTAGTAGGTAAATATGTACCTTGTCTCTGTGTGGTCTGCGTTATTTGTCTCGTGACATGTTGTTCGGTACGGTTCACGCTCCTCTGTCCCGTGTTTGACAACGAGGAGGTGGTGGTGGTGGTAATCTGTTGTTGTTGCTGTTGTTGTTGTTGTTGTCGGTTCATGGCTAACGCACAAGTCTCCTCGCGCCCCGGCAGGACGGTTGGCCGACGGTCCGGACCGAAATCCTTCACTGGCTCCTGTGCCCCGGTGACTTCACGCGCGTTAAACGAATTGCAAAAAAATCAAAACAAAAAAACGGCCGAACGGAAAGCGGTGAAAACCTGAGTGAAAAAACGCACGTGACACAAATTTGAAAAACTATATAAATTGACACTCGCGGTTGTCTCGCACAGGCTTCCTCGCGATATCTTTAAGTGTATACAAGAGATTTCTGAAAATGCCTTTCGCTAAGTACGACGGTGGTATCGTGTTTGTTGTTCTTTTCGATATTCCTCTCGGACTCGCCTTGGTGGTAACTGATCGCCGAAGTATGTGGCACTGTGGTACTTGGAACGAGGGCGGCTGTGGCGGCGGCGGCATGTCGTGGTGGGAGACCGACGTTTGAGTAAGGTGCTTTATTTAGATCTCTGTAAAATTAGAGGGTCCTTACGGCGACATCTATGTGGGACGTGTTTTATTTTATTTATTATTATTTTCATTCTTTCTTATTATTTTATTTTTATTTCGATTAGAAATGTAGGGTGTGTATACGGTGACTTGAAAGTGTTTAGGTGGCCCGTAAATATACCTACTTAATAGACCAAAAACGTAACACTCTGACAATTCGCGGTTTCAAAAAACTTAATGAACATTTTAATGATGAATGTTCTAAAAATAATAACCCTTGTAGTCATCTGGTAATGAGACATATCTTATGCATTGCAATATGTGCACATTTCAATAGTTTAACACCTTAAACAATAATACTATTGTGCTTGATTATTAAAACGGGTAGTTAATAAAATCAGTTTTTCACAATAAAATACATTCGTTGAAAAATTGTTCGTACCATTTAATCCGAAATATTATTTCAAATGCAAACAACTAAAAACTGTAATTCTACTAATCGCAAATCAGCCATCGTGGGTAGTAGGTAAGCGTACTTATATGTAAAGTGTATGTATAGGTACTTGAATAATATTGTGTAAAATATGATGTTATCTTTTAAACTCTTACTGATTATTTTGTGGCTACTGGCTAGTTTTGAAACATCAATTGGTCAATGAGAAATTATGTGTTTTTTTTTAGGTTTAAACCTAAATGACATAAGTACCTATACTGGCTATACTAGTATAATAATTAATAACTACTATGTTATTATTTAGACGTTTAGATAAGAATTTTCATTTTACAAAATATGTGTAGGTGGCTTCAACATTTTCATTTCTATATTAACTACATATTATATAATTACATTTAAATATTGTAATAATTTTGAAATAAAATGTTAAGCTTATATCATTTCAAACCATATGTTTCTTAAAGCTCTCAATGTGTTATTTTTAATTCCTGTAATATAATACGATAACAATACTTAATTCAAATTTATTTTAATGAATTACCATAATAATATTAACAGTTAAACTATACGTGCTTCAAAATGTGTAGTAACATTTTAAACGATTAAAAATAATAATAATTACTCGATGGTGGTAATAAAAATTGTATAGTATTATGTGAGTCGTAATTAAACATATGTTAACGAATAACGATATGATAAAAATTTTCTTTTTGACAAACGTATAAAATCCAAACTTTTGAGCGAGCTTGTTAAAAGATTTATATTTTAATACAACGCCGTCCATAATAAAAAAAAAAATATTTGAAAATAAAACATATTTAGGAGCATGTACCTACGTCATTATCATACTAGGGCTCTAATAATATGCCACAGATATTTTATGCATAATATGTATAATTATGTGTATATTGCATTATATATTAGGAATAATTATAATAATATCATAAACCGTGAGTTCCTACACGTAGGTATATATGAAAATTCACCACCACTATTATAATAAATTCCTAGTTGTGCAAGAAAATTAACGATATAGTATGTTAAGTTCGATATAATATTGCATTGTATAATTTCTGGCAAAAACAAAAAAAAATTTCCAATTAATAGAAAACAAACCCTTAAAATGATGATGTGCGTTCAAAGACCTTTTTAAGTGTAATACTAATATAATAATATGTTATTACTAATTGAGTTGCATATATAGGTTCTATAAACGTGTTATAAATAGAGTGACACGTGTACATATTATAGTGTCTCATGGACTTAGTTTTTAAAAACTAATCCTCCTCCCACCACCCCATTCAAAATGGATTGCGCACGCTGTTGAAATATGTCGCCAATCTCAACGGTTGAAAAATACTAGCATTTTGCGAAAGATTTACAATCTGGCAAAAGTTGTTTTTAATTACATATAGAATATAGCAGTTTGTGTTTGGATCAAAAGTATTATTTTTCAAGTCTCAGTTTCTTTTGTTTTTCACATTTACAATGTGTGCGAAAACCTTGTTAAACATACACGTGTTCCTAACCGACAGTTTAAAACCGTAACAACAGTTCCGACCTTATCGTACCAACTCTACCAACATTATAGTCTATAATGACCTCAGTCGTCGAATCCTTAAACTAATAAAAAAAATAATAGGTAATCTTCACGAAAAATAAAGTACCTATTCCAATTATATATGACTTGTTCATGTTTCGTCTATAAAAAAAAAACGTTTTAGAGTTACGTAAGTACCTAGGTATTTTTTTTTTTATTATTATTAGATAACCATCGGCAACATAGGCCATTGAGTGTGGGGGTGGAACTGTGAGTTTTTATGTGTATTTACAAGTGTGTGTGTTGTGGTAGAATTTCTAATGGGACACCCGTAGGTTTTCTGCCATGCCCCGGATGGGGGATGGCGGCAGTTGTTCTCCGGATACCTTGACTTACCCGAAGAAAAATGCCGCCCTGCAGTGGCCGGGAATCGATCCGGCGACGGCTGCGTCGCAACCGACACCTAGGTATTATATATTTATAAATTTGCAATGTAATGCAGTTTCCTGACATATTTACTAAATATATTTTTCATAGATATTTTATAGCCTGAATAATAACAATGAGTTTTTGAAATTATATTTTTATGAACTCTGGGCACAGGAATAACTAATACTTTTTCGAATTTTTATTTGTTAATCCGTTATTAGATTCAAAATTAAACATGAATCGTACTTTACACATGTCCTGTATAAACCCTAACTAGACATCTATAGTACCTACATGCAGAATGAACATAAATATCCGAAAAATGTAGTTAAGGTACTAAATAAGTTGTAGGGATAGTAATAAGTTTTGGACCTAATGTCCTATCAATATTACCTGCATTTTTTTTTAAATATATACATATAAATAAGTAGTAATAATTATTTATTAATCTGAATTTTGAAAATGTATAACTAATAACTAATAATACATTTAAATAACTGTGGTGGTAATACCAAAGACACAAATAATGGGATTTATCAGACAAGGGGGGGAATATAGCCCCTAACTACCCTCCCCTAGGGCCACAGATAATAGTTAGACTTATTAGTAATTACATGGTTAGTTTTATATATTATCATTGAGTACATATTGTACAATATATTATACTCATTGACGGTCAGTGGCGTAATTTCGGGAGGGGGGCACATACCAAAAGTATCATTTTGGAGTAAGATTTAACAGAAAACGAACACTAAAATAACAAAAATACAACACCTATTCTTTCTTTTATTTGTTAATAAAGTAATTAAATTATTTGTTGGTTATTTATTTATTGTTCCCCAAACATAAAATATGAGTACCTACTACCTATATAATATTTATACTACTTACTTGTTAAACTACTTATGGCACTTTTTATTAATGACCTCTCTAGGTACTTAATAATATTTAACAATATGGGTACCTACCTGTTACCTACAATTTGTTTCTAAACCATAACATGAGTTTTTAAGACTAAATCAGGGTGCGGGTCAGGGTTTTGATTATGCTGAATAAATTATATTATCCCCCATAGATTTTTATCCAGTTACGCCACTGCTCATTGATAATGTATATTACTTATTAGTACTACTACTGTATTGTTAGTAGATATATATTTGAAATATTATATAAGTTCTTTGATTTTTCTGTAATATTCTGAATATTATAATAATATTATGTACCTGTATGGGATTTTTCCCACAGAAAATGTGGAAAAAAATACTAACAAATAGCAATAGCAGTATATTTTTCACATCTCATACCAGTTTATTAATTAATCTGATGAGACGAGGTCCACTCAAAATCAGTTTTTGAGTTCTATAATAATATTAATCGTCGTTTTTATACTGATACCTTCCCCCGAGTGGCGAACACAACAACTCTTTGCTTTGTAGCACTTTATTCTTCTTTATCAAACCTTGTTCATTATTATAAAATATTTCAAGTGCATAGAACATAGATACCTCATACCTATTATTTATTAAGATATAATATTATGTGTGGTAGGTAGGTATATTATTACTTACTAAAATATTCATTGGATTTACACTCGATAACAATACTGCAGTTCACTAGATCTTCATCGTAGGGATTAACTACTTCACTATCTGAAAAATACAACACGTAATAACATATTATTATATAATACGACTAATAACAATTATTATCAATAACTATTTTGAATTATTTGATTATAGCAATATTGGTAATAATGTTATTCATAATCTTCTGTCGTTTGAAAAGCAATAAATTAATCATCTGTCACAATAAGCCATACCAGTTGGTCAACGAATTCATAATGACTTGTAGATAGCAAGGTTAAATACATGATACTATTCACCAGATGTCCAGATAGGTACCTATATATATATATATATATATATATGGGGTATATTTAAAGCAGTTAAAGTAGGTACTATGCTTACAAATTATATATGGACCTACAATACATGCTTTTATCAATTTGTTTATGAGAATATTGTTAGCCAATAGAGTGATGATCTTCTGTGGTGGGATATGATGTTGATGATCACCAGCTAGCTTACCATTTATTTAGGTATACTCTACAATATTTGTATAATACATAATAA